GTCCAGTTAAATGCCCGCCTGTTTCTGCTGTGCTCGTACACGCATCAAACAAAGGGCAGGGAAACAATTCACCAGCTACTAAATGAATTTGTCTCAATTTGTCCAAGGACGAAAAGGAAAAATGTTGCCCAACCCAGCATTTGCTTTGCTTACAGTATTAGGTGCATGAAGAAAATCGGGAAAAGGGCATCCAAAGGTCCCTCTTTTTTTTTTCTCCCCGAACACGATACCTACAGAACAGTGGCGGTGAAAGAAGAAAAGAAGCAGCAGATGGAAACGTTCGCATCATGCACAGCGTTGACAACTAAGCCTGCGGTATTATTCTCATCCATGCCCTGCTGCTGCTATATCGGGCGGGCATGCATTTCGGCAACATGCTCCGTGCTACAGTACGAGCACAGCACAATATGGAGCCCAGTCCAGTCCATGTCAATGTCGTGTCTCGTACATTGTCGGCACCATGGCTTTTGTGTCTACCACCCAATTCCTGCGTACTTGTACTACTTGCTGTGTTTGTAGTAAAAAGGAGTCGGAGATGGTGGCCACCCGCCTGTCACATGTGTGGAGGCGACCACTCTGGGCATCGTCTTCCCTGAGAAAGGGAGAGCCAATGGATCAGTCGATTCCAGGTGCATCTCGTATATCCCGCCCTGTGTACGAGATATGACTGGCCTGGCAGCCCTCAGCTCTGCTTACCGTAGCACTCTAGTATGATTGGTAGGTAGTTGGTGTCAATTAGGCTGTTCGTTGTTTTGTCTTCGTCCATCCAATTGATACGGCACATACAACATCACATCAATCATAGCCCAAACAATGGGCGACTTTGCATCTTCAGCGGTCAAGGATCATGCCGCTCACGGGCCCGACGACGGCCCTCTTCCCTTGCCAACCCCACGCTTCGCTCGCCACGCCTTGATGTGTTGTCTCTCGCCGACCCGCTCGGATATGTACCAAGCAAATCCTCGTATGGGGACATGGGGCCTTTGACATGGGATACTCGCACGTATGTATACTGGCTCCATGCATGCGAACGAAAAAAGAAGCAAGGAAAAGAAAAAAATTCACTTGTGCTTGCACCCAACCGGGGTCAATTTCCTGCGTTTGCTCTGTGTATCCCCCCTTCACCTACTTTTCAAAAGTGGGTATGAGATGAGATGTCCAAGACCCTGTAGCTGTAGCTGCATGTATGTATGTACTCATCATTAGGCCTGGGCGAACTCGTGGCATTGCATGAATGAGAAAGAAGACGGAGGATAGAAGACCAACAGCCCCCGATAAGGCCACGGGCCGGTGGTGATTGGTGCACGCAATCGTCGAGGTTGGTTTTACAGTTCAAGGTGCTTAACGCGGGACCTTTAGGCTTCGAGTAAATTGGCCGATGACGGTTCAGGCACCACGAGTAGAGTAACTGGGCGGGTGAGCCACAAGCACGCCATGATTGGCGAGAGTTGAGAGTCGGTACTTGGGAGACAAGTACTCCCACCAATACTCAAAGTACCCTACTTACTTCTGATGATTGCCTTGCCTTAGTCGAGGTTGGCGGACCTGCATTGATATTGCCCATCTCTCGGGCTATGCGCGGGCAATTGATCTGATTGATTGATGCTGAACATCTGATCATGTTGAAACATGAAATTGCGGAGTAGCCTTGGCTCTCCCCAGCAAAAAAAAAAGTTCAATACTAAGGTGCTAGGTAGTGCTCCGGTAGTTTTGGTGCGCTCCTGAATCGCATTGAGACGGCCATCAGCTTGGCAGGATCAAACTGTGGCGCTGGGCTAGGAGACAAGCAGCATCTCGGGCGGACGTGATTGACGGGCTTTTAGCCGAGAGGGCGATGGTGAAAGTTTGGTGGGAGTCAGGAGGAGAGAATTGATAGCCAGCTAGGAGTACCTATATTAACCATGGAACGGATCAATGATAGGATACCTGCTACTATCGGTACTAGGTAGATGCTAAATAAATGAAGAGGAGCGAAAGAGGACAGGGACGGCAGCAGCTGAGCGCAAAGCGAGTTCGGCTGACCACCTACCCTGAACTCAGCTGCTGAGCCAGCGAATGTGAATCAGTACTAATTGACCAGGCAATCAGTGCAAGCTGAGTTGCGAAAGCGTGCAAAGTACTCTAGACCGGGGCGCACAGAAAAAGCAACGTGACAGGGCAAGTACCTGTACTATCGTCCGCTAGACCCGGCCCCCCGGCTGCCCGTGTCTGCACGCGGATCGGATCTAACAGAGCTGATCACCCCCGGATTGAACTGCTAGCAGAGACTATTGCAGAGGCTACGGAGCATCGTTGGTCGGGCTGGCCAGAGCGGAGGCGCTAGACAAGTAAGGGAGGGAGATTTGATATTGGATACGGCACGCTGCAACATAAACAAGTGCTAGTAGTCGTATTATTGCTTTTTTTTTTTGCGGACTCAACCTGAAGGGGAGGGGGGAATATGTTGATGAATCATATCGGGCCACAATCCGCTACTCATGTACATACGGAGCAGTAGAGTGATATGCAAAACAGAACGAGGAACAAAAAAAAGGTACGGGTGGCGGCGAGGAAAAGCTAGACGCCACGGTGACGGCCAGGGGTCGAGGCACCCCATATATGAAAAAAGTTTGTGACCTGCGTCTTACTCGCGGGATAGTCAGGTATCCATCAATTCTACGAACATGACAAGACGGAGAGGGGAGGAGGCGGTTTGAAGCGTGGAGGCATCATCCCCCATACAGAACGATAAGCGGAGAACGCCTTGCTGGGCGTCTGGAGAGGGGGAAATGACGGGCAGATAGATGGATGATGCCAGCAGGCAGTGGATGTTACTGTAGGCAGTCAATAGTATTGATTGAGCCCCATCCATGGAATCAGTCTATCAGTCAGTCTATCAATATATATCAATCAATCAATTAATCCATCACTTGATGCTTTGCGCCCGCATGCTGGATGTCAAGAGAGTTTTGCGGGCCGCAGTGCCTCATGCAATGTAAAATTGCTTTTTTTGCTCTTTTCTTTTTTATACTTTCTTGCCCCTGCATTGGAGCGGCTCACGCAGCAACATGGAGGGTGGGCTGGCCGTCCGTCTGTCTTACGCAGTGCGAGGAGGTTCAAGAGAAACGACAAAAATGAAAAAACTTGAACCAAAAATGCCCAGGTTGGCCAAGTTTTCTTTGGTGTGGCCCCTCCGCGGCTGCGGCGTGGCTTTCCCGATCATGACTCCCCTTGTTCCAATGTCACGGCAAATAGGGCCTATTACCACCTGATGTCTCACATGTGCATTTCCTCTTCGCGTTGATAACATTTGGGGATCCATATGACACTTCATATGTGACTTGCCTAACTGAGAGCCAGCTGAAGGGCCTTGGCGGGCATCAATTGGTCGGTGCGGCGGCCAGCGCATCAAGGCCCGACAGCAAATCATCTGGCCCAGGACAAGGGAAGGGCGAGATAAGGCAAGTCGAGGATCAAGAGAGCAGTGAGACGGGCAAGACGGGTAAAAACAGGCATGGCACGGATTCGGGCATCTTGTTTTTTTTCCTTGCCAGCGCAGCGTGTTGCCCTGCCGTCCAATGACTTTTTGCTTCTGCTTTGCGTTTTGCGTTTTTGCGTTTCCCGTCAAAGCGCCGGGCCGCGGCTCGCCCTCGTTCGTTCCGCTCGCATCGTATCGCATCAATCGTAAATAGTGCATCGCATCGGCATCGCCTCAGCGCCGTCGGCTGCCGCTGGCGACGAGGCCCGTGATTGGCCAGCGGCTCCTTGGACGAGGTTGGACGAGGTTGTGCGAGACGCGGGACGCAATTGGTCCAAGGGGCCAGTGTTTCGAGTCGAGGGAGGCGGGGGAGGCCCCAGAAAGAGCACACAGCACTCCGTAGTTTAAGAGGGTTTCGAATATGAGCTGGTTTCAAGATGGCAGCGCCGCGGGCCAATGAAGGCGGGCAGAGGCATCCCGCGACAAGCTACGCAGCGCTGGCTGAGATGAGGCCAGGGGGGGCTTCAACAAGCTCTGGCGGCCAGTCAACGAGCCCGGCTGCTGGATAGGCGCCATGCTTGTCGTTCGGAAGCTTGCCGGGCATGTTTTACGGAGCACGGAGGCAGCAGATGGCAGCGATTGTTGCAAAGAGGCATCGAGTTGACGGCAGTCGAGCGGCATCAGGTTCTATTTTTGATGGTTTGTTTCATCAAGTCCCGTCACGGCGGTTTGGATGATTTATTAATAAATGCTCTGCATCGTCGTCGTTGATTCCTTTTCGATTCGTTCTTTCCTCATCCGCATCCTCATTCTAATTTAATCTCCTTCTTTTTTTTTGTTTTCCTTTTTTCCTTTTTTTTTTCTTTGTCTTCCAACCCCACCATCTTTACCCGCCCTCCCTCTTTTTTTTCGTGCCTTACCAAAGGACTGGAACGCTGCAGCGCAGTGATTACGACTTTAATTGACGGCAAAAGGGATACAGATTTGCCAATCAATCCTTCAATCAGCGTCACAGCATACCACTGCGTGGTAGAAACCTGATATTTGCTCCTTCAGATCGACCGCTGGACGGACCCCTTCTGACTGTCATTCGACGCCTCGGACCCTGCATCTGGCTGGCTGCATAATTCATCCCGGTAGCGCTTTTAGAGCCTGAGCTTGTTGCATTTTCCGACTCCCTACTTGACGAGGACTATTCGCTATTGGATTCCAATCCGATTCGATCCTACAAAGGGAAAGGATATATCTAGTAGAAAGGCAAGAAAAGGCTGCATTGCATGATATATATCTGCCTTGTCTGCCCTACAGAGCATTGATACTTGGCATCGCATCACTCGATCGGACCAGGTTTTTTTGACTTGCAGCCCTCGCTCTCACCGCATTCGCTTCCTTGTCAGGGAATCACCGAAACTCGGGCGCGCATTAGGCAATTCAGGAAAAAAGAAAGAAAGAAAATCCTCTTTTGCCAACCCTTGACGCCACGTCTGAATCGGGGCAAACAGCTTTTCACAGCGCAAAGCCGGTTAGACACGTCGCAAAAAATTCAACCGCCTTCGTTCAGGCCCAACAAATCATTCGCCCCTCTTTCCGCTGGATCGGACGGCGCCACGTTGGCATATCGCGGAGGAGACTACGAGTTTTACATCGGACCATCCAATCCAATAAGTGGTCGCACGACGTACGTGCCTCGGAACCCACGAACCGGACCGGGTCGGGACAGCAAACATTTCTCTCTCTGCTTTGAGCATTTCCAACCCTCTTTGCACACGGCAGCTGTCTTGTCTTGGCCATCCCTTAGACACGGCATCGTCTGAAGATTTTGTTACACTGCAGCAGATTTAATTGATTGACTCATCAGTCAGCCCTCTCTGTCTCTCTCTTTTTCTCTCTCTTTGTCTCTTCATCACCCCCCAAATCAAATCAGCCGGTATCCTTCGGAATCTTTCCATCTCTCCCCCAATCTGCTATTACAAGTAACTACATCCAACACAACACAACACAGCCCATCACCAGCCAATCCTTCGCCACCGAAGCACCCGCTGCTCCGACAGCCTTTTGGCGAACTGACACCTTCAACTCTAAACGAGCCCTGCTGAGAATCCCTGTCGGCCTGGCCGTCTCGCGTCTCGCCCCGCCCAGCGTCTGCCAGCAAGCCCCGAGCACCGGTACCTTGTCGCTGTCTCGCCCGTCGTACCGTTCCCCGTACCGGTACCGCCACCCTCACCGCGCGTAAACGCACTCGCACTTGTACCCGCACCGGTACTAGTACCCCCCCAGCCACCCCAGCTGCGACGCTCCAGAGGTACCTGTGGTACTTGTACAGGCTGTCTGTCTCTGACCGCCCCAAGGCCCGCCACGTCGACTGCAGTACATTAGCATCAGTCGCCGTGCCACGCCGCCGTTGGCTGTCTGCCGGTACCTCCCCCCCAGGTACCCCTCCTTACGGCCTGTACCCTCCATCGCCAACCCCTGCAGCCCGCAGGCATCCCCGCCGGCACACCCAGAGGCCCAACCCTCCCTGTGGCGCATCGCTAGCGCCTGGACCGCCAGCTGGTGCTTGTACCGCTGTACTTTGCGTGCACGTATACAGCCTCGTGTACACCCCAAACGTCAGAAGCAGAGGTCACTGGCTCGACTAAAAAAGGGCCACATGCACACGTCCTTTCGTGTCTGACTGACTTGCTGCGATACCTCGATTTAATACATTTGCTATCCCTCATCCTCATCCGAGCCGTTTCTCTTTTCTTCCTCTCTTCTTTCCTCTCCATCGTCTCCTTGCAATCCTCAGATCCCGTCCTCCTTTTGTCTTTTGGGCTCCATCCTCGGCTCAACACGGCCTCTCCCTCCAACTTGCTCTTGGACCTCTCTCTGCGTCACCCCTTTGTGGTTGTCGCCTTTATATATATCATCGCCTCTCGTCTGCTTGGTGTTTTTTGTTCCCCCAGCCATCAGCAGCAGCATCTATCCTTCTAATTAACACAACTCACCGCCGATCCCGACAGCCCACCTTTGCATTGGGCCACTTACACACACCACCATGGCGTCAAGATCATTTCTCTCCATGGACGACCTCAACAAGGCTGCCCTGGAACAGTTCGTCTACCAGCCCGTCAGCCGCGACATGATCTCGTACCTGGCCAGTGCTGCTCACAACGTCATTGCCTGCGACTCGACCCTGATGCCGCCGCCGCCTCGGGAATCATCATCCAAGGGCCAGGACCGACCTCTCACGCCGCCACGCACCCCCGAGCCCCGAGCTGTCTGCAGCACCGACGATGCGCTGCCCACGCTGGAAGAGTTCATCACCCAGCTGGTCGTCTCCTCCAATGTCCAGGTGCCAACCCTCATGTCGACCCTGGTCTACCTCAACCGCCTCAAGTCCAAGCTGCAGCCCATGGCCCGCGGCCTGCGATGCACCACCCACCGCATCTTCCTGGCGGCCCTGATCCTCTCGGCCAAGTACCTCAATGACAGCTCGCCCAAGAACAAGCACTGGGCCAACTACACCCACATGAACACCGACTACTACAGCTTTGGCTTCACCCGCACCGAGGTCAACCTGATGGAGAAGCAGCTGCTCTTCCTGCTCGAGTGGGAGCTGAGAATCACCGAGCACGACCTGTACCGCGAGCTGGACTCCTTCCTCGAGCCCCTCCGCCTCAAGATTGCAGAGAGGCACGCCCGCAAGATGCGCCACCGCGAGGAGAAGAAGCGACAGCAGGAAATGTATGCCGCCGCGGCCCGGTACCCCAGCCCGGCCTCGTCCCGGAGCTCCCGATCTCGCCACGCCAGCCCCGACCACTATCGTGCCAACAGCAACGGCTCAGTCACCCCTCCCGGACTGGTCTACAGCTCCGCCAGCTCTTATGCCTCGTCCATCGCCTCGAGCAGACAACAGTCCCCTTCACCATACCTGTACGGTGCTAGCCAAGGCAGCCTGTATGACTCGCCCGTCGAGATTGTCCTGGACCGGGAGGAGCCCAAGGTGCAGCCCAGCGCGCGGATGCTCTCCTATGACATTTCCGCGGACTCGTACGAGCCTCTCGGCGAGGTTACGACCAAGAAGCGACACAGGCGCGCATTGTGGGAGCGCCTCATCGGCACCGCCGCCGTCGCTGTCCGATAAATCCCCCATTGTTCGCATCGATTTGCAGCCGCAAATCCTGGGCGTTTATTTTCATTTCATTTTTCCTTTGTTCTATTCAACACTAAATCACCTTTGTGTTACAAAAAGCATGGCGTCGCGGATTGTCTTTTCTTTGCTATTTTCGCCCCCCTAACTATCTATCTACTATACAAGACATGTCTCCTTAGAAGAGAGCTGCATGGCCGGCGCATCGACAGTGGAACACATCTTGACAATCGCCTAATCACCACCACCCTTTTTTTTACATTTTCACAATCAATTTGTTATACAAAAGATATCATGTGCATACGCCAAGCGAATCTTAGGCCATGGGAAACGGGTCCATTGTTTTTTGTCATGTTTCTATTTGCGGGTTTTGGTTTGGTCTGCCAACGAGGCGAAGTCGAGAGGGCAGAGGGGGAACTAGGGGCCTGCTTACAATGAGTTGGGATAACCCTGCCTGGCTTGGGAATTGGGGTCAAGGGAATTTCTTGGAGTTTTTGGTGGGATTTGGGATTTGCATTTTCTGTTTTTTTTTTTTTTTTTTTTTTTGCTTCACTGCCCGATCCTCTTGGAGGATACTGGCTTGACCTCTTTGATAAACTATATTTTTGCTTAATTTCTTTTGTGATTTTCTTTAGGAGGATCTCAAGAATTACTGCAATCTACATTAGATAATCACCTCTCTAGAGTTGGAGGATGCCCATGAATATCACAAAGCCCAAAGCAGCTTATTGATTAATCACTATGCGCGTCAGCACTTGTTCTTCCCTCCTTGTTTGCTTGCGCCCGTGGCTCGGCACTTGATTGTGACTGCAGCCAGATCGGTGTTAATCGTGAATGGACGTGTCAGTAATTCCAGGCGATTGACCCTTGCATGCCGTTTGCGGCCGACGACGTGAAGGGGGTGGGGGGATCCAGCCGAGCTGCTTGTCAGCCATTATTTTGTTTTATTTTTGCTATTTTAATTTCGACTTATTATTATTTTCTTTGTGCTAGGATATGAAGTAATACAAGATGACGCAATAATCATAATCACGGTGAAAGCAAGAAAAGAACGTTCGGAAAAAAGATAATTGTCGGGGGAGGCGAACTGTTTACGTAGGTCGATTGTGGCTCTGTTAAATACGCTCCAAGCCAAAAAGTCGTGTTCGTATGCGTGTTTGCCGGAGTCATTAGAACGAACCTTTAGGCCGGTACTACACACTACCCTTTTGGGCATCATGTACGAGGCACATACTACTAATAAGTGTGGCTATTTTTTTGATTTTTCTTACATTGCATATGATGTGATGTGGTTGTGCCACGAGGGACGGGGAATTACGGTTCGGAAATAAATTGTAAAAATGGGAAAGGTTTAGACTACTTGATCGGGGGGCGTGTGTTGTTCCTTTGTTGTACACACAGGACACAGACACAGCCCGGATTCGGCGTTCTTTTTTGTTTTTTTTTTCGTAGCTGCGGTGAGGCATCATCTTATTGCCGAAGAGCGAGAGAGCGACGGGATTTCGGGAGGAGGATTTTCGTTGCGTCGAGATTTTTCTCTTTGAAGGAATCGGGATTTTTTGGGGAGGCGTGACAATGGACATGTTGTTTGTCTGTTTGCCTCGTGGTGATACCCCCCCCCCCCCCCCCCCTCCCCATCAGTATTTTTTCTTTGTTCATGTTGTGGGACGGTGAATCTGCGTGTGATATCAAAAGTTGCACGAGCCTTCTTTTTAAGATTGGATTTGATAATTCCCGGGGTTATTGTTTCTTTGTTATTTGCGTGCGTGCATGCGGAAGAGATTGCGTACTCGAGATGCAGATTGGAGATTGCGTGTGGACCGCAAACAGACACAAACAAAAAAAACCAAACCGTCAGGAATACCCAACCCAACCCAACACACAGACGCAAAAATGGTTGTTGGTTGAAGGTATCACAAGAATAGAAATCCCAAATTCCAAATCTGCCCCATGCACTCCTGGCCTAAGCAATGACCTGGCCCGGCCCTGGCCCTGACCCGCGTTTTCCCCCCATCTCAGCTGAGCTGACAAGCCTCTATAATACTACTACAGGATTACCAGAACCGGCTCATGAAAATGCGCTCCAAAACTAACACGCAAAAAACACGCACGGATTCTTTTTTTTTTCTACTAAGCAAAATCCTGCTATACTTGACGCTGGCTGCGCCTCCCCCAGCCCAGCCTAGGTACCCGTCCGGAGCTTTCGTTGATTCTTCTGTTGGGCCACGCGATAATTCCATCCTACCCCCCGCTAAGGATGGAAAGCCCGTCATCCGGGCCAAGTGCACTTCCCTCGCAACATGGGCTATACTCGTAGCCCCCAGAAGGAATTTAGGTTGGGATTGGATTTTGATCTATGCATATAGAGAAATAAGTAGCGGTACTTGCTGTCAAAGTACCTGCAAGCTTGGAGTGCCCCCCCCCCCGTTCAGAAAGGAATCAACCTGGAATCCATCGTTGAGCCTCGCCTGTTATTACTGGCTCGTCCGTCTAAGCCGCGCGGCGACGCTTTCGGGCCCGAGTTGAGCGGCCGAGTCGCCGAAGCAACAGAAACGTTTGATCCTGCTGGCTTCGGCCGTGTTTATATTTATATCTTTCTGTGAGTGTTAGGAAGAAAGCTGAATAGCCTTAAAAGTACAGAGTACGTGCGATGGGACGGTGATTTGACCAACATGGTTGAAAATCAACAACAGGCTGCCATTGAAGGATTCAGACTAAACTAAACTAAAGCATAACATATACTTGTACCAATGCAAAACTACCAACACATGGCCCGTCCTAAAGAAAGATTCAATCCGTGGAATCCATGCCCCATTACCCTTGTATGCCTCGACATAGTAACAACCCCTGCATGTTTAAACAATAACGCCGTAGAATTATACAACTTGCTGGTTGCGAAACCCAAGCCAGGGAATCTTGGTCCTCAGGCTCAGACTGCTCAATACCACACTGATACTCGAAAGAGCCATTGCCAGCGACGCCCACACGGGGTCCAGCTTGACGTGCGAGCCGCTCGACGTCTTGATGGCGTACAAGCATCCGGCCGCAATGGGAATCGCACACACGTTGTACACCGCTGCCCATCCAAAGTTGATCTTGATGCGGCGGAAGACAACGCGGCTGAGGTCTAGGAGCGTCAGCACGGAGTGCAGGTTCGACGTGGCCAACACAAAGTCGGCGCTCGAAATAGCCACGTCGCTGCCGGAGCCAATGGCAATGCCCACGTCCGCGGTCGTAAGCGCGGGCGAGTCGTTGATGCCGTCTCCCACCATGGCTACCATTGGACGCTGACCGTTACTGCCCATCGAGCCTTGGAGATAACTGATCTTGGCCGCCTTTTCCGAGGGCAAGACCTCCGCGAGCACGTTGGAAGTAGGAATGCCCACCCTCTGAGCCACAGCCTGCGCCGTCGTCACATTGTCTCCTGAGAGCATCCATACCTCGACCCCACGCTTTTGCAGCGCCTCAAGCACTGGGAGCGTCTCTTCGCGGATGGGGTCTGAGATTGAGAGGACAGCAGTGACTGTCCACTTGCCGCCGTCATGGAGCCGTGTTGCGGTGAGAGCGACAGATTTGGCCTCCTGTTTCCACGTTTCCAGCAGGCTCCCAACATTGGAAGATATCCGGGCAGACAAGTCCTTCATCAGGCTCTCGTTGCCCACGGCAATGTCGAAAGGCTGGTTCTTACAGCTGGCCTTGATGCCCTTGCCCGGCAACTCCTCAATCTGCTCGAGCTCAACCGGCTTGGCATCCGTCTTGCAGAATGCAACAATGGCCTTTGCAATGGGATGACTGCTGTTTTCTTCTGTAGCTTTCATAGCAGAGAGGAGAGTCCCTTCGCTGAGTCCATCGATGGTTCCATCAGGGAAAAGGGCAGAGTCTGTAATTTGAGGCTCTCCTCCAACCGTGAGCGTTCCCGTCTTGTCAAAGACCACGCAGCCCACCTTGCTGGCTTTCTCAAACGCCTCACCGCCGCCCTTGACCAAGATTCCGTACTTGGCTGCGAGACCTCCTCCAACGAAAATCGCCGTTGGAGCAGCCAAACCCAGTCCACACGGGCAAGCCACAACAAACACGGCAATAGCAAACTGAAACGCAAATGCGGTTGAACCTCCTGATGAATCCAACTCATCGCTTGACACGTTATGGGTAAACGAGAGCGCCATCCAGACAGCCCATGTGATGATGGCTATCAGAGTCACCACTGGGACAAAGTAAGACGTCAAAAGGTCGGCTACCTGTTCCATTGGTGCTCTCTTTGCTTGTCCTTCTCTGACGACCTCGACAATTTGATCAAGCATAGACTTGCCAGAAGTTCCTGTGACCTTGACCACCACAGCAGATCCCTTGTTGACGGTTCCCGCAAACACCTCATCTCCTTCGCCCTTCTTGATAGGCCGTGATTCACCTGTCAGACTTGATTCATCAAATGTCGTCTCGCCAGACAAAATCACACCATCAACTGGCGGTGATGAGCCGTGAGGCACTCGAATAACATCTCCGTGTTCCAGTTGGTCCATGTCTATCGTCATAGTGATTTGGCCTTGCAGCTTATCTTGCTCTATCAGCAGAGCAGTAGTCGGCCTCAGCTTTGCCAGGGCTTCCACCGCATTACCTGCTTTGGACTTGCTGTAGGCCTCGATCAGCCGACCGGCGAGGAGGAAGAGGGTCAGGAAGACCACAGAGTCGAAATAGAACCGATCCTCGGGGATATCAGCATCGCCATCAGCTCCCGCCGCAATCATCTGGCCGATAGAAGACCAATACGCAATGCTTGTTCCGAGAGACATGAGCATGTTCATACTGCCAAATTTGTAGAATCGCTGCAAGAACGGCGTACGGCTGCTATGCCGCCATAGTGTCCTCAGCTCTTTTATGGCTCTAACATGGAAGACGTCGGCTGCAAAAAAGTACACGGGGGTGGCGAGAAGGCAGAGGATGATCTCTACACGGCTAAGACCAGATACCCACGGCTTCATCAGGAAATGCTTGGTGGAGTTGGAGTCTGGCACAAGACTCATGTATACTATACCCAGAACGAATGTGGGAATGGCCAGAACGATGGTCAAGATCTCTCTGTAGAACAGCTGTCGAGTATGCTTCGCCCTAATGGCCCTAGACCGTTCTTCAAGCGTAGGCGGGTGGTATATTTTTGCCCTAAGAGATGGATCTGTGGCCTCGATGCTCTTCAGGATGTGGCGCACAGTAAATTGAGGTGAGTTTGGAATATAACGCAGCTTCAGAACGGGGTGCTCCATAGACGGATGGGCCAGGATCTGTACACCATGGGTGCCGAAGCTCTTCAAGGTCTGGCTGATTCTTTGAGGGCAACGGGGGCAAAATATGCCATCGATTCTGATTTCCACATGTCGTTCATCTGACAAGGGTTTTTTCTCATTGAGGTTAACCACCTGATCAATTGCACCATCGTAACCAAGGTCTTCAATAGCTTCGACAAGCTCCTTCTCTTTTTCCTGGCCGACAAAATCGATCGTGGCGCTGTTCCCGACCAGGTTGACGGCAACCTTTGACACCCAGGAGAGCTTCTGTAACTCGTCTGTAATAGCGGTAACACAAGCCGCGCAGGTCATTCCGCCAACAGACACCGTCGCTCGCCATAAGGGGGGCTGACTCTCATCTCCGGTGACAACGCCATCAAGCGGTATTGTGTCGATGGTGTCGATGGCCTGGTCTTTGCGTAGGCTCGAAAACGAGAAGGACGACTTTAGTTTCTGATCGGCATCTTCTTCATCGTGTGGTCTGTGTGCTTTACACGCCTCGCAATTCTCTAGATGCGCAGCTCTGGTGGCCTCTACAGCCGGCGCCGGCTGCTTTTGCGCCCACAAACTAGACCAGCTGTCAAAGAGGCCGCCGCTGTCAGGCATGTCATCGCTTTGAGGATTGTTGTTCAGCTCTTCGGCGCCAGAGGCAGTGGTATCGACTCCACAAATCTCGAAGCCGACATTTTCAAGCGTCTTGCCGATGGCACGGACAAAGTCGGGCGAATGGTCATCGTGCTCAACTGTTACAATGGATGTCACCAGATTTGGTGATACCCAAACAATCTTGTCACCAAATGTCTCCTGCAGAAGAGACTTGATGAGGGTCACACATGATGGGCAGTGAAGGTTCCCCAGCAGATAGGCTGTTGTAGCTGTATTGGACGAGACCATCGTGTATGATCTGCCGTGTTGTTGCACCAATCGGCGATTAAGTATGGGCACCCAAAGGGATGCGTTTGTGGGGGTTTTACAGCAGTAGTAGCGATGAAAGCGTCCGCCGGAGTATTTGATAGAGGCCCCAAGTGATGTTGTGTACTAGCGTAGTTGTGACACGTTTCACTTGCTGATAAGACGTGGCGTGTTTCTTCTTTTTTTTTTATTGTTATTTTGCCAAAGTCAGAATTAGGATTGTAATAGATAATAGAGATGGAATCAGTTGCAGCGGTGAAGAACAAAAGGATGCTCCTCTTGCTGTCGACGTCCTTTATATATAAGGCAACGCTGAGCTGCTCCTGGCTCACTTTTGACGCTAAAATCCGCACAAATATCGCACTCTGCAGGGGTCCTTGTTGGGAGGTGGTCATCGACTAACGCAGCCGTTTGCATGTGGTAAACGCCACCAGTTCTGTATGGCGTACTATTGTATGCTGTAATAGCGATCTTTCGTTTGTCGGTCTTGGCCTTCACCGTGTACACCGGGTGCAGCTCTTATTGTGCTGAAAGCTGCTGAAAGACACGACACGATGCAAGGAGGAGGCTGTTATTTTTCCACGGGCTGCACGTGATTGAGCTGAGAGGAACTTGAAGTCGGTTTGTGATCTGCTCGTTTCGATGCTCTGCAGAGGCCAGCGCAACCCATCTGTGGCGTAATCAAAGGCATATTTCCCTCAAAGCATAAACGTCAACTGGCTTACAGCTGAGGCTGTGTGTGGTGTGGCATCGCGATATTTGTGCCGGACAGCTGACAAACACGAAGCGACAGGCCGACGTCATCGAGTGTGGTCACGTGATGGTTCGACCAATGAACTCTGCAACTTTGCAGTGAGCAAGTCCAATAGAAGAAGGCAGCTGAAAATATTCAAGTTGCGTAATACAGTTGCACCTCACGTGCCTGTTGTGCATTTATCAGATCTGGCGAGGTCAAGGCGAGTGAGACACCATATTGGTGGGATGAGGTGGCTAGCAGTGCGCTATCAATCAGGTTGTACATACCATTGTGTGTTGACGCCTACTACCTACCTAGTTACATTTTATTGTATAGTAGTTTTAATCCAGAATACACATTTGCAGGTTAAGTCGTCAATAACTGCTACTTCAATCACGTCGAGACTCTATCAACTTACATCAAGATCCCTCCGCAACATAGACGGGCCGTCGCATCACTGTTGCTCTACCAAGTGCTAGACTCAGTCGTCGTGTGTTCCACAGCCTATTAGTAACCGTCTCATTTTTCCTGAGGGATCGCCGCTATTGGCTCAACCGTCTGAATTAGGATAGTCTTTTTTTAGATGGCTGCTGCATATGCGCCTCTTCAACTTCCATCTCTCTCCACCGACACAACAATAATCAAGCGACACTCGCCATCACCACCTCCATCCCCCTGCATCAATAAGCCCTCAACAACCCGTAAGCCTCTAACCCTCCCTTTTCCCTCGCCAACAATAACCCGCATAAACTCTCTTACTCATCATGGCAACATCTCCAGAAGAGCGCAGTCGGAAGTCGGTGCTGCCTCTCCCAGGCAGACCGACAGTCCGCGCCAATCACGGCGCCGCAGACAAAATAAAGTGGTTCTCCCGTCTCTTCGGGGAGGGTTCGGCGAGTGGCATCATCGGCGCTAAGCCCAAGGCGGCCTAAGAGAATTGCGTGATTCGGTCCCTGTATCAACAATTTGAATCTCAAAGCCAGCCAAATGGTAGAATTCGCTGGCTTGGGTAGAGTAAGAAAAAGTCATTTGGTGCAGAATGGACCCTGACAAATCCGTGGCTGACTCCCGTCCGGGGCGATCCACGATTGCCATGGACTTATTTGTTGCTCGAATCTCCTCTCTGTTCTCCTCCTCCTCTCCTCGATTCCCCAGCTCTTCTTTCTTTTCAGTCTGTTGTCATTCAGACTTGGAGATTCACCAGACCCTTGGCTTGGAAGACTTGAAATTCCTCTGAAAATGGCGTCCAAGGTTGAAGAATCCTCCACCTTGCCCTTTGGCAAGCAGGTGCCTCTGTCGGCCATCTCTGGCCCGACGTATGTCACGGCCCAGCTCCTTGTCCAGCAGATTGCCTACAAGCTCTCAGACAAGATCTTTTCCTACTCTCCTCCCACCTTTGGCCTTGATGTTGCTACCAAGCAGTGGGCTGCCGAGGAGAGCAAGAACATCCACGGATACGCCCCTGATGTCCTGCCCCTTCAGACTAGAACCGGTGCCGGTGCTCTGGCCCTGGGCTACATCTTCTCTCCGGATTTCGACGTCAGCAAGCGCCATATCCCTCAGACGCTGCTGGCCCCGTCAGGCTCTCTCCAGAACCTCCGGGGAGCCCTGGACCAGCTCTCACTTCTTTACAACCTCTCAAGCCCCTTTGTGGCTCATGTTGCCGCCGCCGATTACAGCGCTGCCAACGGTCTCGTCTCTGACTATGATGTCGCTCTGAGACTGGCTGAAGACCTTGGCCTGGGTTTGGTTGCCAGCTCTTCCTCGTATGAGTCTCAGCACATGTCACTCTTCTCGACGCTGCTGGCTACCGTCGTCCCTACTCTCCACATCTATGACGGCATTCGTCTTCCTAGAGAGACTCTGAGAATTGTCGATGCTTTGAGCGAGGCCGGTGTCGCCGACTTGTACAACAAGCTTGTTGAGGAGGCTGGCAAGTTGAACCAGCACCTCGACACCGCAGGCAAGGTCTTGGAACTCCTGAGACTGTTCAACGATGAGCTCGGCACCGTGTACCAGCCATTCGAATACTACGGACACGAGACCCCTGATGTCGTCCTCGTTGCCTTGGGAAGCGTCGAGGCACAAGTCGCCAAGGAGACTCTGAACAAGATTGCTGCCGACGGAGCCAAGGTCGGTGTCATCAACGTTCGTGTCTACCGACCTTTCATTGAGGAGGCTTTCCTCAAGGCCATCCCCGCCTCCGCTCGCACCATTGCCGTGCTCGGCCAAGTGAACAATGATATCGCCGTGGCGGACGAGGCTACCCAATCCGCCCTGTACGGCGACGTCCTCACGGCCGTCACCTTCGCCGGCAAGTTTGATCAGCAGCCTGAGGTTCTGGACATCAAGTACACTCCTGCCCAGTTCCTGACCCCTCAAGGCCTGGCCGGCACTCTTCACAAGATCTTTGGGCACGACGGTGAGGTCAAGCCTCTGCCCTCTCTCTTCGCCAAGTCCCAGCAGTTCACTTTCTGGGATGTGGACGACTCCGTCTCTGCCAAGTCGCCCGCTGCCATTGGCACGCTCCTTGCACAGGAGTCAACCACAAATGTCCACCTCTTTGAGACATACGACAACTTCACCCAGGGAGGCATTGTCCGAACTGATCTTCGCGCGTCCAAGGTTTCTTTGGAAGCACCTTACCCCGTCACTGAAGCGGACGTCGTTGTTGTCGGCAACGAAAAGGTCCTGAAGGACGTTGATGTGCTGGCCAACATCGCCCGTGGCGGCAAGCTCCTCATTAAGCTGCCAAACTTCAACGCTGCCGACGTCGAGAAGCGACTTTCAGCCTCCCTGCGCAAGACAATCCAAGAAAAGGAACTTGGCGTCATCGTCTTGGATCCTGCCGTCTCTCCTGCTTTCGAGAAGGATGCCTCGATCGCCAAACTGCTCCTCGAGCTGTCCTTCTTGCAAATTGCCTTGCCAGGAAGCTCTGCCGAGGAGCTTGCAAAGATTGTCGGAGCACAGACTATCCTGCAGGAGAGCAGCAACGCTCTTGTCCAGGTTCTCTCCGAGCTCGAGATCCCGGCTACCTGGTCAGAGGTCGAGGCTGATTTCGTCCACCCCAACCTGCCTGCTGGACTCCAGACTACTGGGTTTGTTCCCTTCCAGAAGGAGGAGGTCGAGGAGGCCCCTCAGTTGCACGACTGGCAGATTGCCGCCAAGGGTCTCGTCTTTAAGGAGGCTTACGGTACTCAGACGACTCTGCGCCCCGATCTCTCTGTCAAGACCTCCACCGTCACTGTCAAGGAGAACCGTCGTCTGACACCCTCCGACTACGACCGTAACATCTTCCACATTGAGTTCGACCTTGGCAACTCTGGTGTCACTTACAAGATCGGCGAGGCCCTGGGTATCCACGCTGAGAACGACGAAGCGCAAATCAACGCCTTCATCGAGTTCTACGGCCTCAACCCCGCAGAGCTTGTCCAGGTGCCTTCTCGCGAGGACGCCAACGCCCTCGAGGTCCGCACCGTGTTCCAGGCGCTCATGCAGAATGTCGACATCCTCGGCAAGCCCCCCAAGCGCTTCTACGAGGCCCTGTCCGAGTTCGCCACCGACGACATTCAGAAGAAGAAGCTTGCCGCCCTGGGCGGTAATGACGGCGCTGCCGAGTTCAAGCGCCGTTCTGAGGTTGACACGGTGACTTACGTCGACATCCTCGAGGAGTTTAGCTCTGCTCGCCCCAGCTTCCACGACCTCGTCAAGATTGTCAGCCCGCTCAAGCGCCGTGAGTACTCCATTGCCTCCGCGCAGGCCGTCACCCCCAACAGCGTCGCGCTCATGATTGTCGTCGTCGACTGGGTCGACACCAAGGGCCGCACCCGTATCGGCCAGGCCACGCAGTACCTCAGCCGCCTCCAGCCCGGCGCCACTGTCACCGTCTCCGTGAAGCCCTCTGTCATGAAGCTGCCCACCAAGGACACCGCGCCGCTCATCATGGCCGGTCTTGGAACCGGTCTCGCTCCTTTCCGCGCCTTTGTGCAGTACCGCGCCATGCAAAAGGCCCAGGGCAAGGAGATTGGCTCTATCCTGCTGTACCTCGGCTCTCGCCACCAGCGCGAGGAGTACCTCTACGGAGAGGAGTGGGAGGCCTACCTCGCCGCCGGCGTCGTCACCCTCGTCGGAAGCGCCTTCTCGCGAGACCAGCCTAAGAAGATTTACATCCAGGACAGGATGCGCGAGACCCTTGACAGCATCGCGCAGGCGTACATCAAGGACGAGGGTAGCTTCTACCTCTGCGGTCCCACATGGCCTGTGCCTGATGTCACGGCGGTGCTGAAGGAGGCCATTGCTGCTGAGGCCAAGGCTTCGGGCAAGAAGGTTGACCCGAGCAAGGAGATTGAGAGACTCAAGGAGGAGGGCCGATACGTGCTTGAGGTTTACTAAAGCTGCTGGCAAAGTTTGAATCTTGATGTTGTTAATAGAAGAGCGATACACAAAAGCAACTTGTAGATAGACAATGATTTATGTTTCAAACACATCTTCTTTTTGACTAATGCCTCGAGAACTCATGTTTGTAAGCAAAGTGTGAAGAGTGATGCATTTCTCTAAACGCACCTAATGGAAGTTGATAGTATTCCACTCTAGCCTTTGGCATATCCCCTTCTATCAGTGTCTAAATAGAGCAAACATCCAACGCAACGTGCCGCTTTGCCCTTGCCGACGGATATACAAAATCATCATGCCGTTTCCTGTCCCAATCCCATACATGTATCCATTTCATCATAAAAACCCTATCAAACGAAAACAAAACCCTTTTCCTCCCAACCAATGACACGTTACAGCAAGGTCTCACCCAGTGCGCAGCGCACCAGGGAGCAGCCGGCTCTGACAGTCTCCTGTGCTCCGGCTTCGGTAGCTGCAAGGCTGGGGTTCACCTCGACCAAGTCAATGGCGACCAGGTTGCCCGTCTGGTGAACAACCTCGCAGATGTAATCACCCTCACGCAGAGTAAGGCCACCTCGTACGGGAGTACCGGTGCTAGGTGCCCACATGGGGTCAAGAGCATCCACATCGAAAGACAGGTGGATGGGAGTGTCGTCGCCGATGTGGGCAAGGGCCATCTCCATGACACGACCAATTCCGTGGCTAGGGGGAGACAATCCGTGGTTAGCTCTCGATTCTTATAAGCCGGATTAGAGATGGCGCAAAGTTATGCACTTACTGGTCAATATCAAACATGCTGAAAGCCTTGATGCCATGCTCTCTCAAGATGCGCTTCTCGCCAGCGTCGACATCACGCAGGCCAATGTACACAAGCTTGCGGACACTCAGGCGCATGTCATCCTGGATCCAGCCAAAGTACTCTTCTTTCTCCTCCTTGGCAATGCCAGTGAGGAAGGCAACAGGCATACCGTGGATGTTACCGCTGTCGCTCGTCTCGGGGGTGTTGATGTCGGCGTGCGCATCAACCCAGATGACGGCAATTTCGCGGTTCAGGCGCTCGCGCGTGGCCTTGGCAGTACCAGCAATGGTGCCAATGGCGATGCTGTGGTCGCCGCCAAGCGTCAGCGTAAGGCGGCCCTGAGAAGAGTGCTCGTATGTCTCGGATGCAATCTTTCGGGTGACAGCTGAGACAAGGAGCGGGTTCTTCATGCCGCGGTACTCGGGGTCGGATGCGGGAGTCAGGTCATTGTAAAGCTTGACCGTCTCATCACCGTGCAGCTTGTAGCCGAGCTCATCTCGAATCTGGGTCAAGAGTCCAGACTCGATGAGGGCAGTAGGGCCTGCATCCACACCGGCTTTGGGCTGTTGCAATACGCGTCAGCAATCGTGTCCGGACTTCCTCGGAAAGTCAAATTGATGACGGAGAGAGGTGTATATGTTGCGAATAGGGCATAGAGAAACATACCTGACCACCCGAGAAGCCTACGGTGACAATACCAAGGTCCTCGGGGTGCGAAAGGAAGCGGCTCTTGACGGTGCTGGTGTTCATTTTGAGCGATTGAGCGATTGAGCTGCAAACGAAGTATGTGTAGATCCGTAAGAAGGCGGAATTTGCGTATAAATCTTGAGAAAATATATGCTATCGGCGGATAGTCGTGGTGCAGAGTGCTTCTGGAGAGAGATGCGAAAAAAGAAGCTTCGACGAGGCGGGCAGCGGCCGCAGTAGATATAGGACTTCAGGTCACACGGACCTCCCCAATCAAAGGCCCGTTTCCTGTCTCGACTGGGGGCCAGCGCCTGCGCCTGCTTTGCTGCTGTCTGAGCGCCATTTGCAAGCCGTGGGCTAGGCCCGTACAATTGGGTAGGTCAAACGAAGGCGCTCGAATCCATGTGTGCGTGTGTCTCTGACTGGCGGATCGGGCTAGTAACTTAGAGGTAAAGGGGTGTTGAGCAGACGAACGAACTAGTAACTTAGAGGAAAACAGAGACTCTATATAATCAAGTCGCTTTGCTCAGGCAAGGAAAATTATTGCTAATAAAAGGCTTGAGTCGGCAATCCGCCGCGTCCGGGGACTCCACCGCGGGGCACGTCCAGCAGCGGCCGGGGCTCGCACATGATGCCGAGACAGAGGCAGAGCCGACTGCTATCACGGGGGGGTTGGCATAGGTTGGTTATCTTTCCGTCAGATTCTGGCGATGTTGGTGGCGGTGATATCGTTGCAGCTGGTTGGTTGAGCAGTCAAGGTTCGATGCAAGGAGGTTTTTTGTTTTTCCCCTTATCTCTGAGGGAGTACAAGGCAAGGTGTACCTTCACCGCCCGGCATAGGTACCGTACGTTCACATGAAAGTCTGGAAGGAGAGATATGACATGTTAGTACGAGTGTATTCACACAGTGGTACAGCAGCGGAAAGACTCTACCCATTGTCACAAAATCTAACTTTGTATAACTAATAGCAGGTAGTACTACTAGTATAGAAAGAAGCATTGGTTCGTACATCTCCATCTTGCACTTCCCCCATCAGGCTGGCGCGTTCCGTCCTTTGTTGCATCCCTTACATATCGCTCAGTTTAATGCCCTGAATGACGTTGGAACAGCCCCTCCAAGAGCCGTTTCTAGCCTTGCGCTTTTCCCTATCGCTTCCTCCACCTGATAAGAACGGTCAAGTGACCCCTCCGCAGCCAACCAACCGCCCGAATTAGTGTTATGTAATAGCTGTCTCGGCCAGTAAGACATGAGTCAAGGAAACTGAATATTCTTTTTCGATAAAATAAATTCGATAAATTCGATAAATTAAAAGTCAATAAATTCATTTAATTGACCACAATGATAACCCCCGAGGGCAAGCGGGAGTCGGAGATACGACCACTAGTGCATGGTAGGCAATTGGGCCATAACTCCGAGCCACGGACTAGGACAAAAGGACGCAACTCCCACATCAATCCGTCCAAGGAGTCTAAATTATCTTATTTGCGATTCTATCCTAGAAGAGCAGCATCTATTCCCAACCCAGATACATTGACCTTCGAAAACCGACGCACAGGCACAGGCAGGGGCATCAGCCACGGCCGCTAAAGCAGGAGTCAACGGATCCGATCCGATCGATCTCGAGCCGTCGTCGGCACTCCGTATGGCGCAGTCTCGGTTACCAGAAGGATTCTAGATTCGCTGGACAAGGAGCGCATTGAGCGCATTGAGCACCTTGCGACGAGATGTACGGAGTTTTCTCTGCGTAGCTTCGATGTGAGATGCGGCAGTGCTGTCGTTTGGAAGAAACACACACAACACCTTACATTAGTCCTTGTATGCTGCTTAGGTCAGCAGACAATGCATTTGATGCAGAGTCAAAACGTAGAGATGACCCAATACACCCAGATACTATCAGTTAATTGGTTGGAGGAGTAGAAATTCAAGTAGCTCCCTAGACTAGTATTGTCTTAAAGGAGTGCTTGAACCAATACATCAAATTACCAAGTAGGAGGGGCGATGTTGTAATTGGAATGCCTCTCTGCCATAACCAGCGTTGATTTGCTGGATCGCACAATGAAGCAGAGACCAAGGCTCTGGGTGAAAAGCCATATAAGCATGTGTACACTTTTGTTGATATTCTGCTACACGTACTTACAATATGTACAGACATCAACTGGCTGACATATGGCAAAAATACTAAATACTCTCTGTATGATTGAGAGGTTCCCACTAGCCTACCAAATATGAGTCAAACGCAGTTCTCTACAAAGGGGCGAGGCTTGATTCATCCAGGATCATGTATTTCTTTCTCCTGGCTGTGCTTTGCAGTAGTTAGTAGCAGCGGTCAACTCTCAGTCTCAGAGGGTCCAAAAATTTAGACAAAAGTCCAAAAAAAGAACCAGCCGACTTGATATCTCAACCAAGTGCTGTATAGGAAAAGCCCAATGCGGGGGTCGAACCCGCAACCTTGAGATTGCATCAGAACGTGTGCTCTTAAGAGTCTCACGCTCTACCGATTGAGCTAACCGGGCTGGCTTAGCACGGTTGAGCTCGAAGGCGGCTGGCTGGTTGTTGGGATGGATGGAAGGCAAATAGATATATAAAGCATCTATGAAAATTTTGGCATTCTAAGTGGGAAAAAATGTGGTTCACCGAGGGGCTAGCGGTGGACACAGCGATCTATTTCGGTGAATAATTTTCATTGGCTAGCTGGTGCTTAGTAGCGATAATATATGTCCATAAGTAGTTAGCGCAAATGCTTAGTGATCCTCTAAATAATTGCCGCCGCCTCTGCGCGAAGGATCACTCAGCGATTGCCCAATTTGTTCATACTCTGCTTCGAGTTCTTTCTTTTCACTGCACTTCTGCGCCGACTCAAAATCTACCAGAACCGCTTTTCCATCTCGTATAAGAAAATTGTATTTGTTAATATCGCCATGCTTAATGCCTAGAGAGTGTAGCTGGGCGAGGCTATCTTGGCATGCCACCAGGTCACCAACATCAGCAGACCTCGCACCCTCTATGTACTCCAGGACAAAGCCAATGACTCTTCCAGCCTCTGTCAAATGAGCAATGAATTTGGGACCGACACCCTGGTTAACTATCCATTCGTAGGCTGTTGTTTCAGCCTCAAAGAAGGGTATTTTCCATGGGAACTGAGCAAGCTTGATGAACAGCGCTTGGTCAAAAAGCGGATGCGTGACCACGTATATGTTTTGGCGTAGACGACGGAGTTCCTTGAACTCTAAATGATCGATTCGCATGCGGTGCCAGGTATTTGAAATTCCAGGCAGGTCGCTATGCGAATAACTGGAGAAGACTGGGTTCCTACTCACGGGGTCCTTGGAGACGTGACCCTCGTTCCATTCACCAGGTGGAAATGGCGGTAGTAGAGGAATCAATATCGGACCAAAGGTCTGAAAATCTTTTGGTATAACACCCGGGTCGACGGTGACATATTTCACGTGCTTACCATCGACTAGGAAGCGGTATTCGCCCTCCTCCTCGTCATCCCAGTCGACAAGTACTGCTAGCAGCTCGACGTTACTATTGTGGGTGGATGACATTGTGGGGTTTGACGGGGAAAATAAATACGAGTAGGTAGTAGTATAGACGGCCGCTCTGGTAAGAGAGGGGATGTGTAGCTATAGACTCTAGTAGGAGATCAACATGGTTAAAAAGCTTTGCACAGGTGAAGCCATGACCAACTGTAGGCGTGACTGAAACCCTGATGGCCTTTGGTACGTGCTTAGAGACGGGCACGATGCTTCATTTCTGTAGACGGTTTTTATTGGCTACTGTACTCCGTATGGCGAGGCGGTATTTCTAGAATAGGCTAGTACGATACTTGCTGTTTATCGCTCCCATATAGAAATGAGAGCGCGAGTTATTAGTATCTGTGCTCAAGAATTCTTATATCTCCAGACTCAAGGCGAGCTTCAAAACGTCGGTGCATAGCAAATTGAAAGCCGTGTTGTAACCAAAGACGGGGTTGACCTCCACTGAAATCGAAATTGCTGGTGATTTTAATTTCGTAATGATATGGCCTGGATATCAACATTCGAGCAACAATAATATCACCAAACCCGTCAAGCTGTAGGGTAGATGTGAACTGGCTTGCCTCGGACTCTGAACGCGGTTAGCAGTGGGTAGGCTCTCTTCAAGAGGTGCCTGGAAAAACAGCTCAAGAATACAACGCCGATGATTATTGATACAGTCAAGTGGTAAGCATTAGTCTCGGGGCACAATGGATTGTTTAATGATCGCCTATCACGGCGAGTGACTTCCGTTGCGAGTTGTGTCTCGACGGAGGCCGCAATTTCGCATCATGCTATTATAGATGGATAACACACATCTCTGGGCCTTCTTATTTATCTACCTACACGGAGTACACTGTCCAATATGGTAGATAGCACAATGGTGAAGCTTGACAAAGTGTAGGCTTCGAAATCTCAACACCCGACGGTAGGTTAGCGCAACGGAATGAGCGACGCCAGGTGAAAGTGACTCAGATGGACATATACATGCCAAGCCATTAATTCGCATCTGGAGTGTCACGCAACGCATTTGTTTGGCTTTCCAGAGTAGCAGCCCGTCATCCTTGCGTATCATGGCCATCCACAATCCTGACCTCATATAGCAAGACCCGTTGCTAATCGGGAAAACGCTCACGACGGCGCGTCGACAAGGCGAAATTACAGGGGCCCTCTATCGGAGACGGCTGAGACTAAACAATTCAATCAATCAATAGCTTGAGCCAGTCCCTCTTTAGCCACCCGGGATCCCAATCAAGCGCCGCAACCGTCCCAAGTCGACCCTCTCGAATGCTACCACAATCCACTCGGCAGTACTACACGCTACTGTACCAGCAGCCGGGCAATCAGGGCTTGTGTAACGAAAGTAGCGTTGGATCTGTCTCGCAGAGAGCTTATTCTTTCCTTATTTCCAGAGGCTGCTGCGCCTCTCGCCTCGCAAACCTGGGGAAAACACATGGCCAAGTGTGGGCATCTCTGTGGTTGGCGGAGCTTGTTATTAACCGATAACCTCCACGTTGGTCGTCTTCTGCATGTCGGTTGCTCGTTGAGGAAAAAACCACGACTGGGCTTACTGCAAGTGTCCTCCGGGGCGAGAAAAGAAAAAACATGGGGCGTAAAGGTGGGGAGAAATAGTGCGAGTACTCTACATGTGCGTATCACGCCTGCGATGGTATTTCACCCGGAGACAAGGGAGACAAGGAGCTCCTTGCAAGGAAAGACATGGCTTGAGGTTAGCGGATAGCGGCAATCGGGAGAGAGAAACGCGAGGTAACATAAGTCAGAAAACTTTCCGTCTGCCCTATTTGCCGGGGACGTGTACGAGTATTGTACTCGTATTAATTGAGGGCTCGTAATGGCTCGTAATGGCTCGGGCATGATTGAGTGTGTGGTCCGCTGCTTATTGGAGGCTTTTTTTTGCCTTTTCGTCTGCTTGGCCGTGATCCAGCGCAGGCCCTTGTCATTGGATGTTGCGTGCTCGCCGCTCAACCCGCTAAAAATCTTGAGGATTTTCTTTGCAATGGATGGTGCAAGTGCAAGCATGTCGCGACAACGGTTGGGGCCACGCAGAGTGGAGCTGAGGATAATTGAGCTGGGGCCAGAGGAGGAGGGATCGTCAGCTCATTAGCGGACCAAGGACTGTGAGTATGGATGGATGATGGCTGGATGATGGATGGATTGACTCAGGTCAGGTTCAGAAGAGACGCCGTCGCTTTTCTTTGTTCGCCGCGCCTCTTCTTCTCTTCCACGGCTTCTTCGCTAGCTTCTAGGGTGAAAAGAAGAATTATGATTTGATGGGGAAGCAGTGTGATGAGAAACATGCATGCATGAATGCTGGCGAGGATTGGAAGCAAGGGCGAGTAGGTTCCGGTTCCGTAGGTAGTTCGAGGTTTTTTTTCTGGAGCTGGGGGCTACTGAATGTGCCAGGCTGCTGCTATGAGGATAGTGGTAGTCGACTCCATAGGTAGGTACTCGTACGGAGTAGTATAGTTTCTTCAATGCGTGTGCGGCGTAGTGTCTGGGATCGATATTTGCGGCTGACATGGATCAACGTCAATGCTTACATGCTACTCGTATCAATTTGATCGAACGCATCAATCGCCCGTGTTTTATTAGCAGCGGCGCTCGGTTAGGCTATAGCGGGCAGCCTTATCGCGCCTGGAGGTTGAATTGACCTAATCCAATGCTGAAGAAGCTGGTGCCACCCCAAAGGCCCAGCGCAACCACTAGCGAGCGTAATCATGTCAGGGGTTACAGAGAGGTTATGGGTCGTCTTGGCAGTGGTTTTAGCTCGGTGCGAAATGGCACTGAGCGGGTTTGGCGAATCAATGGGCGATGTGGCCAATCAACCAATCTTGCCGCAAGCGTCTGCCCAGGTAATTTGCCCGCCTCCGGACATCTCTGCGAAATTAGACTTCTGCCTCTTCAATCTCTTCGCTCTCTTGGGCTGATCCTGCTGGTCGGATGATGATGCGGCGGCTGTAGCGACTCCAGAGCGCCCGATCCCATCCCGCCCGCCCGCCACGCCTCACCTCGCTTCACCTCGCTGTGCCCTTGGCTCGAAACCTCGACCTTTCCTCTCCTCTCCCTGTTGGCCGGAGGCAGAATCCAGTCCAGTCCAGTGTCGGGACCAGTCGCTCGTTATCAATCTCGAAGCAGCCTCCTGGTCTTGTGCGCTTCTTGGCACGCCCGGATGCGTTGAGGCCTCGATTCTCTCTTGGATATCCTGCCCCTCCGTCATCCAGCTTTAGCCCGAACTCCCGCCGCAGCGCAAGCACGCGCGGCCAACCTTCATTCATCTCCTAGCGATCCTCCCACGCCGCGTCCCGGTCCTGAGGATTCTTCATAACGTTACAAAAAGTACTAGTAGAGCATCGCAACCTCTCCAGCCCGACGTCCACCATGAAGATGCTGTCGCCCAACTTTCCGATGCGGCGGTCGTCCGGCCTTGTGCGCTACGGCGTCTTGGCGGCCATTCTGCTGCTGGCCTTGTACACCTTTAGCCACAGCTCATCAGATATCTCCCGCCTACCGCATCCTTTACCAGTAGACCCGGTGCCGGGCAGACCATTGCAGAACCCAAATTCAAATTCTGCCAACGGGGCTCCTGTCGTCCCTGGAGGCGTAAACGCACCCGTCGCGACAGGAACCACCAAGCCAGGCTCAGATAACCAGGAGCCTATCCACAACTCTCTTCCTCCTACTGGTCCTCCACCCACCAACGGCGGCCACCCCATTGACAAGCTCGTATACGATGCCCAGATGACATTTGCCGAGCTGACCTCGAAGCAATCCAAAACCGTGGAAGAGGCTGCCCAGGCCTATCGCAAGCGCCGTGGCCGCCACCCTCCCCCCGGCTTCGACAAGTGGTTCGAGTTTGCTCGCTCCAAGAATGCAATTATTGTTGAGGATTTCTTCGACCGCATCTACCAGGATCTGCAGCCTTTCTGGGGCCTTGACCCGGCTGTCATCCGCAAGGAGTCGTGGGACTTTGAAATGACAATCAACATCCGCGACGGCAACGCCACCGCGCGAAGCGACTTCTTCTGGACCAAGATTTGGCTCAAAATGATCAAGACAATCGACCACTTGCTGCCGGATATGGACATTGCACTCAATGCCATGGACGAGCCCAGGCTAGTTGTCCCCTGGGAGGAAATGGCCGGCTACATGAAGAATGCGTCCAAGACGATCAAGATGCCAAAGTCCAAGAATGTCATCCGCGAGTTCCAGAAACTGCCTCGCTCAGGCACCGGCGACGTTGAGGTCAAAACGCGCCCCAAGAACTGGGAAAAAACAAGTAGGTTACTCTCTCGGGATCGTGTGGCTGGCTACATGACTTTCTCTCCGTTTCTCCTCCCCTCCCCTTAATATTTTTAATATTTGATATTGACGATTCTCTTCAACATAGAGCCTTATTGGGCTATTGCTCGACGCGGCTGCCCCCCTGACAGCCTCGCGCGAGTGGAAGGTCTGAAGAAAACCGAAGATAGGACGCCAGCTATCAACTCGACATATGCCGAACCCCACATGTACAAGGGTTTCGTCTCCAACTTTTCAATGTCCACCGAAATTTGCCATCAGCCGGACTTGCAAGCCTTGGAGGGCATTTTCATCGAGCCCATTTCTACATCTGCCTCCAAGGTCTTGTTTCCCATGTTTGGTGGCTCCAAATTGGGTGTCAACAACGAGATTTTGCTGCCTGCGCCCATGTATTGGAATGAGGAAGAACGGTTCACTGGTGGCGACAACCACGGCGTTTCCTGGGCCGAGAAGGAGAACAAGGCCATTTGGCGCGGCGTTGCAACCGGAGGCCAGAATACCGTTCACAACTGGCGAGGGTTCCAGCGCCATAGATTTGTTGCCATGAACAATGGTACAACAGTTTCGCGAGTGGAGAAAGGAGCGGATGCTGAGAACTTCGCGTTGCCAGGCGAGGAGTACAATCTACAAGCTCAAAAGGATGGCAAGCTGGGCCAATGGATCGACTCTTGGGCCAACATCAGCTTCACGGATCTCAGCTGCACTCCGCCGCAAAACGGAAAGTGCAACTACACGAGCCACTATTACAAACCGACCAAGGGAATGAAGATGGCAGAGCAGTTTGATAACAAGTACATCCCGGACATTGATGGAAACTCCTTCTCTGGGCGTTACCTTGGCTTCTTGCGATCCACCTCCCTCCCTATCAAGGCCACTGTCTGGCATGAGTGGCACGACAGCCGCTTGGTTGCGTGGAAGCACTTTGTTCCCATGGATAGCCGTTTCATCGATTACTACGCCATCATGGAGTATTTCCTCGGATACGAGGGACGCAATGGCCACGACCACGTTGCAGAGAAAATAGCCACCGAGGGCAAGGAGTGGGCCGATCTGGTGCTGCGCAAAGAAGACATGCAGATCTATGTATTGAGGCTGCTGTTTGAATATGCTCGATTGCTTGACGATAAGAGAGAGAGTCTGGGATGGGTAGACGACGTCCTGAAAGACCCGTCATTGGAGAAGACATGGAAATGGTGGTGGTAATGACCCCTTTTCTTCTTCTCCTCCGTTCTCCTCTTCTCCTCCCACCTTTTGAATTTCTTTCATTTACTTTTTCTCGTAATAATCGAGTGTGACACGATGCATGAGTTGGAACAGTTTGGGACTTGGATAGGCCTGCGGCGTTTGGCGTGGAAGTCGTTTTACGCTTCTCCATATCGGCAAGTAAATTACGGTGAAGGTCTGCTTGTGACGAAAACTGGCGGACAACAGGCGATTTGAAAATTGATACCTGGTTAAGAGTGGCAGGACTTGGGGGGATTATGTTGCAGTACCCTTCCAGCATGGCTATTAACTGGCATGACGTTATTTTTTTGTTCTCATTCTCTCTTTGTTCTTTTCTTCTTCACTCTATTTGATAATACCATTTTCTTTGACCTGAAACTGCCGAGTCACTGTGATGACGGGGCTAAATAGGGCAATTTGCGACGCATTCTACTGTACCCGTACTGGCATGAGGGGATTTCAAGGCATGTAATTGGAAGTGACAGAAACCAGCATCCAAAATATGATGAATTGCCTTCCAGATGACTTACCGCCTGTTTAAAGCTGTGCGGGGCCCCCCTGACAGGCCCCTAATTCGCTCTAGAATTCCACTGGTTCCCGCGGCCTTAGCGCGTGCAAGCACTGGAGCTGCAGGCCCTTGGTATCAATAGGTACACTCTGCTTGATCAGGCGTTGGACGAGTTGAGCTCGCATCAAGCTGGCAAACTTGGCCATCTCCCTACTCGCTCGCCTCTTGCTCACCACTTATTGTTTGCCAGTCTCCAGCTGTCCGCCCGCTCCCTCGCGACTCTCCCAAGCCCTGGCCGAGACAGAAACAAGCCGCAAGATGCACCATGGCTGGCGTGGATGAGAACACAGCCCAGGAGCCCGAATCGCTCCCCTCCACCTCAAGGCGCGTCCAAGCCAACAATGGCGGCCAGACAGCAGACCCGACGACGATGAGCGCGCGCTCGCCGCTGCAGCGATCTGAGCAGCAGGAGAATGCGCCGGCGCCTCCCAAGCATGCCACGATCCCCCCTAACCCGAGCAGCAGGCTCTCCCCAGCGTCGGCGCAGGCTTCATCTCGGCCCAGACCTGGCGGGGGTTCGCCCGCGGGCCAAGGAGACCTCAGCTACTTCGAAACGACCGCTTTGGATCCGACCCTGAACCCGGACGACACGATTTCGGAGGACGCACTCAGAGAACATCTTAAGGATAATGAATCGAGCTTCCTTCCGTCGTTGTCGCCAATCCCTACCGGCTCTGCGAATGTTGGGGCGACCGCCGATGACAGCTTTGTCTTCGACTCGCCCGCGAAGCGATCTGGCCAGCCTTCCAGGAATTCTACCCAGCGCGAGCCGTCGCAGTCCAAATCCGAGTCGAGATATGAGTTAAGCTACAAATCGAGGCCGGAATACACGCACGAGTTTGACTTCAACCCGGAGTCTGAAGATGATTTGACGAGAGCAAGCAACACCACATCCAGCCTAGAGAGGTTTGACTCCTCGCCCGCAGCAGCTGCAGCCGCTCGGTCCATCTCTCGCACCACGGCAGCTCAATCCAACCAGAACACGCCCAGGGCCCCGCAGCAAGAGCACGACGATTCCCTCGTCTTTAGCACTGAAGGCCAGGACCATGATGCTGCTTCCTTTCTACACTCTCAGCTCGGCGGCGCTTCTGGGCTTGCCCTGCGCAATAAGCGCCCCAAGTATGTCCGCAGTGGCCGCTTCAGTAGCCAACGATCCTCGACCTCATCCTTTGTGACCAACCCTGAATCGCAGGAAGACAGCGACGCTACTGTGGGCACTGTAGGGCTGGGACTGGACTATGCGCTACATTCCGGGGGAGCAGTGCCAAATACTCGATCTCCCAACAATCTGTTGCTGCGATCTATAAGCATGGGCAGCATGGCTTCTGGCCTCGGAACTGATGAATTTGGTGACAACACGCGCCAGCTGGAACCGTTGGCCGAGGTGGATACTCCCACCCGAGGAAGAGACAGCAGCTACAAGATGGTGACACCCAAGGCAAAAGATAGCATCAGCACAGCTCCTACGGATACCGTCATAGCCCAACACGTTAAGAACGTCCACGTCCCAGATTCGGTTGCGAAAGAGTTCAAATTCGAAAATGGCCTACAAACCCCACGATTGTCCGGCTCGACGGTTACTGCAATGAATAGCACCAAGGCCACGGGCAAAGGCGGCAACAAGACCTGGACGCTAAAGGAACAGAGCAGTACCATTGAGAGGCTATCCAAAGAAAACTTTGACCTCAAGCTCAAAGTCATGTTCTTGAGCAAAAGGCTCGACACCTTGTCGGAAGAAGGTCTTAAGGAGATGATATCCGAGAACGTTGAGCTGAGAACGAATCTTGCTATAACAACGCGAGACAACAAAATTCTGCGAAAACGAGTCAAGGAACTAGAAAAGAAGGAGAAAGAAGACGAAGAGAGACCAAGTACTGCGCGCAGCGCTGCCTCTTCGACGGACCAGACCGCCAAGATGTATAACGAGGAGGCCCAAGAACGGGAAGAAGAGCTCATGTTTTTGCGAGAGCGCGTTGAAACGTATGCCACGGAGATTGAAAGACTCCGAAACGAGACCCAAGATAGGGAATCGGAGAAGAAAAAACTGTCAGATATTGTCAAGACGCTGGGCGAACGGTCCGGAGACGCTTTCGGCCGCCAGGAAGAGGCGGATGTCTGGAAGGACTTGTTGGAGCAGGAGACTGCGCGCAGAGAGCAGTCGGATGAGGACAATAGGAAGCTGCGAGACGAAGTTTTCCGGCTCAAGAAGGAGATGTCTGGTGCCGGTACGGGCATGCTGCACCATACGACCAACATTTACAACATTACCAAGAAACCACGAGACCGGGGTGCTTCGCCGGGTAGACCCATGTCCAGCGTGTCTGGCGATGCCGATGGTTCTCATGCCAACTTCAGCGCAGCCAGCACCTTGGTCGACGAACTGCGGCGGGAGAGCGAGCAGCTGCGCCACGAGAATGCCGAACTTCGTCGTGAGGTTGGAGCTCAGACCTCGATGCTGACATCCAGAAATCGCGAAAAAGAACGCCTGTACCAGGAAATTGAGGATCTCAAAATGGCTCAGCGGCGTGGCGGTCCTGCTCCGTCAACTATTGACAGTCTCTTGGAGCGATCTGCATCGCGCGCCGGCGCCCTTGAGAGACCAAGCTCGAGGAACAGTGTTCGGACTAGGCAGCTGACAGCGGAGGATGAGGCGGAGCGCGAGGAGATGGAAAATAAAATGGCTGAGTTGCGGGACAAAGTCAGCGAGGTGAAACTTCAGAACCAGGATCTGCAGCGGGAATTGGAGAGCTGCATGGCCGATTTTGAACTTGCCATTAACCAAAAGCGCGAGGCAGACGAGGCACTCATGAGTATGCAGGAAGAGCTCGACAACGCGACGAACGACTTGATTGCCCTGCAGTCAGAGCGTGATGAGGCGTTGAGGGAGCATGGTGAATTGGAGGCCAACTTTGAGGACCTTCGCAGCGAGGCTCAGGCCGAGATTGATGCCCTGGAGGCGGAGGTTCAGCGGCTGCAGGCTGATCTGAGTGACAGATCCGAAAACTTTGAGAGTTTGCAGAAGGAGATGCGACAGATGAGCGAAGCCCTCCTTGGCCTTGAAGACGAGCAAGAGCACAAGCTTCGGCACATCCAGCAGCTTGAGGAAGAACAGGCTAACCAAACACACCGCATCCAGCACCTAGAGCAGGAGCAAGAGTCTTCCAACAAGGAGCTGGAGGAATTGGAGCAGAAGCTACTCGAGTCCAACGAAAAGAACCAGCGCCTTTCCGTCCAGCAGGAGTCCTCCCAGGGCGAGATTTCATTCCTTCGGGAAGAGCAGGAAGCAGACAAGATTCGCATCGGTGATCTGGAAGCGGCCCTTTCTAATGTAGAGAGAAGCTTGGAAGATGAAAAAGAGCGAGTCAAGGAGTTGGATAACAGGATGCAGGAGGAGCGCGCTCAATGGGAGGATGTTACCACCAAGAAGGATGCAGATGTCCAGCAGATATTTGCCAACCTCCAACGAGAGAATGCCGGCGCCAAAGACGAGGTCAAGCGGCTGCGTAAAAGCCTGTCGTCTCGTGAAGTCGAGGCGACGGAGTGGAAAGAGCGGCTGCTGGAGCTGGAGAATAACTTGAGGGAAGCATTGGGTGACCTGAACGGCACCCGGTCTTCGCTGCTAAAGGTACGAATACGTCCACATTTCGCTCTCCAGTTTGGTCCTGTGCTAACGCGAAGCTACCTCGACAGTCTATTGCACGGATGCAGCGTGAACTCGAGAACACTGTTCGTGAACTCGATACCTCTAAAGCGGCATTAGTCGAGAAGGACCGCATCATTAAGCAGCGTGATTCGCTCATGGAGTCACACGCCCTGGAAACCCGCAAAATCACTGAATTGCTTGAAAAAGAGCGGGTTGCCCACCGCAATACCAAGTCTCAATTCGAGTCGTTCCAAAAGACACACCAGCACCTTACCCGAACGGCCAGCACGCAAGATGTCCGCATTAGCGAACTGGAGGCTACGAGAGGCCAGGATCGCCGGAAGCTTGCTATGCTGGAGCAGACGGCCCGCGAGCAGCTGTTGGAGAGGAATGAGCTGCTGCTTCTTCTGTGGCACAAGCTGAGTACGCTCTGCGGCCGAGAGTGGGCTAACAACAATACACTGGTGGATCGGCAAGTTGTGCCGACACTCGAGGTCATCGCGAGTCGCCTCCCAGGATTTTCCAAGAATCTCCTTGCCGCTGTTAAGACCATTGAGGGCATGTTCGCGGCGCTGCAGACAAAGATCAAGTCAGTTGAGAAGGATCTCTATCGCGAGTATCAGGCGCTGGAGAACAATCTGGATGTGCGAATCAAGAAGCTTGACCGACTAGAGACCATGGTCCGCAACTCAGTTGCCGCTGGCTCGCTGGGCTCTCATGAGGTGTCGAACCGTATGATACGTCTCGAAGAGGCATATCGCCAGCTCAAGGTGGAAAATGCTACGCTGAGGACTGCTAATGATGTTCGTGCTCGCGCGGCTCATCAAGCTCCCGGAGGAGGCTCCGAAGCCAGTGCCGGTTCGCCGTCGCCCATGGCTTCCCGTGGACCTGGCGATCGTGCTTCCAAGAGCAGGGCTTCATCTGCCGTGCGTGCCCCGTCCGCTTCTGGAATTCCAGTGTCATCGTCAAGAGCTTCTGGGCTCGGTCTCATGGATGCGACAAATTCCGACGGGAATAGTAACGACAATCGTTGGCTACTGAGACTCCGGGATATGGAGTACAAGCTGAAGATGGAGCGAGAAGGGCGCAACCAGGACAGGCAAGCGGCAAGGCAGCGACTCGGCGGCCTGGAAACAGAAAACCGAGATCTGAGGGAGAAGGTGAGGCGCGCAAACCAGGACACCGAATAAAGTTGCCTGAGTTGTGAGGAAAGAAGAAGGAGATGAAGCGGAAATGGAATTCGAATAACCAAGGCGCCGAGCTGACGCTGTGAGCATTTATTTTAAATTTTTTTATTACACGACAACCCATATCTTATTTTTAACGAGAGCGTATCTTTGTTTGTACATTACCAATACCTGTTATGCCAGGAGAGTAGAGAGGATCGGTGTACGGACATGATGTTGTTTTGTTAGGGATACATGGGGATTGAAAACAGGACATGAAGCCTGCGGCTTGATGTTTTGGCTGGGCAATGCTTTTTGTTTTAGAATCTTGTCTTCGTTTAACCCCCTTTTGTTTCGTCATACAACCCTTCTCCCCTTCTTTTTTTTTTGGGTAGCCTCGGAATTTCCGCAGCAGTGATCACGACTGAGAAGAGACGGGAAAGGGGAAAAAGAAGAAGCTAAAAGGAATATGAAAGTCATGCATACATATCATGCGGAGCTGCGTCTGGTGCTGTTTTACCTTTTTTTAATAGATAATTATGCTTCTCTATTGGATACTTGTCAACTAACGCAGCGCTTGAACTGAGCATTGGCTTCAATATGATCCATCTTGCAGACTTTGGGGGACCTTGACTTCAACTTCAACTTCAGCCTCACCAATGCCTCTCGCTCTGGCCTCTTCCAGAATTGCCTCGGTAGCGCTGGCCCCAATCCTCGTCACCCCCAGCGACAGGACATAGATCAGCTCATCCAGGGTCCTGACGCCACCCGCGGCCTTGATCTGTACCTTTGGCCCGGCATGTTTCCTCATGAGCTTGAGGTGATGCGGCGTGGCGCCCTGGTAGCTATAAAATCCGTTGGGCTGCTTCACGAAGCCATAGCCCGTGCTCGTCTTGACAAAGGCCACGTTCAAGTCGGTGCAGATCTGGCAGAGCCGGATGATGTGGTGGTCCTGCAAAAAGTCGTTTTCGAAGATGACCTTGAGGATGGCGCCCTTTGCCGTGACGAGGCGGTTGATGGCCTCAATCTCGTGCTCGACGTAGCCCCATTCGCCGCTGAGGGCCTTGCCGATGTTGATGACCATGTCGATCTCGGTGGCTCCTGAGGAGACGGCCTCGGCGGTCTCTGCGATTTTCACGGAGGCGGAGGAGGAGCCGTGGGGGAAGCCGACGACGGAGCAGACGCGGACGGGGGAGCCGGCGAGGATGGAGCGGGCGAGCGGCACGGCATAGGGCTTGACGCAGGCGGAGGCGACGGAGGAGGTCCGGGCGAGGGCGAGGCCGGCGCGGAGGTCGGCGTCGGAGAGAGTGGGGTGGAGCAGCGAGTGGTCGATAAGCTGGGCGATTTGGGGGAGGGAGATTTTGATGGTCGGGGGAGCCATGGTTACGGTCATGGTGTGGGGGGAGGGGGGAATGAAGGAGATTCACAGGGGGGCACGCTATACGAGGGGGGGAAGTTTACCGAGGAGAGAGTGAAGAGGTGTGTGAGAGCGAGATCAGATGCTACTAGGGATGGTGAGAGTCTTTCACGATGAGATCGCGAGAGAGAAAACAGCAGATGAGAAAAAAAAAAACTATTAGGCTATAATCTATCACAATCTATGCCTCCAACGGGGAGTTGGTGTGGCTGATGAGGGGTGGGAGCACGGCCGATTGCGATTGGAGTTGTTGCGTGGCTGGAGTGTGGGGAGCGGATTTGCCTAAAAGAGACATGCCGGCGAATTAAGTCGTCTGGGTAATGCCTAATTTCCCGTGGGATGAATTATGGGAGTATTTTTTCTTGGTGATGTGGCATGAGAGAAAGTGTCGAGGGCTGAGGCTGAGGCTCTTAGGGTTGGACGTGCCGAGGTTAGGACGGTGAGGTTTTGGCTCATGATGTATTAGATTTGAAGATGAGTGACTTGAGAACTGCTGAGATCGAGACGGAGTATAACGGAGTTTTAGATGAGGCCTTGTATAATGGATATCAACCGAGCGAGCTTCCCGGCTGCCCATGCTGGGGAATTGACGGATTCCCGTGAACAACAAACTCGGAGATGAGGAAACAAGACACTGTCTCAACCAAGCCAGTCGCAGGGAGTCAAACGCAAAGTTCCTTCTTTTGGGGTAGCACTTTTCATCTGGACGAACATTTACCTAGACGAGCCACGGCAGCTGGCTGCATCGAACTTTCTAAAATCTCATCATGCACAAACAGAATGGAACGTCAAGACATCTTTTAGCCTATATCACGTAGCTTGCTGTCCATGTGACCGGATTCCCATCTTCCTAGAACCTCGTCTTACACGAATGACGCCATGAAGAAGTCGGCAGCTCGTCATTTTTTACAAACATCCTCCCCCCCCCCTTCCAAACGATTTGATAAAAGTTCGGGTCTTCGCACCATCAGAGGACTCATGTGATCATGTTCTAATTGAAAGTTCCGTGTCGGCCGTAAGGATGAGGCTCGTTACACGGCTGCTGGATGCGGCAATGGAAAAAAAAAAGGGGGGCGGCATCATCTCGAGAGCGAAACACTCGGTCATATCTTGGACCTGTCAGTGACGGCAATGATTTTGTAACGTTCCAGCATTGATGATAAAGTTCAAGAAGCTAATGAATTAATTCTTTCCAGCGAAACGGATGGATTAGATGAGATACGTTACTTTTTGCTCGGGTTGTAAGTGGAAACAACGGGCTCCTTGGAAGCCCCCCATATTCCGCGTCTTAGACGCAATCCAACCATGTCTCAGCCGCCCCCAAGACAGCACCACCGCATTCCGCAGCGCCCAATCCTCGATCATCTCGATCAGGCCACGAGAATTAAAAGGGATCCAGCTGCTACTACTATCGTGTAGCGTTGGGGAGATAAAGTTTACGTGGCTGAGGCGGGGCGCGGACCACCCCAAAACAGCAATACCGTGGCCCTTTAGCCCATCAATATAAATAGTATGATGACAATCTGCCTTTCGGTAATCATTTGTTGATTCATATTGGCTCAGGTTGTGTGTTTCCATCATTTTCTGTGCTGAAATCTTTGTTGCGATACCGTTTTTGTGGTGGAAACATAAGCGAAAACCAACAAGATGCTGCGCTCAAGCTTCATCAAGGCTTCTCCCGTCCTGCCCCGTCTGCAGCGCTGCCTCGCGACAGTGCAGACGCCAAAACCGGCGCCCAAGAGGCAAGGGGATATTTCGGATTCCTTTGTCTCGCTGTCGGGCGCGGAGCAGGCGCCGCTGCCGGATCGCTTCAGACAGCTCAAGTTGGAGCTGGTCAGGGGTCGTGAGAAGGAGATTGCAGCAAGCTGGACGAGGCTTCTGCGGACACTGCAGCGAGAAAACGAGGTTATTGCAAAAAAGGGCCCTGCAGTCATTCCCCAAGTAGAATTTTCTGACCTGGACAATGGGTTGAATAATGAACTCAAGCAGGAGATCAAGAAGAGGGGAGTCGTGGTCGTACATGGTGTAATCCCAGAAAGCGAAGCGCGGGGATACAAGACCCGCGTGGAAGAATATGTCAAGAAAAACCCACACACAAGAGGTAAGGCTTCTCTCTCTTATATGTATTGTGTTGATTTGGGATGGGGAGACATGAGGGCTAATGGCCAAGGGCAGCTTTCCCGGCTCATGATCCGCAGGTCTATGAGCTGTACTGGTCCGAGTCACAGATCAAAGCTCGCTCACACCCTTCCATGCTTAAACTACAGAAGCATCTTATGTCAGACTTTTGGCACACATCATCTCCAAATGCCCCCATCTCTCTTGACATACCGCTATCCTATGCTGATAGGCTTCGTATCCGCCAACCCGGCGATGCAGCCTTTGCCCTTGGCCCTCACATTGATGGTGGAAGCGTCGAGCGCTGGGATAAGGACGGATACGGACGTGGCCATGTCTATGATAGAGTGTTTGAAGGTAGATGGGAGAAGTATGATGCCTGGGATGCCTCCGGCAGAGTCGATGCCGTCAACGACCTTCACAACGGCCTAGGAGCATGCAGTGCTTTTAGAGCATGGCAAGGCTGGGTCTCTATGAGTAAAGTTGGACCAGAGGAGGGCACTCTGTTGACATATCCCTTGATGCTATCAACTGTGTACACACTTCTGAGGCCATTCTTTAGACCTCTTGACACTACTAAAAAGGGGGATGCGTTCTTGGATGAGAAGAACTGGACATTTACTGGCGATGCTGATATGACTAGTGACCTCCAGGGGGCTTATCCAGGACACGGACAAGAGCTCAATGATGAGCTTCATCCTCACCTGGAGCTTTCAAGGACCATGACGCATGTGCCCGAGATAAGCCCCGGGGCTTTTGTGGCATGGCATTGTGACAGTAAGTCACTTCCTCTTTTCTCTCTTCTTTAGAGTTCTTACTTTGTGCAACTGCTGACATATCCTTTAGCCATCCATGCCGTCGACAAGGTTCACAAGGGCCACTCCGATTCGAGCGTTCTCTACATCCCCGTATGCCCAGTGACAGACCTCAACGCACAATACCTGGTTAGACAACGCCAAGCCTTCTTGGATGGCACACCAGGGCCTGACTTTCCAGGCGGCGATGGTGAATCAAAACATATCGGTCGTCCAACAGAGGAGATGGTGCGGCGATGGGTAAATGCCGAGGGCCGGCAGGCAATGGGCTTGGACAGGCTGATTGCGAGTCCTTCAGCTTTGCCTGGAGCGAGACAGGTCGTGGAGAGGTTTAACGCGACTTTGGGGCTGATTTGAAAGAGTTTATTTTTATGTAATTTTTGGGTTTGGATTGGTGCGAGGATTTGTCTTTTGCGCAAGTGGCTTTGGGTCCCATGGCATAAGTTGGCCAGCTGTTTGAAAATGAGTGGAGGATGAGACTGTATACTATCTTGGAAGCATTTGTAATATGATTGATGAATGTGTCGCATCGAGTAGCGTCGTGAACTAATAGGACCTAGTTTCTGCTTGATTTGATGTCCGCTTATTGATCAGTAATAAAAAAAGAAAAAGAAGGAGAAAAAAAAAACGAAAAGAAGGAGGCGGGATAGCCAACACTGTGCTGGATTGTCAATGCCATGTCAGCGTAAGGGCTGAATTGTTGCTCCTGAATCCCGTTCTTGGGTTTCGCATTTCGCATTTGTCCTCAATTTCTAAGCCGCGACGCTCACCCTGCGGTTGATATCTAAGCCGCTTTGTAAACGGAAATGCAAACTTCGAATCCTTCACTTGGTGACACGGGTTTTGAATCCTTCGGCAGGTAGAAACGGGATGCTGTGTTGGTCAAATCCCTTGTGGGTTGCATTTCTACTTCCGCGGATCTGCGAAACACCTACTAGGTATTTGTTATTTGTCATTTGCTATTGAAGATGAAGTACGAGGTGGCAGCACTGTGCTGACTGAATGGCCGAGTGCCGAGCTATTTGCCATGGGCCAGAGCACCTTTGGCCTCTTTGGGAAAAGAGAAGAAGGAAAAATTGGGAAAAGAGACCAACAACGTGCCGGTCATTTTGCTGTGCGGAGAGACAGAGTCATGGGCATTCGATTGGCCCTTGCTCTCGAGCTGCTGAACGCAGATGCAGATGGCCAGATTGGCAGCCCCCCCTTCGGGTCGTCGGCCTTGCTTCGCACTGGCTCGGCTTGCCGTGAAGCTTGAATCCCGGTCAGCCAGCATGAACCACATGCACAGCAACAGTATAGAGCAGCTCACAGCTCTACTGTGGTGTGTTGTACCGGATATTTGCGATCCACAGGGGGTCAAACATGGCCTATGAGGTTGGCATCTCGCTTGATTTGACCGCTCTGATCTGCTGTTGGACACGGGCTGTGGCTTCGATTCGATTCTAATTAGTAATCCAGCGTTGTGCTGCGGGCCGTTCAGCCTCAAGTCCTGCGACCAGCCAGCTCCCAACTAATACGCGGGCTAATACGCCTTGCCTAGGAGGATCCCCTATTGGGAGGATCCCTAGGGAGAGGATCCGTCCGTGGGGGGCCAAATGTCTCTCGGTGGCTTGTCCATGAGGCGATTGAGTCAAGCCGCAGTTGCGAGGAAGCGGAGCGAGGGACGGAGTGCGGAACGCGGAATTCGAGCGAGGCAGTGGCCATGATGTGAGGATCTGAGATTTGAGTAAGAGGTAGCAGCGGTTAGTAGTTAGTCTGTGGTTAGTCTGTAGCAGATGCGGAGACCACCTGCTCTTTCAGGAGGGGGATGAAAATGTTTGAGTCGTATACGGGTAGCTACAGGTAGGTACTACCTAGTAAGTAAGTAGTTGGCGTATATGTGGCATGAGGTACGACGAGTAAGGCTAATATAGGTACATCTACTCCGTATTAGTATAAGACATATACAAGTATATATATACCCAAGGCCGCTCCCTCTCTTGAATTGAGATCTCCAAGCTGCCAATTGCCTCATCCAGACCTCTACCATCTTCTTCCAAATCATCCTAAACCTCCAATCAAATCATCCAAGATGAGCTACTCTCTCTACGACGCCTCCGTCCCCCTGGCCAAGAGCGCCCTCAACTCTCTCGCCAACATCCTCAAGCTGGGTGAGGCCTCGCCCAACGCGGCCACCCTCCTCGCCGCCCGCATCCACGACGACATGCTTCCTCTGGTCTTCCAGGTCAAGATGGTCACCGATACCTCCACCAAGATCGTCGCCCGTCTGACTGGCGTTGAGCCCCATGCCTGGGAGGGTGAGGTTGAGACCTTTGCCGACTGCTACGCTCGCATTGAGAAGGCCCAGGAGATCCTGGCCGCTGCCGACAAGGACGTCATCAACCAGCGCCAGAACGAGCTCGTTACCGTCGGAATGGGCTCTGCCGGAACCTTCCAGATGGCCGGCGGCAGCTACATCAACGGCTATGTTCTGCCCAACCTCTTCTTCCACCTCTCCACCGCCTACAACATTCTGCGCAAGGAGGGTGTTCCCCTGGGCAAGCGGTCCTACCTTGATTCCTTCATCGGCCAGTACATCAGCCAGTAAAAAGGAGAATTGATGTCAGCAATTGACGGAGGGAGAATAAGCTGAAAGAATGACCAAGACACGGGTTCTATGTTTGTATTCGAAAAAGCGCTGTTAAACCAATACCCGATGGATTCTCTCTCGCAAAATGAAAGAGACGGCAATGCATTAGCAGAAAAAGTGAATTAAATAAATTATTCCTTATGAAATGAAGCACAGTTGCCCTTGCCTGATATGTATGTCTTATGTAGTTCGTTTAAAGTGAGGTTGATGGAATCCTCCGTTCCAGTCAGCAACCGCCGAAAAGGTACGTACATGCAGCTTTACCTCAGCATCGCCGTCGCGACGAAGCTACGCCAGTAATCCTCTCTCTCCGATTATTATTAAGCCCGACCTCCTCTCGATTCCTCCGCCACCACAGTGCCACGACCTCCTCCCACAACACCAGTAGGAAGCATCATGTCGCCATACTGGTACGCTCTTCGGCTCATCCAGGCCTTTGAGGATCGAATCATCGATACTGTAAGTGCCTACACAGAGCGGCGCACTCTGCCTCTCGCACAGCTATCGCTCACGCACAGCTCCAGATTCTCCGCCAGCCGGGCTTCCATAGAGCTGTCGGCCGCATCCATCGCGCTATCAACGAGAAGCAGCATGGCCGGAATCCGCACGAGCCGCTCGCACCGGGAGAAGCGACGGGTACGATACCGAGTTTATAGATTGAGGGAGAAGCTAGACTGACGAGAATATCTACTGCAGCGGATCCGAATCCGGGAAATCGAGCTGATGGATTTTTCAAGCACTTCATCGGCGAGCTGAAGAATCAGGCTCGTGGAAAGCCAACCGATATTTCTACTAAGCCGCGTACGAAGTGAAACGATCCTAGCCTTGAGCTCGAAGCGAAATCCCTACTTATTCCCGCCGCGGCTGCGATGATGTTGCGTCACGGACGAAGAAGGCGGCGACTTGCACTCGCAAAGGGCATAGCTATGCGCCGAATATCTTGCATACGTACATTGCCGGCCGAATACCGAAAAGAAACGCCGCACCTCGACCATCACCACTCTGAGCATCAAGCGCATCGAATGGGCATTGTAAGCCCTTTCCTTGAGATGGATGTAACTCATTGGGTTCACACGATGCTTAATCATTGCATGCGCATCATGGAGATGCAGGAAAGGAAGAGCAGACACAGGGCACTTGTTGCTGTAAATACCCTACATCGCGCACTACGTGGGACATGGCTACCTGATACCAACATCGGTGATGGCAAGACGTGAAGAATACGTCAATGTTGATATGACTTATGACTTTGATACCCTGAATGGAAGGCCCGTACAAGTCCTATTGGACATTGCTTCCTTGGGTGACCAACAATGCTGTGCTTGATCAAAACAAATCTCTTCGATGGAGCAAGGGAACCAGGTTTAGCTCTATAATGACTAATAGTACGGTCGCTTTCAACAACAAGCATCCATCCGATATGGTGTAGTGGCTAACATCGCTCGCTCTCATCCTTCGAGTGCCGAGCAGCCCTGGGTTCGATTCCCAGTATCGGAGATCTTAATTTTTTTCTCAGTTATTTCGACATCCCTCTTCATGTATGAAGCTGTGATCATTCTTTTTTTTTTGTAGGTTCCCCGATTATTCTTGTTGAAACGCAGATATATAGATAATATTGAACCCATCATTTCAACACCCTGAAATTGCGTGGTATAGACTAATTGGTACTGTTATTCCAAGTGAACTATAAAAATGGCTCGTCCAGTCATGCAGCAACTGAAAACGCCTGGTATTTATCCATCAAAAATCGATACCCGCGCCTCTCTAAATACAAAACATTCCTGACCATATAACAGCTGGTTACATATAAAAGCTATGCGCATTCGATCTACTCCTATCAAAACCATCCTCAAGCAGCAAACTGGCCCCAATCTCCCCAATTGGGAGGGAGGCCAATATCAAGATTTGCTTCCAGGGCATCTTCCACGGCGTCCAAGTTGAAGTTGGGATCGATGTGCCCAAACACATCCTGGCCTGAAATTGCGTCAATGACGGAAAAATCAATGACATTATCAAAGCCCAGGTTAGAATTCATGGCCGCGGAGTCTCCTGCCGGCGTAGGGCCTAGATCTTGAGCTGCTGGCGCGTCTTGATCATCAACTACGGGCTTTGGCGGTACTTCAGCTGGTTGAGGACTGAGCTCCTTGGCCAGCGTATTGGCTGCGCGCTCCATTTCCCTTAACACGCCTTCTCCAAGCCCGGCGACGACTCGGGCGCTCCAGTAGTGTTCGCTATAAGATCGAAGAAGGTCGCAGTTTCTTTTGAAGGCGTTCATTGCTCGCGTGCGGAACATTGGCAGTCGGCTGTGTCTCATCTTTCGATACTCAACACTCAGAGCGAGAGACACTGCGTAGGGAATAAAAGGAATTGAGCTTAAGCAATCCCTTGGTACTGCGCACGCAATGCGCTCGGCTGCTAGTGAACGACGGGCATTGGCAGACGGCGGCGGCAATGTCGACGCTGCGATTATTGTTCCTGGCCGAGGAAGCCGGCACGATAGAATTATGACGGCATGGTAAAACGTTTCAATAGTAGCTGGTAAGTTGGTTAGAAATCTAGCTACACATGGCTCGTTTGCGAGAGCTTACCAATGAGTGATGTCGGGACTTTTAAGGCGTCTGCATCCACAATCATTGCTTCAAGAACGGGAAGATCGATATACGCGACTTTATCAAAACCAGACACTTGCGCACTGGGGCCAGGGCGATATAGCTCCACCACCTTGTCTAGCCATTGTGCTACAGAAAGCAGAAGTCGGAAGGCAGGCTGACGTTTCCTAATACACGCATCGAGATCCGCTCCTATGTCTCTCTCATGGATTAGACATGGCCGTCCATACATGGCGGCATTGATTCTGTCCAAGGCCCAGACTGCGCAAAAGAGGTTTTCCAGGTCGCCAAAATTTGGGCCATCGTATCGGAGAAGGTGCAAACCCAAAGTCTGGATGTGGTGAATTGCCCTGCCCCCAAGCTGAGCCGGTAAGTCGGCTTCTTCAGCGCAAGTGGGCTGAGTGTAAAGGGATAACATAGTGAGTGCCTGTATGTGTACCACTCTATCAGGAATAATACTGGTTTCCAGGATGGCACGGACCGAGGAAGACAATGCGCTGGAGAATTCGGCGGGTCGCAATGGGCTAGGCCCTTTATTCTTCAGACGCAGAAAGGGAGTCATCTGTGGATCAGAGCCAGCTGCCAAACAAGCAAGTTGTCGTAGCACAATATTGGAAGGGTTGTCCGTGGGTCCATTGAGAGCGGCTTCCGGGATGACGGGAAAGATGGGGTGAACTCTCTGCAGAAACAATGCTTTCAATCGGGCATAATCTTCTTCAGGGGGCAGACAGGATAGACAGTGCTCTCGCACAAACGGAAGCATAAAGCTGTCCATGACAGGTGGAGGGCGCGAGGTGATGAACTGGGACGGCTGTCCGGTGGTAGCTGCGGGAAACCAGATGCCCACGTCTCCTTTCTGCGATGAGGCACGGGTCACACTCGGAACTGCTGCTTCCATGAACATGCCCTCTGGGTTTAAATCACCCACAAAACGTGACGACTGCGGCCGCGCGGCGATATCCTGCGCAATTTGTGAAGCAGGCGTATTTGCTTGCGTTTCGCCATAGCCAAAGGCTCCTGGAAGGGGTCGCCGCGAGACGGGTGATGGATGAGTGTTTGGACCAGCTCTGCCGGTTGGCGTCGCGGCGTCTTCTCCGCCAAGCGACCTCATACGGACTGAAGGCGTGAGAGATGATCTAGAAGCTCCAGGTCTTGTCAAGGCGTCAGTAGTTTGGCAAACGTGGGGGTGATGCAGCAAGGCCTCACGAGGACTGAGTAGGCGACGTTTCCAGCAGCACTTTGTGGTCGTCGAGGGAGGCGTCATCAGCCATGGCATCCTCTGCATGGTTGCATTTCCGCTTCACAGCCGTTAGCAAACCCTGGAACAAGACATGCGGCGAGAGTGACGAAAGTGACGAGAATCACGAATACCTTCTTGCGTCTGCACGACAGACAGGCTTGCTGGACCTGTCTCCGTTTCACGGGCAAACCGCCGCGGGCGGGATCTGACGCGACGAACTTTACTTTGCGAGCCGGCACGGACATGGCGACATTGCCTTGGAGCGCTGATTGGGCGTGGATCATTCGGCACCTGGAAGCGCCGTCATTTTCTGGCTTCTCACGACGGCGGGCTGGGCCAGAGGAGCAGAAATGAGCAAAGGATCAGTGAGGCATGACGAGTATGAACTTGCCCGTCCATATTATGGGGTAAGATCGGTGGTAACCCGGAGGAATCAGCCTTAGCGAAAGGCGAGCACTCGGTAATGCTCAACAGTGCTAAGCGGTTAGTGGCCGTTAGCAGGCGCTACAGGGCCTTGGCCGCCCGCGATTCCGCCGTCAATGCTACGACTCGGTGAGCTAAAATTGATTCCATCCATCCATGGATACATGTACTAAATCACGTCAAGTGCCGAGTTTCGAATATTAATTTTATAGCGTCCGTCTTCACGCTCGGCAATCTTGGGCACCTATCTGCACATGCAGCCTTATCTCTGCAGAAAGCTACGAGGATGTACATGTTCCCACCCGTGCTAAGCCCTGCGGCACAGGTACGAGTACCTGTACCTGCGCCAGCCACTGAGCTTTAGTGGACAAGGCACGCTCTTGGTTACTGCACCAAGTGTTGCGTGAATGAGAAAGTCTTGGCTACATTATAACATACGATTGCCTATAGAATATTAGATGAGGGTGATGAAAGAACTGACTCAGGAATCTTTGAAGACTATCAATAGAATTATCTCAAGGATTGAAATACAGCCTGATTGCACGATCAATGACTAATACGTGGACCATCAAGGTACCCAGCATCTCTCCACCTCACAGCATTATTAAGCATACCTACCTAGGCATGTACCTACCTGTACCTATACTAGATTCACGTCGTCAATATTCAACCATGTGCCAGTCTCGGCCCCCAGATATAGAGGCATTGTGAAGTACATCATCCATCCTGTTATTTGTCAGTGTGGCCGAGGAAAACAAATCCGGTGATTGATGGCAAGCTGGACTGTATGACATTCACATTTGACATGGGATACACATAGTCTCCGATGACCACCGTCACAGTTACTTTTCAACCGATCAGCATGCATTTGGTACTTGTTTTGTTAAGATCTCTCATTCTACCCATTTTACTTGCCACATGAACTGCTGTATTCACTGCAAAAATTGGGAGCTGATTTGTGATTGCGAGCTGGGGGGTTTGGTGGTGATCCCTAACATCCGTCTTCATATTTACCCGCGTCTCGTTCTACACCATCGTGCGTGACAGATGGCTCTCTAACAAATTTTCTTGATGGCGATGGTACTCCTAATAGTTGCTACCAGTTTCTTTTATCCAGGATCACTCCATCTGTGTATATATCTGCGGGCTCCTCTCGGCCAAGTGCCTCTGGAAGTCGTACATTTTCACCTCTAATTAAAAAACACCATATTCCAACTAAAATCCTTCAATATGATGCCGCTATTTGATATTGCTTACCTTCTGCAGCAAGACAGACGGGCAGCCGCTGTGCATGAACCGCCTGTCTCATCATCTGCTCATCGGCCTTCAAACACACGATCTATGGGTCAACAGTCAAACGACGCTCGTGAGCAGTACTACCAGCTACACCGAGAACCTCTCGAGAAGCCATGGTATTACCGGAAACGAATGCTACCATTTGCAATCGTCATGACAGTATTCTCCACGGTCCTAAGCTGTGTGGTGTTGGCGGTGACATTGACCCGAAAGTCCATCTTCATGATGAAGTCACACCCCAAGGAGACGATAACACAGTCCGTGATGACCATGACCACATATTCTACAGTTCAAACCAGCATTCCGCAAGATAGTTTGACTTTCATAACAGCATCGAGCAATTCTTCTTTGTCATTGACCACAATGGTGAGCGAGCTGCCGTCCATGACTGCCCTAACAACTGCGACACCGCCCTCTCCAATCCCGGCAGCCCCAATCCTCTCATCATCAAATCTTGCTTCGGTTTTTATTGACCGCCGCAATAGCAATAACTACTGGGAGGTTCTTCTCTGGCAAGATGGAGCAGGATCTCTATCCTATATGGATAGGGATTCTGAGCGGAAGGGCCTTGGACGGGTTCAGACCCTGCTCGAAAACATACCCAAGGCGAAAAGTGGAACTCCTATGGCAGCTGTGGCGGATGATGCCGGCATCGCGCATTTATTTTATCTCGATGAGGATGATATTGTGTCTCATGCATTTATGAATCCTGGTGGCCGTTGGAAACGCGGAGGTCTGTCCACCGGTAGCAAACGCACGGCCGCGCATAGACAGTCAATGCTCTCAGCGGCGTTCCATCAAGGTGAACATGACACTAATGTGGTGGTACTGTCGTACCAAGATCCAGACGGCAATTTACAGCTCGCAATGTCGGAAGACGCCAAGAAAAATGACTGGTATACCGTCAATTTCAGCTCTTTTACTGGACGCCACGGCATTGGAGATTGGGACGGGATTGGCCATGCCGTCGCAGGTGATTGGCAGAACAAGAAACAGGATCCTGATGGATCGTTTAATGGACTTTTGATGGCTGTGGAACAAGAGGGAGGAGTTACGCCGTGGGAGTGCTCGGTCGACTTTCATGCATCTTCAAAAAAGCAGGTCGAGTGTCATGTATTAGACGGAGCGTTCCTAGGTGGGGAATTCCAAAGATAATGTGCTGGTTTCTCAAGGCACCATTAGTAGTGCTAACAGATTCTGTGTCTTAGATTCTAACGGAGAAGGGATATCTCCATCTTCTCGAAACAGCCGATTTGCGTGGATTCGCACCGGCCATGGCCAGAGCAAAGCACCAGCGGAGACGCTCCCATATGAGTTCGCTTTCCTGTATCTAGATTCGAAAGGAAGCATTGAGGAGAGCCGTGTGGGAGTTGATGTACCGAGAATTCCAGGCGAAGGGTTCCATGGGGATATGGTTTTTGATAGTCTTGCGACGAATGGCAATAAGACGGTGTATGCGAAATCTGGCGACAATGTTGTGGTGTTTAGGCTAGATGCCGATGGATGGCAGTGGAAGGTCGATGGAATTGTCAACATGACTATTTCTGAGACTGATTCGTAGAGATTAACGCTTGTATTTATCTTTATTTGTTTTTTTTTTATGACTGCAAACTTGTCTCTAGGAGTGTTATTTTTGTCTTCGTAGTGAGAAGAAGGTCTGCGTGCGTGCCGTGTCAACAATAACAATAACCCACATGCACTAGTTGATGGTGAGATACTCAACTAGCTTTGTCTGAGCCAGATATCCATCGTTTGGTTCACACTTTTCAGTTATTACCCTCCCCACATTCAACAACGCGTTGGTTGCGTACCGCTCGCCCTTGACCGGGAGGGCGATGTTGATAGCTCGATGTATCGATACACCTTAAGAGAAAACGCGCCAGTATCCATATGCTGGTCGATATTGGATGCTCAAAGTTGTTTTTCTAAAAGGAATTATCACCAGCTGTCGCTTCCTGTAGGATCTCAGACATGCAGCTGTCGATGAATGCCCAAATGGTTGGAAAGGATTCAACTCTGCCGGAGTCGGTGGGGCCGGCTGTCCGATGTACTCGGGCGCTAAGCCCCAGCAGGCAAATTGTAAACAAAGGGATCCGAGTCGAGCATGGGTTGATGCAAGGGCTACACGCATCTATGCGCGTACACAGTCGTGATAGGAGAGGGGCAAGTGTCTGACGCGGTTTAGGCCATGTGTGGGTGCTGTGCGTACAATAGGCATGTTTATAATGGGCATTAGTTGAAACCAGGATTCTCCAATGTGCCTAAACTCTGTGATGTCCTGTAATCTGTTCCCACGGCTTGTCCCGATTAATATCGCCCTTACTATTCGAAAATAGAAAGGGATTTATAAAATTCAAAAGAAACAGACATATCGAACATGGAAGATTTGGACCTTCCTATTGCGCTGCGCCGCAGCCGGCGATCCGGTGAGCGCATAACTATCAAATCGGAGGTGCTTCCGGCTGCTTTGACGCCTCCAAAGACTCCCCACAGGAGAAAGAGAAGCGCTCGTTTTTCTGATCCGGGTCCCTCAATAATTTCAAGCGGTCTTACACCAATGGTGCGGCGCACATATCTTGCAACTCCGAAGAGTCAACGGTCCGCCTCCCACATAACAAGCCCCAGTTCAGCCCCGCGACTGAATCGGCGATCCGGTGCTCTTAATCTTCATCAGACCGTCGATGGTCGCGTTGAGCGCCGGATGCGCCGCAATGGTCTCCGTGATCTGCTTAACAAGATTGAGCAGGAGAAACGGCGCAAAGAACAGTCCGCTCAAGCGCAAATTGCCAAGCTCAAGGCTGAGGTCAGGGCTCGAGACAGTGAAATTTACGACTTACAGAATGCAACTGTCATCATGGATACAGAACGAATATGGCTTCTAGAGCGACAGGTTGAAGAGCTCAAAGATGAACTTACGAGGAAGAGCTCGGCTAAAGAGGGAGCCACTCAGCATTATAGCTGGGCGAAGGCATCGAATAATGCATCGAAAGATGATTTGATGGACATGACTCGACATGAAGATCATTTCGGCAACAGCACCATGTTACAACTGCAAGCCAGCACACCGCCAAGAGCAAGATCCTCGTTTATGACTCCTCCTGCAACGAGTCCACGTATACCTGCATCTCCATGCTCCCGGGCTGGCTCGCCAACTCCCGGGTCTCGTGATGCTCCGTCGTGTTATCCAGATTCGGATAAGCAACTTCTAGAAGAACAGATTGCATCATTGCATTTTGAAGTACATAAATTGACGGCAACTCTGGACTCATATCATGCTCTTGGTGAGCGCATTGGCGATGCGCTATCAAATGGCCCTCTAGAAAGAGGCAGGGCTTTCTCTACCCTTGAGGCTGTTGAGAGCCAGGTCCAGTTACTATTACAAACCATGTCTGACCGGGCTGCTGCAGCCTCGCATCTCACGTCTGCTATTGGTGCATTGGGATTTCCAGGCGACGGTGCTGGCGAGATGGTTTCATCGCTCGCTGCCAGCTTTCGGGCTGCTCGTATCGAGCTAGAGTATCTCACGCCAGGAGAAATCAGGCTGCCGCACACTTCAAATGGCGCAGAGGTGCTAGATCTGCTGTTAATGCACCTGAGAGAGTTAGTGAAGAAGTCTAAGGAAGACGAAGAGTCAATTGACGGGTATCATGAGGTTGAGCAATCGTTACGCAAACAGCTCGATTCAAGAATCACCGTTCTGGATGAACTTAATGACAAGATAGCCGGAGTATACAGCATGCTCGACGAGAAAGACAATCGTGTCAGAGAGCTTGAAGTTGGCAATGACCGGCTTAAAAGCGCTGTTGACGGCTATGTTCGTGATATTGCGGAGTTTGAAAAGCTCATACAGCGTATGGAGAAAGAGCACCAAGAATCTACGAATATCCACACCGCTCAGCAGAAGTCGAGCGAAGATTTGCTCGCAGCTAAAGATGCTACTCTCTCTGAGCTGGAATCCAAAATTGAAGAGGCAGTTGTTCAAACCGCAGAGCTCCTCAAGGAGATGAGCGCTACTGAAGTTAGCCTGACTAGACAAGCGGCTACTATGAGTAGAAAACATGGAGTGGCTCTCGCGCTTCGCGATGCGCGAGTATCTGAGCTGCAAGGTGGGATTGATAGGGTCAACGAATCACTGAGGGTTGCACACGAGACTATTCACGCTCTTCGAATCGAAAACAGCGAGATGAAGGGTCAGATAGAAGAAGAGAAGAAGAAAGCCAAAAACGCCATGGATTCAATGAAAGAAGAGCTGCAAAGAGTCTTGCACTTGAGCAAGAGTTTCCTTGGTGATCCTGGTGGTGATCCAAGTAGCGGACATGATGGTCATGAGTCAGGGACCTCCCGGACTGTTGTACGCTCGGGAGGATACTTGGGAAACTTGCTGCGGAGAGGGAGAAGGAGATACAACAGTGGCCGGGGGCTCCTCAATGAGGATGAAGTAGACATTTGAAGCGAATATTTATAACACTCTGGTAGCTCTCTAGCTTATATGATTACTTGATTTATCTAGCAATACTTGATTTATCTAGCAATACTTGATTTATCTAGCAATACTTGATCTATCTAGCGATACTTGATCTATCTAGCGATACTTGATCTACCTAGCGATACTTGATCTACCTAGAGAAAGTTGATCTACTTGTAGAAATTCCATCTAGAGAAACTTACTATTTCCCCCGGCCCTACATGTAGTCTCCCGATTTTGCAGCTACATGTAAATATTGCCCTCTTGCAAATCCCAGGATGTCATCATACATGTCACGTATTTGGCAAGGGCAAAGAGAGAGTATAGAATAGAGACATCAACTTTCATAAAATTTCATCTATCATATAACATTAGATACCTAAGAAAGCAAATACTTAACCATTAGATCATTGTTCGCTATGCGGCTTGCTGAGGCTGTGTGTGTAGTATGAAAACTTGCTAAACGGAGTCAAGAGCAAATGCATGGAGACCACGGTACAAGCTCTCCCCAAAGCGAGAGAACCCAAACCCAAAAATGAATGCCAACTTTTCCTTCTCGTCCACTACCCTGTCTGGGTATCAAAGGGCGTGCTCCCTTATTCGTTAAACTTCCAGTTGGGCGTGTAATCCGGATGCAGCTCCAAATCTAGAACTAGGGCTCGGAACAGCTCGATGGGCATGAAGTTGGCCTTGAGAAACGCGTCATTGAACTCTTTCTCAGACATGTGATTGCCCTCCAAAACCTCGCTTCGCAACTTAAATAGCTGCAGTGCACCGAGCATGTATCCGGCCTGGTAAAGTGGACCGTAGTCGCCGTTGAAGGACCTTCTGACTTCACCTTCGGCCGTGGACCTTTCGTGGCCAACCCATTCAACCAACAAATCGATGCACTCTTGGGGAGACATTTTACCCAGATGGAACTTGAGAGAGAAGATGATGCGGGCACAGCGGTGCATTCTCCAGAACATGGTGCCAATCCGATCTTCAGGAGTCTCGAAGAAGTCACCGCGCTCCCAGAAGACATACTCCCAGTACATGGCCCAACCCTCGATGCTGAACGGGGTAGTGAAGAGCTGCCTGTGGCTGTTGTGTCGCTCGCTCATGAAGAGCTGGAGACGATGGCCTGGGATCATTTCGTGAAACGCGGTCGCGCGGGCAAAGTGTCTGTTGTTGCCACGCATCACCATCTTCTTCAGCTCATGTGGCATATCAGCAGTTGGATAGGCAACCATGATGAGCGGTCCGCCCAGGAAGAATGGCGCGACCTTTTGCATCTCGGGACTCATCATCGTCATGCGAGACACTTCCTCTGCCAACGGCGGGACAGTAACTAGATCGTGCTCCTTGACGAAGGAGGCACCTTCACGAACGAGCTTCTTAACAAAGCTTGTTTGCTCGCCGGGCGGGACAGCGTGCTTCTTCACAGAGTCCAGTGCCTTCTTCCAGTTATCACCGTAGCCAAGCTCCTCAGAGGCTGCCTTCATCTGCAATTCACAATAGTGGAATTGTTCCTTGGCCAGCGTGATGAGCTCTTCGGGAGAGTAGGGAATCATCTCGGCCTCCAGCTCGTTCATCAAAGCCTCTCGGCCAAGGGGCTCGCCAATAATATCACCGGTCTCTCCTTGATGCATTCCTGCCAACTTATTCTGGATGAGCGGGATGAATTGCGACATTGCAAGGTCGGCTGCTTTCCACGGCGCGGTAACCCACCAGTCGAACATGGGATCGTACGATGAGTAAAAGTTGAAGAATTCTTGGAGATGGCCTCGCAGCTCTGTGACCACCTTGGAAGCCCTGAAGGCAGCCGTCTTGCTAATCTTGATTCTGTCGTTTTCAATGCCTTCCTTGACCTGGTTGACCAGCCTTGCAATGTCGTCGAGTTGCTGGGCGACCCGCTCATTCGACAGGGGGTCGACATCTCGGCGAGCTTCGCACAGCGTTGTGATAAGCTGTGCAAAGGGAATCAGGCGTTGGATCTCCTTGTTTGCCTCCTTCTGCGCATACAATTGGTGGTTCTTGCGCCTGAGGAAGTTGCGGAGAAGCAAAAAGTCGATCTTGTCCGACTGGTTGAGGGCCTCAAAGTCGAGGCTGAACAGGGACTTGAGCTCATCTGAAAAGTAGCGACGCAGCCGTTCGTGACGGCCGGGAGAGACGGAGATGCTGTAAAAAACTTCAAGCTCCTCGACATCGACTCTGATCCTCCTCACGCGATCAGGCAGCGATTCGGACGAGGCAGTTTGTGCTGGCTTTGGCAACGCGACCCAAAGATCTTCCATGTTACCGCCACTTGGGCTGGTACCGCCACTTGCACTCGACACGCCGCTGCCATCGAGGGACGGGTCAATGGACGGTGCAGTCGACTGAATTGTCGACTGGGCCGTCTCAACTTGGCTGGTTTCACTCATTGTGAAGCTTCCTAATCAGTAATAAACAAAACAAATCGCAATGGAGACTTGAACAATGGGCAGCTCGTTGCTGTAAGCTCCACGCTAGGGAGTTACTACTTTTACGGTGAGGGGAGAAGCTTTTGCAGGCTCGGAGAAGAAAGCTCCTGACATTGTACCGTTGATACGCGCGAATCTAGTTTAGCGGTTTTGTTCGTGTTTATGCCGGGCATATGTCGAGTTGCATAAAATAGTGTACGAGTGGCCTCCGTAATGCTCCGGCCTCTGCGAGTCGGCAATATTCAGCCGACAACGGACTGTCCATAATAGCGAGGTGTAGTTGGCAGCATCTTGGCAGTTGAAACAGATGGGGTTTGGAGGAACCAAAACTTCCAAAAGGAGGAGATCTGAGTTTTGTAATAGGCGCAGATGAATACGAAACAAAAGACAGATTGGCAACCTTCTCAAAACAACGGTATCGCCGAAAGCCAATTTCCGATCAGCCACAACTCGCCATTCCCTCACGGTCCGAGAATTGCCTAAAACGGCTTACAAATGTTGTGCCGAAAGCCGGTGCCGACGCCTTATCATGACTAGTAGAGAAAAGGCGTGGGCTTGATTTGATAATAGTTGGTGCTATTCACTCTGTCTGACAGAGTGGAAGTAAAACTTTTTGAAATCGTGATACACCATAGAATATCTGTTTAACAAAGAGGAGGAAGAAGAAGAAAACAGACCGGAGAAGAAGAAAAAAATACGAGGAAAAAAAATGGCATCGACCCCTTTTCGCTCTATTCTGCGGCGTCAGCTGCAGTTAGCGTTTCGCCCACGACCCCAGCTTCGTGCCCAGTCATCTTCACCAAATTCAACCCAGACTCCGGGTAAAATGTCACCGGAGACATCAAGCAGCGGCTTGCCCACAGTCGCAACATCAGCACAAAATGCAGCGGCGTCGCTTCCCTTATGGCAGCGTCTGGGACCGATAACTCGCGTGGCCCAAGCATATGCACGATCTCAGAAGAAGAGGCCATATGTGACTCAGACCATAAGCACCATCTTCATCTTCTTCAGCGCCGATCTTGTCGCTCAGAGTATGAATGATGATGATTACGATCCTGTACGGACAGCACGGAATGTCTTCATCGGAGCGGGTACCGCCATTCCAGCATATAAATGGTGAGAAATACCGCTTTCTGCAACGGAACCGGGAGAGAATATTCAATGCTGACGTCCTTCTCCCTCCAGGTTCCAATTTCTCGCCAAAAACTTCAATTACTCATCTCGAGCAGCATCCTTGAGTGTAAAAATAGTCATGAATCAACTGCTGTTTGCCACTTATATGAATGTCTACTTCTTCAGCATGCAGGCCCTTCTTACTGGTGAGGGCATCAACGGCGCTGTACAGCGCGTCAGAGACACTCTACTCACAAGCTGGATCAATTCCTGCAAGCTATGGCCTTTTGTCATGGCCTTCAACCTTTCCTATGTACCTCTGGAATATCGAGCCCTTTTTGCTGGTTTAGTTAATCTTGGATGGCAGTCCTATCTGAGTCTCCTGAATAGGTGGGCAGAGCTTCGTCAAGCTGAAGCTGCGGGAATGGCAGTTCAGCCTGCGGCGATTGCTCAAGCGGCATGAAGCTATGACATGTATTGGACTGGAATGATTCCATGCGTTTATAAAAGGCAATGGTGGATAAAAAGGTATAGAGGTTGACTTAGACAGCACGCACTGCTTTGTGAATTGGTTAGACTTGCTTTGTTCTTGATTTGAACCAATGTATTTCGCATAGAGTTTTCTGTAATTACAAGTTTTAAGAATGTGAATATTCCTGAAAGAAAAGGCGATGTAACTAAGAATATACCATTGAACCCAGGTCTAGACAGCTACGCGCCTCATGCCTTTGCAAGTTTGACGTAGCAATCCTTTGGTAGATTCACAAAACTCTCATCAATATCCGGTGTGTTCAACGACTCATCCAGCAGCTGAAACTCAAAATTCCATATCAGCAATGTCATTGCTGTTCGTAGCTTCATATACGCCAGCCTCTTCCCAAAGCACTGCCTAGGTCCAGCCGAGAAGACGAGACTCGGCCCTGCATTCTGGTCAAAGATTTCCTCTTCTTCACTCCCATCAGCACTCTTGACCAACTTGAGCCACCTCTCTGGCTTGAACTCAGATACGTCATCTCCCCAACAGGGAACGCGGTCTTTGGACTCTTGTGACTCCAAAGAACGCAACGACTCGGGGATCGGTAAAGCTGGCTCGGTCATGGATGGGCCTGTGACTGTCAGTATGACATCCGTACCCTTTGGAATCGGAAAACCCAGGATTTGTGTATCGCAAGTCGATGTTCGGGCAATAAGTGTCGCAACAGAGCCGCAGCGAAGGGATTCTTCCATGACAGCATCCAGGTATGGCACCGATGTTTCACAAATCTCCGACATGGTTGGGAGCCGAGAGTCCCGATAGGCGTTGGAATGAGCCTGTCGCAAGGCATCGCGAAGGCGAGCCTGGACGGACTGGTAGGCTGACATGTGTTTCACCCACCATGATAGGCTGGCGGCTGTGGTATCGTGACCACCAAGGAGATATCCAAGGATCTATTCAAAGTTGTATTAGCATATTCCCTCACTCGGACGGATGTTAGCACGTATATCTTACTTCATCTCGAATGGCAGGTGAGTAGTAATCTGGTAACCGATCGGCTTCCTTGGCAGCATTCATCTCTCGCCATAGGAGTTGATCTAGTGCACTCTCGCATCCTTCCACGCCAGCCAACATAAGTCTAGGGAGACTCCGATCTATCTGTTGTTTTATCAGGGCCCTTCTATTCCACTGAGCTCTTGCATGTTTTGGTTTGAACAAAGCGAGGAATTGTGAATAGGAGGGAAACGGGCTCGCCTGAGCTATGGATAGCATTTTTGAGATGTCAAAGAGGGCCTCTAGTTCAGGTATGGCTCGAGCTCGTGAAAAATGGACCGATTCGCCCTCGATGTTTGGAAAGATGGGGTTTGTCGACTGCACATGATGAACTTCATGCTGTAGTGCGGACTTTGTATCGTCCATACCAAAGGCGACACCACATATCATGTCGAGAGTCGCTGAATAAAGGTCACTCCCTGCCTCGAAAGGCTTACCATGAGCTTTATATGTCTTTAGATTCCACAGGGTAACAAGAGCAGCGGCTTTCTCGTATACGCGAGGCGCTGCGACCTGCTATTTGGTTAGCGCACCATCCCTTGAGCGTGATCCGATACTCGAGACGAACCTTGTTGAGAAACTTTGATGTCATGAGGTCACGAACAAGTTTCTTATGGAATTTGAATTGAGGATCCGTAGTTGGCATGGCGAAATGGAAATACGGAGACACAATGCTGAAATATTCTTTATTCCTGGTCCCTCTATCAAATTCTTTCAATCGCCGTGAGCAAATGTCCATGACTTCACGGTAGTCGGACACGATGACTGTCGGCGAGCGGAATGGAAGAAGGAAGACCTGACACAGCGGTGATCCATGCTCCCGAGGCTGATTCCATATCCATTGCCGACGGTATCGTACTTTTTGCATAAGAGGTACATCTCCAAAGACCTTTTTGGCGGACTCCTTGTTATATGGAATGCCAGGTAAAGGCTTTGGCAGAGCGGCAAGGTAGAGACTGTAGACCAAGATTATGGCGAGGGACCCCCCGACGAGAATCCAAATCAAAGCCATAGTATAGATCGAGGTTCAGTGAATCTTTAATAAAAAAAAGAAAATCGCAACGCATAACCAGGAGACGAATTATAGCGGCCGGATTTGACTGAAGAGAAGATCTAATTTTAGCAACTAGGTTCCGTATAAGCGAAAGGACTTTCACGCACCAGCTTGTAATTAGGATCGACAAATCTATTTAATAAAATGCGACGCCACCCACGCTTGTCACTCGGATGAGTTAAGGGGATTTCGGCTCTTCGGCTGGCGATCCAGTGATGTTGGTTGACATGGGCAATAGCCAAGCCGAAATTCGATGGATTGATCCAGCGTTTTCTATTTTCCACAGAACAGCTTGCATGTCTCCACGGAGGAGAAGCGATTTTTTATGAGCTGACCATTGGTCGAATATTCTAATGTGTCGAGGGAGATTGTCCGCTTGAATCATTGACCGCTGGATGTCTTGCAGATCCGTCACGTGGCGCGGTGAGAACTTGAAGGTGTTGCAAAGTACATGTACGAGGACTGGCACCAAGATCCCCCCTTGGTTTACACTCGTAGTTTCTGGCAATGGTATGAAAATATGCAATATGAAGATCCAACAAAATGCGTATGCTCGTACAAATGAACTGCATCACTTTCTTGGCTGTTGTCTATCTCTACAAGCTGTACAATCCTTGTAAGATGCGCGAAACTACGAACTAGCGGCGGAGATTGGAGTGATTCGGAGTCGAGCAATTGGAGTCGAAATGCAGTCCACATGCGTGCGTGAATACTACATACATCCATGTAATCACACACATATAAAGCTCAATCAATCACCGGAATAATGCTCTATTTTCTATTGTTGGTACATCTCTCTTGTACTGATTGGTTGCGTTTCTTGTCTCGTCCCACCGCGGATCTCATGCAGATCAAAGCGCAGGCACCGGAACATAGGCAAGAAAGGATACCCAGGCAATGAGGCTGATCTGTTGGCCGATGATATCGACACTGTCATGATCTATTTTGGAGGAGCACTAATAATAGGAGCGAACAACCTGAGCTGAATATGTGTGCACTCATACATTGATGCCGCGATCACTGCTGAAAGTGGCGAAAGCCACCGAACAGAGAGTCACTACAGCTCTAGACAACGTACAGCTTACAATGCAGATTGAGGAACACCGCATCTGCCGTTTCAAGCCATGCTTATCTTGTGATACTCGGAGGATGATATGAAGCCTCAATGATACGTGCGCCTCAGTTGTGTGCATGTACATGTAGTGTTACATGTTGTGCACACGCCTTGCCGCTGAATCATCAAATCGCAACAGTTCAACCAGTCCGTCTTGAAAGCTGGCATCTCCCGTGATTCCGCTATTAAGATAATGTGTAGAAAAGCATACCTGCGCTTGCGCCAGTTCAAATTCTCACTTGGTTAGAAATTCAGGTCAAAGTACGCAATCATTGCAATAATACCTACCTATAAAACACAAGCTCAAGTGTGCATACCCATGCATAGATGTGCCAAGTCCAGATCAGCGGCAATCTGCAGTAGCATCGCAGGCGCTGTAAAAAGACCCGATGTCGCTAAACCACAGCCCTGTCAGCCACCGCCCAGCACCTAAAAGGGCCTAGGTCCAGCGATAAGATGCCAGGCACGGGACAATAAGACGTCATCGGACCCCCCTAAAAGCTGACATCAAATCGAGGTGAGCTTCAGCAGTTCTTGTGCAACACCACCAGCAGCTCTCGCCGACCTCGTGACGATTCAACTTGTTAGCCCGGCTTCTAGACCGGCGCCTGTCCTGATAGAAGGCTCGGCCTCGTTTCGGCAAGGCCATCGCTCTCCTTGGATGCCAATAACTCGCTGCCGGCGCCATGCTCTCCAAGCTCTTCTCGACAGTGGTAAAGCTCGCTTTGCCGTCATCGCAACGCTCGGCTTCGATCTATCCATACCAACCCTTGAGTCAAGATGACGATGGCGAGAACCCAAACGATGGCGAGAGGCCATATGAGCCCTCCCAGGTATCCGATGCGCAGCCCAAGGTCCATCGAGACGCGGCGGCCATGATGCTCATCAAGCTCGGCCGTTCACCAGACGAGATCATCACTGTTTCTCCGGCCGACGATGCCCGGATCCTTCGCCGTATCGACATCGCCCTGCTTCCGCTTATGCTATCTGTGTACTTTCTTCAGGCCCTCGACAAAGCCACGCTATCGTATGCGTCCATCTTCGGCCTCATCGATGACACGGATTTAGTTGGCGACGAGTTCTCGTGGCTCGGTAGCATTGTTTACCTAGCACAACTCATCATGCAACTGCCTTTGGCATGGGCTCTGGTCAAGCTGCCGATCGGCAAATTCACGAGTGCCATGGTTCTTGCTTGGGGAATCACCTTGGCGGGAATGACGTGGGCGCACACTTTTGGACAACTCATGGCTGCTCGTTTCTTTTTGGGTGCCTTTGAAGCTTGCGTTGGTCCGGCCTTTGTTGCTATAACGCAAATGTGGTGGAGGCGAAGGTGCGCTATTGTCTTCAGACCATTTTCATCCACCACTGACGGATTCTAACGCCTTTTAACAGGGAGCAGACGATGAGAATTGGTTCTTGGTATTGCATGAATGGGTTGACCTGGGTGGTGAGTTGATGGTTGTGACTTTCATGATGGTTGGCCACTAACAAGAAATGTGCAGTTTGGAAGTCTCATTACCTATGGGCTTGCCAGCATAGATTCAAGCATGAAGCCCTATCAGGTAAAAATTGCATCTCGTATCCCTCTCTGTTCATACATATACTAACACTGTGTAAGATCATATTTCTTTTCTTTGGCGTCCTAACTGTCGCGGTATCTGGAGCCATGTTCTTTTGGATGCCCGATTCTCCCACCGAAGCAAAGTTTCTCAGCGATGAAGACAAAATCCTTGCTATAGAACGACTTCGCAACAATCAGATGGGGGTCATGTCGCGAGAATGGAGATACGCTCACTTCTTTGAGACTTTGCAAGATCCCAAAACCTGGCTGTGGGTTGTCATGATCTTTTGCATCTCAGTGCCTTCAAATGGCGTATCGACTTTTGGACCACTCATCATCAAATCCTTTGTTACAGACCCGTACAGAACAATATTATTCAATGTTCCGGTTGGTTTGTCGCATGTCTTGGCTGTTTCATTGAGTGCGTATGCATCAATGAAGTGGAAGCTCAAAGGGCCGGTTATTGTCCTCTTGTGTATCCCACCAATCATTGGGTTTTCGATTCTGCTACATTTCCCACACGATATCGAGCATCGAGCGATTTTGCTTGCAGGATATTTTTGCCTTTCCACATTCACAGGCATCAGTAAGTTTTCTTTCCAACTCGTAACCACGCGCAGCGGTAACTAACCCGTGACAGCACCACTCATCTATTCGTGGTCTGCGCAGAACACGGCTGGAGATACCAAGCGTAAATGCACCTCGGCACTGGTGTTTATTGGTTCGTCTGCTGGAAATATCGTCGGGCCCTTGCTTTTCACACCTGATGAAGCTCCGTCATATTCCAGAGGCTTACGGGCGAACATTGTGTTTTTCGTCATGGTTATTTTATTTGTTGGCATTACATCACTGTATCTGAGATATCTCAATTCCGATCACGCCAATCGAAGAGTGGCACTAGGAAAGAATGCAGTTATTCTAGACATGAGTTTGGAAACGGCAGAAGAGGTGGAGCGCATGGAGTCATTGGAGCAAGCGATGCGAGAGGGAACCCAAAGACTTTCTGAAGAAAACGGTGATACTCGATTGGGAGGGGATGAAGAGAATGGAGTGCAACCGGATGATCTCAAGGGCCGAAAAGCCTTTGCAGACATCACTGACCTCGAGAATGAGGATTTTGTCTTTGTGTTTTGAGTTGCTGGCCGTCGAATCAGCCCTGGATACCCCATTTTCTTTTACATACCTTCGCAGCTTCATCTCTTAATTAGAAGCATACTAGACAGAACTGAACCCTCTGACACAGTCCAGTAATTGGCAATCAGGCTCTGATGGGCCTGCGCTTGAGTGTCGTGGCCGCGAGTGATTGGCCACCTCCGGCCAGCTGAATGGCTCATTACTACCTGCAGCCTGATTTTGCGCCCCGACTTTGGTATGTATATTACCATACCTTTTAATGGCTTGCATTTCCCAGTATTTAATGTCAAGGATGTGAAACCCCGCGCGAAACCACAAACCTCTCATCACGCACCTTGAGATGAGGCGATATCCCCGGCAAGTCAACCACTAAGTTGGTACCTGATCTGATGAATTCTCTTATACCATTCATCAATCTATACCTTTAAATACGCTGTGATAAAAATGCCTCCTTCTGCGCTCTCGCAGACTATAGCCCAAGATTTCAGGTGGCAAATTCTGATCTGCACGCTTCTCCTCCCATTTACATACATCCTTTGGTCGAAATGGACTTCATCGAGCATATTCCAGCCAGACAAGGCAGTCGTTAACACCGTGGAGCCCAGTGACATGGCCACACAGGACAAGGAGGACATTGTATTAGCGACTGAAACACCAGGTTCGCTGAATAGGGACAAGGACGCTGCAGATGCTGTGGCTCTACAGGAGAGACAACAATCAGATAACGATGGTGCTCGAGTACCGATAGCTGAAGCCCCTAAACAAAAGTTGGCTCATGCAGACTACACCATCGGCTGGATCTGCGCACTGAGCACGGAGTATGTTGCCGCGCAAGTTTTTCTTGATGAAAGGCACGAGGGACCGGAATATGTGCCATCCAATGACAATAATGATTACACATTAGGCAAAGCTGGAAGCCACAATGTTGTTATCGCAGTCTTGCCTAACGGGGAGTACGGCATATCAAGTGCTACAGGCGTTGCAAAAGACATGCTGCATAGCTTTCCTAATATCAGGATCGGCTTTATGGTTGGCATCGGAGGCGGCGCGCCGAGTCAAAAGCACGATATACGGCTCGGCGATGTTGTGGTTAGTACTCCTCGCGATGGCACCGGCGGTGTTTTCCAATATGATTTCGGCAAGGCAATTCAAGGCGGAATTTTCCACACAAAGGGCTTTTTAAATAAACCACCGATACTTCTTCGAACTGCAGTCAATGGGCTTAAGGCAGATTATGAGATAAATGGTCATCGAATCGAAGAAGCTATCAGTGATATCTTGGAAAGAAAGCCAAGGCTACGGCGGAAGTATGAGCGACCGCAACCAATCACCGATAAGCTGTATAAGTCTACAATCGCTCATCCTCAAGACACTGAAGGGAGCTGCGTAAACTTCTGCGGAAGTGACATGTCGAGGTTAATACTGAGGCCAGAGCGGACTCAAGATGAGGATAACCCGAGTATTCATTATGGTTTGATTGCGTCAGCGAACCAGGTGATGAAGGATGCCCTTACCCGAGATAAGCTAATTAAAGAGAAAGACGTTCTGTGCTTTGAAATGGAAGCAGCTGGGTTAATGAACCAGTTCCCATGTTTGGTCATTCGAGGTATTTGTGATTATGCAGATTCTCACAAGAATGAAGAATGGCAAGGCTACGCGGCAATGACGGCGGCAGCATATACCAGAGATCTCTTACACAGGATCCCTCTCCAACAGGTTAGGGCTGAGAAAAGGATTAGCGACGTACTCTCAAGTTAGTTCGAACAATTCATATGATTTCAACTGCACAGGTGCTGATTGCTCTATGCCATGACAGGTGTTCAGAAGGGCGTTGATAAGCTTCTCTATTTTCAACAAAATAAGGATTATCAGGAAATCCTTGACTGGCTTACACCAATTGACTACGCCCCCCAACAAAAGGACTATATCCAAATCCGACAACCGGAGACTGGTCAATGGTTCTTAGACTCCGGGGAGTATCAGACATGGATTGAGTCTGACAAGCAAACGCTATTTTGTCCAGGTGTCCCTGGAGCCAGGAAGACAATCATGACCGCGGTAGTCATCGACAACCTATATGCAAGATACAAGGATGATGCCAAAATAGGTATTGCGTATCTGTATTGCGATTATCGAAAACAATACGAGCAGAAAGCAGAAGATCTGCTGGCGAATCTGTTAAAACAGTTGACTCAGGGACAAGCTGTGATACCGGGCTGCATACAAACTTTGTATAGTAATTACAAAAACAAACCAAAACGACCACCACTTCATGAACTGTCAGAAGCATTACGATCGATTAGTATCCTTTACTCCAAGGTCTTCATTATCGTCGACGCACTGGATGAGTGCCGAACTGCGGACGGCTGCCGCAAGTCTTTTTTATCCGAGCTTTTTAATCTTCAAGCAGAAACAAACACAAACATCTTTGCGACGGCAAGATTTATCCAAGAAATTGAAGAGGCATTCAAACAAACTTCCTCTCTAAATATCACTGCTAAAGATGAGGACGTGCAAAAATATGTGACCGCTAATATGTCACGGCTTCCCTCGTTTGTTCTGAGAAACCCCGAGGTACAAAGTGAGATAAAAACTGCAATGTCCAAGAGTGCTGACGGAATGTGAGTTGGACTGTTCTCTCAATAGGGTTGTGAATTCTAACTAAGTCTAGGTTTCTCCTTGTGCGATTACATACTGATTCCTTGGCCCAACTGCCGACAGTAGGGGATGTCAAACAAGCGTTGCAAAACTTGCCCCGCTCTCTTGATGATACATACAAGCAAGCGATGGCAAGAATCGAGAGTCAAAGCGAAGCCTTTCAAAAATTGGCAAAAAAGATTTTATCTTGGCTTACCTGGGCAAAAACAGTGCTCTTCGTGGCCGAGCTCCAACACGCCGTTGCAGTTAAGCTAGGAACAGCAGAACTAGACGAGGAGTTCATCCCCGACAAGGAAATAATGGGTTCCGTCTGCGCCGGTCTCGTCACTATCGACAATGAGAGTGGTGCCATACGGTTGGCACATTACACCACCCAACAATACTTCAGGCGTGTGGGTGGCCGGTGGTTTCAAGATGCAGAGGCCAATATCGCAAGGCTATGTTTAACTTACATCTCATTTCGCGAATTTGAAAGCGGTTACTGCAACACAGACGACGAGTTTCAGCAGCGCATACAGCTATATCCGCTGTATGAATATGCTGCGAACCACTGGGGATTTCATTCCCGTGCGGCCCCGGAAATGCAGCCGCTGATCTTAGATTTTCTAGGCTGTGAAGCCAAGGTGTCTGCCTCTGGCCAGGCAATCCGAAGCGGCAGAATGGCAGCTATTCACCTCGCAGCAATTTTTGGACTTGAAAGCATAGTTGCATACTTTTTCGACAATGGATATGACATAGATGCCAGGGATGCCAACGGAAGGACACCACTCTGGTGGGCATCCGAAATGGGCCAAAGAAATGTGGTCAATTTATTGATCGACTATGGCGCTGAAATCAATTCGACGGACTATACCAAGCATGAAACACCGCTCTTCAAAGCCCTCGAGTTGGGAAGAGAAGACATCATCAGACTGCTGCTGGAGAATGGCGCAGATGCCAACCTTATTGCCAACGGTCTTACGGCACTCAGTTATCCCATTGAAGAGAAAGATCAAGGCACAGTCAAGTTGCTGCTAGAGAATGGCGCCAATGTTAACCTTATGGATAACGGCGGTTACCCACCACTTGTTTATGCTATTAGGAAGAAAGATAATGGTATAATTCGGCTGCTGCTAGAGAATGGCGCCGATATTAACCTTATGAATACTAAGGGTTACCCAGCACTTTTTTATGCGATTACTCAGAAAGATCGAGGCATCATCAGGCTGCTGCTAGAGAATGGCGCTGATGTTAACGTTTTTGATAACAAAGGCAGGCCGATGCTTCTTCATGCTATTACACAGAAAGATCAAGGTATCGTTAGGCTGCTGCAAGAAAATGGTGCCGATGTTAATATTTCTTATAATGGTTTCCCGGCACTTGTTTGGGCTATTATTGGTGGAGACGAAGGCATCGTCAGGGTGCTGCTAGAGATTGGCGCAGATGTTAACCTTATTGATGCTAGCGGTTACTCGGCACTTACACATGCTATTATGTATCAAGACGAAGGCATCGCCAGGCTGCTGTTAGAAAATGGCGCCGATGTTAATTGCCTTATCCAGGGAGATACACCGCTATCAATAGCAATTATGATGCGAAAAGAAAGTATGGGCAATCTTTTGCTAGAATATGGCGGTAAAACTTGGATAGGATATTAGTATTTAGACATTTGATAGTGAACTAAACTGCTGTTGCGTACATATGTACTATGTAGATCCGTCATGGTTGACTTAAAGAACACATGGTAAATTGGATTTCCACTCGATTCCATCTAGCAGCAGGTCAAACTGCATCTGTTCCTCTCTCATGCGCAGCTACAGTCATATGTACCAAGTTCCAGGGCTATGCAAGTAATTGGTCAAAAATCAATCCGAGATTCCTCCACTCACATGCAGTTAATCAGCGTGTTCAAACGAAGCGCAAAGGTGGACAATTGGCCAATATGTGGGCTTAGAAGATGAGCTGTCGCATGAGGCGGTGCTGGCCAGTGAGCAGCTTGGACAGCGCAGGCAAAGTGGAGGCTGGGGCGAAAGCCACGACAGCATCTGAGGCCGCCTTTGAGCTGATCGAATCACTGATGCGAAACCACTGGATGGCCAAGGAATTACACATGCTGTTGACCAAATAAAGAGAAATAACAGGGGATTGTGATTCATAGTCGTCTGGTGTTGCAAGTATAAAGAGGGCGGACGCTGCATCGGCAAACTCCAGTATTCATATCCAACACGGCTTCTACCGGGTACCAGCAATCATTTCGTCATCGGACCATAGCACTCCCCAAATACCTCATTTTTCTTGCCGGTCTGATCCTGTTACTATCCCTTGTACCAGTCATCAATTTTTCTCCATCTCAAGTAAACATGTCGGGAGACGGCTATCGTTCAGTTGCCTACTTTGTAAACTGGTACGTATTATGTCTCGATAAAGCTCTATTCATGACCCAACATCTACACACATACACCGGCTGACACGGCTTCTCTAAAATCAAGGGCCATCTATGCTAGAAAGCATCGCCCTCAAGACCTTCCCGTCGATAAACTTACTCACGTCCTCTACGCTTTTGCCAATGTCCGCCAAGATAGCGGGGAAGTGTACGTCTTGAATCTCTTTTACCCCCCTTTTGTGATGATTCCGCGCTAAGAATGATAGACACATGACGGATGGCTGGGCGGACACAGATATTCATTGGGAGGGAGACTCATGGAACGACACCGGAAATAACATGTATGGATGTCTCAAGCAGCTGAATCTTCTCAAGAAGCGCAATCGCAACCTCAAAGTCCTGCTGTCTATCGGCGGCTGGACATATAGCGGCAACTTCAAGGGCCCCGCCAGCACTCAGCAGGGTCGCGAGACATTCGCCAAATCTAGTCTCGAGCTGCTCAAGAATTTGGGTTTTGACGGACTCGATATCGATTGGGAGTATCCTCAAAATGCAGACGAGGCGAGAAATTTCGTTGAGCTTCTCGCTACTGTTCGCAGAGAGCTGGATGCCTACTCTGCCACTCTTCAGAACTACAGCCACTTTGAACTGACTGTAGCCTGTCCCGCCGGACCTACGCACTTTCAGAAACTTGACGTGCCCGGCATGGATCAATATCTTGATTTCTGGAACCTGATGGCTTACGACTACGCGGGGTCTTGGGACCAGACAAGTGGCCATCAGGCGAACCTCCATCCGTCACATGACAACCCTACATCTACTCCGTTTTCTACCGATGCAGCCATCGACTTTTACACTAGAAATGGTGTCGCTCCCAGCAAGATTGTGCTTGGAATGCCTATTTATGGCCGTGCTTTTGAGAATACCGATGGCCCTGGCAGGCCATATAATGGCATCGGGGAGGGGTCGTGGGAGAATGGCATCTTCGACTACAAGGTTCTTCCTCTCCAGGGTTCTCAAGAGATTTATGATCAAGCGACTGGCTCCAGCTACTGCTATAACCCACAAACAAGGAAGCTTGTGTCCTACGACACCCCTCATGCCAGCAGAGTCAAGGCTGGGTATATCAAAGAGTGGGGTCTTGGAGGTGGCATGTGGTGGGAGAGCAGCGGAGACAAAGAAGGCCATGACAGCTTGATCGGCATTGTCGTGAATGAATTCGGAGGCCCAGGGGCGTTGCAGAGGAAGGATAACTGCATCGAGTATCCGCAGTCGAAATACGACAACTTGAAGAACGGATTTCCAAACAACTGAAAGTGGCCAGCCTTGAAATTTTATTTTTTATATAAAGTTGCCAACCTAGTATGAGTATACAATACATGACAAAATACATGTAGTTACGAAAACAGAAATTATAAACTAAATGACAGATTGAGGCTTACTTGTTGTTTGCACCCTTGGCAACCAACCAGATGTTCGCAACATATAGATCCACGTGTTGTTGGGGTGGCAGCGCTTTGACATATAGCCATTCCATCAGTTATGGTGGCGCACATGGCAACAAGCTCCGTGTCCTCTCTGCTATCCTTATGCTGCGATAATTTCTGAATTACTCACTAACAAACGTATGATTGAAGAGCGGCATGGCTGGCAACATGGCAGCACCCAGGAAGAAGCTCCCTAGCGAACGCTGGACATCATTTGATGATTGGGACTACGGCGGCATGAAGGAGCGCCTTGAAGACTTCATGAAGTCTATCAACAAGACGGCGCTTATAGAACACGCTTCAACGATATTCGGCTCGCCCGTCTCCCTAAGCGATCCTTTTTCTGCTGGTCAGTCCTGGTGCTGCTTCGAGCTTGTTGCGCCTGACCACTTGCTCATAGCACGAGTTCGGCTGCCAAAACATCCCGATAGCAACGCCCCAGACGCAGCTGATGAGTACCTGGTCCAATGTGAAATTGCAACAATGGAGTTCCTGCAGGCAAATATCAAGACTGTCCTAATACAAATACCCAAAATCTACGCCTATGAAGGGCCAGGAGCTGCGAAAGCCATTGAAGTGGGCGCCTCATACATGCTTATCCAGGGCTTCTACGGGAATTCCCTCCAAGATGTGAACGACAGCCTCTATGATCTTCCTGTAAGACCTTGCCTTCACTCTACTTGCGGCTGGATGTAATTCTAATCCTTCTATAGATCTCAACCCAAGAACATATTTTCGCACAATGGACGGCATTTCAGGCAGAACTTGCCGTCTTTACCTTTCCACAAATCGGTTCCATCTCGCAATTTTCTGCAGACACTGGGCCCGTTATTGGTGCAATAGCTACAGCTTGGCTTGAGCATCTTCCAAATAGCGGCCCATTCCAATCTGGATGGGAATACTTCGTCGCGGTGGCTGAAGGCCTTGTCACATGTGCACTCCAGAGGAAGCGTTCCGACACGGAGGGTGCATATAACCGGTTTGCTGTTCTCGCTCCACTCATCTTTCGAAATATCGTGCGCGACACGGAGATTTTCAAAAGCATCCAGGGACCATTTCACTTGAATCATATGGACATGGGCATGCAGAATATTCTCGTTGACGATGACTACAACTTAGTTGCCATAATCGACTGGGAATTTGCCCAGTCGGCGCCTTGGGAGGTGAATCATTATCCAATGCCAATCCCGCTGATCTCCTCAGATCGCGAAACCGCAGAGTTTCTTCACGACACTAAACACATAGCCCATCGTAATACATCACGACAGGTTGGAGCAAGATTACTGTACCGCCAACAGTTTGGAGAGGCGGAACGAGCGCTTGAAAAGAGAGGCAATCCACTGTACTGCTCAATTGCCGACGTGCTGGAGGGAAAGGCATCCAGGATCTACGGCGTAGTCGGAAAGATTGGTGTCTTTGATGGCATGGAGGAAGAACTCACGTATGAGTTGGTCCGACTAGGCTACGGGCTCACAGGCTCGGAAGCAGAAGAGCACGTCCGTATGGTGGAGGAGGAGATGAAAAGAACCATGGTTGGAGTAGAGTCGACAAATGGATGAGAATGCCTGGAGAAGTGATAACGAAAGGGCGAGGGGGCCAATCTGTCACGGCAGTAAACATGTCATTTCACGTTGAGTTTGGTGTCCTTGAATATAAAAGACGATAGATATTAGAGCTCTTCCGCTAAGAATACTGAAGCCACCAAAGATTAAGTCACGATTCTCTGACTCCGAAGTGAAGTGAATCCATGCCCCGCTGCTCGCGCACGTGACTCCTCCCACAGCGCAGCCCCTGCCGGCTGCAAAATCCAATTGGTCCGTGCGCTAAGCTCAAAGCTACCAGAAAATTTCGTCGACCAAAAAAAAAAAGTTGCATGCGAAGATCTTGGAAAAAACTCCAACTCGAGAGCGAAAAGCGCTGCCACCAATTGCAGTCTCCGCGTCTCTTTCCCACTTCTAGTCTTCAATCTACGGCGTCGCACGGGAAGAGATCACAATGGCGCACGTCGATTACGTCCTTTTCGAAGCCGCCCTGGGCTATGCCCTCTTCAGCGTGGTGCACCAGGCCGATGCTGTTGGCGCCAAGTTGAAGGAGGTGCAAACTGCCGTCAACGAGCTGCCCAAGTTCAGCAAGATGGTTAACCTTGTCAATTTCACTCCCTTCAGGTAATTTCTTGTTCCTACGTGGCCGCGATTGGGGCGAATAGAGACTGATGCGGGTGCACAGTGGTCACGTCGAGGCTCTCGAGAACGTCAATTTAATTTCTGAGGGTATCGTTTCCGACCAGCTCAAGTCTGTTCTTGAGCTCAATCTCCCTCAGACGAGCGGAAAGAAGAGCAAGATCACTCTTGGTGTGGCTGAGAAGAACCTTGCCAGCGCCATCAAGGCCCAGTTCCCCGGCCTCTCCATCGAGACGATCGAAACCTCCGTGGTTGTTGCCGAACTTATCCGTGGCATTCGTCTACACGCTGAAAAGCTCCTCAAGGGTCTCCAGACTGGCGATCTGAGCAAGGCTTCCCTGGGTCTGGCCCACGCCTACTCCCGTGCCAAGGTCAAGTTCAACGTCACCCGCAATGACAACCACATCATCCAGGCCATTGCCACTGTCGACTTCCAGGATAAGGGAGTCAACGGCTTTTTTATGCGCCTTCGCGAATGGTACGGCTCGCACTTCCCCGAGCTCCAGAGATTTGCCTCAGACAACTACACCTACGCTCAGCTTGTCAGCGTTATCGGAAACAAGAAGACTCTGTCTGATGAGAAGCTGCACGACATTGCTGCCATTCTTGGCGAGGATGGAGAGAAGGCTCAGGCTATCATTGATGCTGCCAAGGTCTCCATGGGATATGACCTTGCTAGCACCGACTTTGAGATCATTGACCAGCTCGCCCGCCTTGTCATCAAGCAGGCCGATAACCGTCGGTCCACATCCACCTATCTTGATGAGAAGCTTGACCAGGTTGCCCCTAACCTGAAGGCCCTGCTCGGATCCAGCGTTGCTGCTCGCCTCATCTCTCATGCTGGTTCTCTGACCAGCTTGGCTAAGCTGCCTTCATCCACCCTGCAGATTCTTGGTGCCGAGAAGGCCCTTTTCCGTGCGCTCAAGACCAAGGGCAACACTCCTAAGTTTGGTCTCCTGTTCCACGCTGGTGCTATCGCCAAGGCTAGCAAGCAGAACAAGGGTCGTATGTCTCGCTGTGTTGCCAACAAGGCTTCCATGGCTTCTCGTATCGACGTCTTCTCTGCTGAGCCTTCCACCCGGTTCGGAGATGCCTTCAAGCAGCAAGTGGATGAGCGTCTGGAATTTTACGCCACTGGCAAGCGCCCCACAAAGAACTCTGATGTTATCGTACGTTACACTTTTCATTGTTTTCTTGTCATCTTGAACATGCACTAACTTGGATCTAGAAATCTGTCATGGAGTCTCTCGGAGATGCCGGTGAGACTTTCGATGAGGATATGATTGATGCTCCTGATGCTGCTGCCTCCAAGAAGGAGAAGAAGGACAAGAAGAAGGACAAGAAGGAGAAGAAGGAGAAGAAAGAGAAGAAGCGCAAGCACGACGAGGATGAGGATGTCCCCATGACCAACGCTGCCGATGGTGAGAAGAAAAAGAAGAAGAAGAAGTCCAAGTCACAGGATGAGTAGAGCTCTTCCGAGTGCTCGGACGCTTCGACTGATTAAAGTCCACCGAGGTGGCTCAACCAGAGGAGTGAAAGGTTGAGGTAATGGGAATACATGGGCTCGTGGCGAAGGCGATAAGAAGAAGAGCGACGATAAACTCAGCAAAAAGGAAAAGCTGAGTGCCGAGCTTGCCAACGAACGCTCTGCCGATCTCGACCAAGATTCAGAGGAACTCGCCGAGTCCAAGCCCAAGAAGGACGAGAGCAACAAGTCCACAAAGAGCAAGTCGTCTGAGGCTGAGTAGGTTGAGTAGCATTGGGAGGCCGGCTCTGGCCCGGGGGTGGTATCTGCACTTCACTTTTGAGGGAGTTGTAAAGGAATCTGGAAACGGCGTTCAAGGACAAACAGCTTTGCTATGATAATTTGTACATATGAAGGGATGCATACCCGATCTTGACGTTGCAGTGTCGATTTAACCTTAGTAGGTTGTTGGCATATGCACGATTGAATTGAAATTCTGAAAATTACAAATTGGCCATTTCGCGGGGCATCTTGAAAGTGTGCCAGCATCATATTGGAATTGGTGATGTATGGGGTTGACACAATATGGGCCGACCCTAGGCACGTTCGGCTAAAGTGGATCGAGAACAAATTTGGGTCGTGAAAAAAAATTCAAGGGAAATTATACAAAGCACCCTGATAATGACTTCAAGGGCCTTATCATCTTATCAGAAAAACATCAAGCATGTGCAGACATCACATCGTCACAGAAACAGCACAAATAATTTAGTCCCGCAATCGTTGCACATTGTCACATGAACTACAGTTTCCGAAAACTCCAAACGTGTCTCAAATCAAGCATTCATTACCAGAAGCCGCCGGATGTGCTCTCTATGCTACATCAACGCCTTTGTGTGTTATGGCAGTCCCATGGCTCCAGCTGTCCAATCCACAATAATTTTTCCATTTTTTAAAAAGTTTGTCGTTTACTGCTTGTCGAAGACGTAGGTCAGGTGGCAACGACCACAGTACTGACGGTCAGGCATAGCAGCCATGAAGACACCAGCGCCGCACTGGGGAAGGCAAATCGTGTTAGTCTGATGCTTTGCCACACATTTGGAATCATTTGGAATCATTGCAGGGGGTTACTCACAGTGTCGCTGGGGCACTCTCGGCGGAGACGCTCGATGTTACCATCGTTGCTGACCTTGTAGTACTTGAGGACAGCCAACTTGGTCTTCTTGCGCTTGTGCTTGATCTTCTTGGGGGTGGTGTAGACCTTCTTCTTTCTCTTCTTGGCACCACCACGCAGGCGCAGGACCAGGTGGAGGGTAGACTCCTTCTGGATGTTGTAGTCGCTCAGGGTGCGGCCATCCTCCAGCTGCTTACCAGCGAAGATCAATCGCTGCTGGTCCGGGGGAATGCCCTCCTTGTCCTGGATCTTGGACTTGACATTGTCGATGGTGTCGGAAGACTCCACCTCAAGGGTGATCGTCTTCCCCGTGAGGGTCTTGACGAAAATCTGCATCTTGCCTAACTGGAAGGGTTAGATTTGTTTGCCCAGCTTACATTGCCTGCGTGAGATGTTTGGGGAAAGAGAAGGCGAGAATACCGTGTTACAAATTTCTTTGCGACAACGGCATCCCGGGATTTGGGTACAGAGCTCCGGGAAACCGGGGGAGAAAGATATTCAAGAGGGAGACATCAATGATGATTCCCTCATGAAGCTCCCGGAGCTCATGGAGGGCAGATAGAAATGCAGCATCTTTCAGACATACCTCGACAATAAAACTATTGCCGTCCTAAGCAATCTTCAGATGTTGCGGATGATGAGGGAGCAGTACATTTCCTTGGTGTGGCGCGCCAGAAAATTCACCTCCGGCGGACACGGCAAACGAGATCACATGACCTAGGGTTTCCGCAATAGCTGCCCTGCCCCTCGCGAAATTTCGCAGCAATACCCGCTTGTGGACGGTGGAGGCACTAAAGTCAGTGGGCAATTGATTTGGCACAGCTTTTCGCGAAAGCCCTAGATCCAAGTTTCTTTTTGATAAGCACCAATTCCAGTACGTGAACGGAACTCCTTTCTCTTTCCTTTTCCCTTCTGCGTGAGAATCTAACAGTTCAATCCAGACACCGCCAAAATGGTCAAGAAGAGAAAGAACAAGTATGCCTCGCCCTTCTATCCGTTCCATCTATCCCGTTGCATCCATCCGTCGAGCTGCTTCCAAACGATGTTCTTGTCGACAGAACCCGTTTTTCAACTGCAGCGTCTCGTGATGGATGATGGAGAACGATGATGTTTGATACATCGAGACACGATGCTAACATGACAACAGCGGCCGCAACAAGAAGGGCCGCGGCCACACCAAGCCCATCCGCTGCAGCAACTGCTCGCGATGCACTCCCAAGGATAAGGCGATCAAGCGCTTCACCATCCGCAACATGGTTGAGTCTGCTGCCATCCGTACGTGAACCCGCCCAAAGAATATCGATTTTCAAAACAACTTCAGTGTGAGATTGGCATTGCTAACTTCTATCTACAGGTGATATCTCCGATGCCTCTGTCTTCGCTGAGTACACTGTCCCCAAGATGTACCTGAAGCTGCAGTACTGCGTCTCTTGCGCTATCCACGGCAAGATTGTCCGGTACGTTGCCTCCCCTGGGAGTGTTACAACTGCGCCTTTCTGGCGTATGTGCTTCAGATGAGCCTTGGTTGTACTTGGGACGTTCACACGTCCCAGCTCTCGAACATATATCCCCTCCGTCCCCCAATAAAGGTACGTTTGACGCTGACAGAATTCAAATAGTGTCCGTTCGCGCGTTGGCCGCCGTAACCGAGCTCCTCCCCCTCGTGTCCGCTACAACAAGGACGGCAAGAAGATCACCCCCACCGCTGCCCCCAAGGTTTAAAATGGGTATGACGGTAATGGGTTGGACGGAGTCTGGTTTACTTTAACGCCTTCATGTAATTGCTTAGATGAATACCCGGGACAAAGAGAATCCTGGAGCCTAAATGAATCGGACTTTTTTTTCTTGTTGAAAAGATCAATTCTTTGTGTGCCTCTCGCTTAATGACAGTGACGTGTGGCTTAACATATTGGTGATGCTTTAAAGTAGTATTCAGTAACCTGATACCAATGACGAAATCCAACAGCTACAGGATCAATTCCGCCAATCCTCATTTTCACTATACACCTTACTTTGAATAAACAAAGCAGCCAACTATTCACTCTCATATTGCAATCTCTTCAAAAGAGGCCCGGCCTCACCAGCACACTTCCATTCTGCGCACACTCGTAAGGATCAACACAAACACCTCCTCCACAACAACTCCCAGTCAAACACACATACGTCGGATGTCCAGCCTTGGAACAATCCTCATCAACCTTGCAATCACTCACAAAATTCTCACACTCCGTAATCTCAAACGCCACCGAAGCCCCCGAAGCCGTGTTACCACAGACACATCCCGTATCACCAAGGTGAGCGCTGAACGGATACGCACAAGTCCCCGCGGTCTCGTTCTTCTTAGCATCGCTTCCAGGGCTGCAGCACGCAATTTTCGCTGGATCTTGAATCGTCACGTTGAATGGCTTGGGGTTCTCGGGAGCCCAGTTGAGTCTGGCGATGGCATCGATCGTGGTCACGCCTGCGCGGAGGCTCATCTTCAGCGGCATGTCGCCTGCATGAAGATCTTCGCAGATGTCGTCCTCGAAGTTGCGGTACTGATTATACACGTCGATGTACTCCTGGATGGCGCTCGCTTTCCCGGGTGGTTGGGTGCGCAGCTTGGAGAACGCCTGCTTGAGGATCTCCCACAGTTGCTCGTAGTAGATGACGATGAGGTTAGCCTCGGCCTTTTGCGCATCGTCGAGGCCCTGGTTGTAGAGCTCGGTTCGAAGAGACTCTGGATTGATAAAGTCTTGGCCATTGGCCTCGAGGGTTGTGATGACGGTGGACAAGTCAGGACAGGCACCGCCAAAGGGATCCGTAAAGAGAAACTCTTCGATATCGTTCCGAACAGCCCATTCGCATCTCATGGTGCCCGAGTCCGAGCCAGGGAAAGTGCAGTCAAAGAGCCAGCGGCCAGTATTCTCATCAACCTCAATATCATTACAGTCTGTGTCCCCAATCTTGAGCTCCGGATACTGCCTTACGATCTGCTTGACCGGATTGTTACACTGATCTCTCAGGTATAGAGTTTGTTTGAAGTCTGTGTCGCTCATCCGCTTCCGCTTTTGATCTCCCGTGGAACAAACTTGTCCGGAGAGCGCAGCAAGTTGCTTGTACATCGAGTCAATTGTGATGGATACATCATACTGGCACTTCTTTGTCGAGAAGTGGATGCCATTAGCATCGATAATCATGGCATTGTAAAGAGAGTCCACGATGGCAATATAGCTCCGATTAGAAACATCGATGTAATGAGTTCCCTCGGCTGCATCCCGCAGTGTGAGATAGAGAGGATCGACGCCATCCGTTTGGAAATCGACTGACTCGATATACGGGAATGGGATTGTTGCATTTGCCTCTCGGAGTTTTGTGTTGTGGAGCAGTGCTCTCCGAGTTGAACCACCCTGTGGCTCCGGCATCTGATAACAAGTCGGCTTGACAATGGCACCTGTTCGAGTTACCTGTGTGAAATTCGCGGCGGGTAAAGCAGGGGGGCCTGTCTGCGTAGCATTGACAATGCGACTGATGGTGCTGCTGTTGAAACCGCTGGGTGTGATGAAGGGAGCAGAAGTAAGAGTGGCTGTTGTCGTGGCATTTGCAGTTACAGATCCTGTGTCTGGGTTTCCAACGCTGGCTGTGGCTGTGGAGGACAATGAACCCATAGTCCCAGTGCCCCACGGAGAAGGTGTTGCTGAGCTATTCCAACCTGTAGCTGTAGATGCATCTCCAGAAGTTATTACTGGTGTAGATCCAGAATATGTGATGCTGGGGCTTATACTGTTGTTGATACTGGTTGAAGTGGCATTTGATCCTGAAGATCCTTGACCCGAGTTTCCGGAGCCATTCGATGTGCTCTGGGTAGCAGATCCTCCACTAGAAGCCTGGCCACCTGTAGATGCAGTGGAAGCCTGACCATCCCCAGAAGTTGCCGTTGCACCAATTCCGCCACTTCCTTTGTTGTCAGTAGAAGAAGCATCGCCCGTAACCGTAGCTGATGCCGTCTGAGATGAAGCAGTAGAGCCGCCATCCGTGCCAGAAGCTGTTGTTCCCGTTGCAGAGCCATCGCCAGAGTTGGCACCACTATTACCTGACCGGCCGGATGTTGCAGTTTCCTGAGAAGAGTCTTGAGATGTACGAGTGACCTTATCAGTCATGGACCCGGTATCAGAACCGACAATACCTGATACAGTCTCCGAGGAAGCTGCAGAGCCACTCGTCATAGGGTCAGTAGGTGACTCCAAAATGCTCGAAGGCTCAATGGAGGCACGACCGGTAGATCCTTCATCGCTACTCGAGGAAGTTTGTGTGGTGAAAGAGCTTCCATCCGTAGCCGTCGAGCCGTCGTCACCGTTAGTCTTTGAAGCCTCACCACCGCTACCATCCGAAGATCTGGCTTGAGTAGCACCATGTGTCGTCGTCGGCCCACGAGAGTTGCGCCACGAAGTATACGATAGAGTGCCATTTATTTGACCACCCCAAGAGCCCGTTGCGCTTGGCGCAGCAGTTCCAAACGAAGTGAAGCTCGTCATAAGGCACGCACACTGCATAAATTATGTTAACTGAATGTATCATAGAGACCAGCTGTTGGTAGTGGTGATAAAGACTTACATAGGAGGATAACTTGGCCGAGGAATACGACGTGAACTGTGTAGGAGTCGACGAAACCTCGCAAGGAAGCCTTATCATGCTTGAACAAAACTCCCCGCCATCTCGAGAGAGCGAAGTATAAAGAGCATCACGAGAACACGAAACGGCATTCTGAGCCGCGGGAAAGGCGAATACGCCACGAAGAATGAATAGAATTGCAAGAAGTAGCATGTTGACAAGAATGATGAGTTATAGTCTGCCAAGGGATAAAGGCTGATAATCAGGAAAAATATACAGAGTATCTGTTCCGGATGGAGCTTCTGATTTATATAGACATTTCGAATAGGGAATGATATATATAGATTAGTCCTCTCAAGTGCATTACACAGCTTCGCATGCTCACTGTCAAGAAACGAGACATGGTGTATCCATAACTCAGTTGCCCCTGACAAGGATCGAGTAAGAGGCAGGATTCCCACCTCGGCGTTGAGTCCAATCCCCAAAGTGCCATCTACTCCAAATCTATACCGAGTCTCAGCAGCGCCTACATTGTATGCCTCCATCAAGACACAATCGGCACTACTCATGTCTCGGCATGACTCGATCCGCCTCCAGCTCATTATTCCGCTTCCCTCTCGGCCTTACTTTCCAAGCTGAACATCCAACTCACCTTTAGATAATCCAGACACGTCCAAATTAAGGGACTTCAGCCACAATCCTTCACGCCTTGAACCCCCTTTCACCATCTACTCCCCTCGTCGCACAAGATCTCATTCGTGCAACATCACCCAAAGCCAAGGCCCATCCAACATCTTGTCTCATGCAATGGCGATCGCGAGATCCGGCACTCTCTCTCCTAAAGGGGCTGCTGTGCGAACGATGGCACGTGGCACAATGTGCACGCCTCCAAAAGGGCTGCAGAATGAGACATTTCTCGCATTGCCCAATCTGGGGTTGGTGGAGGAGTTTGGGGAGAAGCTGCTCGAGAGACGCGAGTGCACTTGGTGCGAGTGCGAGAGGCGAGGGCTTTCGCTTCCGGAGACTAGAGTCTGAGCTATTGCCACCATGGGCTCCCTCTCCTTTGACAATACCTTCTAAACCCAGAGTGTCAAAGAGAAATTAGGGGGTGGTTCGTGATATGGAACCAGGGGAATCTGAACACGTCCTTCAAATCTCACATACCTGGGACTGAACTGAGTATTGCTCATCAATAATCATTAACAGAAAAAACAAGAACTTGTAACCCATTTTTCGACTCGACGTCCGTCATAGTCCCAAAAAAGCCAGCCGCCATATGCCCCTTACAATGCCTGCCTACCCTTTCTTCCCATATGTATATATATGTCATGGACACATCAAGAACTATCATAATAAATCAGCCATCGCATTCTTAAACAACATGTAGTCATCCTCATTCGTAATCTTGATAGGATAACTTAGCAGTACTACCTAATCGTCAGCGTGGCTGTGTTTGCGGCCCCCAATGTTCTCTGTTGCTGCTGCGTCATCTGAGGCCTTTGGATGAAGTCCTTGTTCTCTATTGTGACACTCTTTGTCATATGGTTGACCTTGTACACGCCGACGAGACGCGATGCAAGCTCAAACATGTTGTTTCGTAGCGAGATAACGATGAATTGTGCATTTTTTGTGCGCTCCTTGATATAGTTCGCCACGATCGAGACCTGGTAGTGTGTGTTAGCAGGTAGGGCCTTATCGCCACCGTATGAAAGGGAATTAGAATTGGCCGCAGAGCCATGCTTACATTTCGGAAGTCCAAAGCGGCGTCAATCTCGTCCATGACATATAGCGGCGTCGGCTTATAGTGATGTAATGCAAACACCAATGCAAGACTGCTCAGCGTCTTCTCACCACCTGAAAGGTTGCCGATATTCTTCCAACTCTTCTTCGGTGGCATCACACTGAACAGGATTCCTTCACTGAATGGATCCAGACTGTCCACTAGCTCGAGTTCTGCGTTGCCTCCCATGGTGATCATCTGGTACATCTCTTTGAGACGTAATGAAATTGCGCTGAAGCCCTCCATGAATCCTTCGAGCCGCAAGCGACGCAAATCATCACACCTCTTCTTGGCGGCATCGCGCTGCTCGATTGCAGTCTGTAGATCAGATGCTCGAGACACATGCTCTTCTACACGGCGACGATATTCGGCGAGCACTCCGAGGTCCACACTGACATTCTGCGTCTTTTCTTCCAATGCCGCGATTTCGCCCTTCAAAGTCTCTTTGCTCATGCCCGCCAATTCGTCCGGTGTATATCTTGGGAGTTGGCCAGGTTGACGCTTGGGGGCGCTTGGTGCATGTTCTGTCTGGTCAGAGGCGGCGTCGTCGATGTCAACGTCAGTCATATCAACATCATCATCGGTCATCTCGACATCGCCATCTTCATCGCCATGGGCCGGAGCATCTGGCATCTCTGGCGCTTCCGATTCCTCAGTCTTGACCTTAGGAGCCGAGTTGCCCATCAGATCCTCGATATCTTGAAGCACAAGCTTGGATAGCTTGTCCTCCCAGTATCGGAGTCGCTTTTGGTTGTCAGTCAGCACCTTGTGATTCTCCTCGAGTTTGTTCCGCATCTCAATCTCCACCGCACGGCTCTCATTCAACTCAGCAGTCTTCTCGTCCAACTCAGACTTGAGCTTTTTCAGCTCCTTCTTCTTCAGCGCTAGGCCTTCCTCAGCTTGCTCGACGAGAGCTTTCAGCTCTTCGGCCTTCTCTCCTTGATTATTAAGGCCGTCCTGCAGCTGTTGGAGGTCATGAACCGCAGCATCTCGCTCTTTGGTGGCTTTATTGTAGTCCTTTTCAAGCTTGATCTTCTGCTTCTCAGCCTTAGCTTTCCGAACTTCGGCATTGGAAACTTCTTCATTGTGAGATGAAATCTCTTCCTTGATAGAGTCGACCTTGGCTCGCTGAGCCCGCAACTTCTCTCCACCAACCTGCATAATCTTGTCCTGCAGAGCTTTAATCTCCTCCTCGACGCTGGATGTCTCTCCACGGAGCTTGTCAACTTCTGCATTAAGCTTGGCTAGTTCCTTTTGTAGTGTCGAGATACGCCTGGAGTCCTCGGCAGATGGCTGGTACTCTCTGCCAACTTCCTTGATGCGTCGCTCAACATCAGCCAAATTTCGCGTGGCGCTCTCCATCTCCAACCCTATCTTTTGCATCTTGGTGTCCAACTGGGGAATCTTTCGATTCAGATCCTTGAGGGTATTCTCGCATTCTCGCTGATACTCTTGGAATTCTTGGAACTTGGTCTCCCACGAGTCGCGGTCCTCTTCGAGCTTGGCGACCTGCTCTTTTGTAGTGTCGGCAACGAGTTTGGAAGACATCAGGCCTCTCTTTACAGTTGTGCCACCTCCAGACATTGTACCAGACTTGTCAATTAATTCACCATCCAGCGTCACAACTCGCCATCTCCTGGCACCGTAAGCAATGCGATTTGCCTGCGCGAGATCATTGGCAACGAGGGTATCCTGCATAGCGTGGTAGAAAGCCGGCAGGAATTTGTCTGCCTTTGCCGTAACAAGATCAAACAATCGCGGTGCATTTTCCGGTGTGTGAATTGGTGACATGTCTCGTTGTCGCAGTTTGTCTAGACAGATGAAGTTGCCACGACCGAGCTTATTCTTGCGTAGATATTCGATGCATTGCTGGCCGGCCTCGACTGTTTCGGTGACAAAGTTGTCCAACGAAGGGCACGCAGTGGAAACTGCCACATCGTATTTCTTATCAATGGTACCGAGATTGCCCAGACGGCCCTGGAATCCATCAATACGACCTGATTCCTTCATCCTCATCAGGGCAGACAAGACATTGCCTCTGGTCTGGTTATTAGCCAAACTTGAGCGAGCCTCATCTGCCTTTTGGCGCGCATTGGAGATCTTAGCCCGTATCTTTGGCTCTTGTTCTGCGAGGATTTGAAGCTCAGACTTCATCTTCTCAGCCTCCTTTGTCAATTTCGCCTTTTCAGCTTGGCAGGCCTTGAGTTCCTTCTGTTTTGCGACTTTACCTTCTTCAATAGAGGATATCTTGGCCTCGAGCTCCTGCATAGCAACAGCACCAGCATTCGCCTTTTCCTGAAGAATGTTCATCTCGCTTTCAGCAACGGCAATGGCAGACTGCTTCTGGTTGATCTTCTCAATCCACGGCTCGAGAGACTTTTGTTTGACTGCAATCTGGTCCGAAAAGACTTTCGTCTTCCCCTTCAGGTTCTCTCTAATGTTGGTGAGCTCGGCTTCCTCCTCCTTTGCCATCCTCTCCAATGCCGTAATTTCTTGTGATCGAGTTTCAATATCGGTGCCGCATTCCTCGATTGTTTCATTAGCTTCGATTGCCGACTTTTCAGCGTTTTTAATGGTTTTCTCGAGCTTCTTTTTCTTGTCTTCCAGGAACTTCTTTTTCTCGTCAAACTTGACGCGCTCTTGTTCGAATTTTGCCAATTCCTTTGACAAGACCTGAGTTTGCTTCTCTTGAAGTTCGAATTCCCTTCTACCCATTTCGTACTGGCCCTCGAGTTCTTTGATAAGCTGTTGGCTCCCTTCATGTTTTTCGAGTTCAACGTCAAGTTGAGCCTGCATCTGATTGATAGCCTCCTCTGTGACTGCCATGTTGTCATTACATTCGTGGATGTAGAGTTGATATAAAGCAGACTGCTTCATAGCGAGCTCATTCTCATCCCGGATAAATGCGAGTGCCTTGTCCTTCTTTTCTTCCAGACTATTCTTCTCTTTCTCAACATGCTGAACACGGGCATTCTTGTCCACGCAAACTTCGTTGAGGGTTTCGACTTCAGTGGCGGACTCTTCAATCGGGGTTTTGTATTTCGAGGTTCCAATAATGTCTTCAAGATACTCTAGTAATCCATCTTCATGCTCATTACCAGCCTTGGGTTTCATCTGAGCAATCGACTCGACTTCACCCTGGAGGATCAGGAAACGCTTGTGGTCGAGATCAACACCACGTTCACGCAGCAGAGTAGTGACTGTCGTAAAGTTTGACTCCCTATTATTGATGTAGTATTTGCTGGAGTTGTTACGGAAGGCCTTGCGGGAAATGATGAGTTCTGAATCTGGGATTACCGTGTGGCCACCGCCAGGCTAGAGGCTGTTAGTGAGGAGCCCTTTGGTCTGCAATGTTATTAAAATACTTGCCTGGTCCAAAACCTCTTGAAAGTGAACAGCAACCTCACAGAACCCGAGATTAGGATACTGCGCAGAATTATGAATCAAAGCAGAGATCTTGCCCTGTCGCATCTTGCTAGCTCGGAAACCAAACACGAAAAGAAGAGAATCGATGACATTGGATTTTCCAGAGCCGTTGGGCCCAACGACTGATGAGAATGACGCGTGAAATGGTCCTACATCCTGTTGCCCAGCATAACTCTTGAAGTTGGTGAGGATCAAATGTGTAATGACTATGCGAGGCGTTGGTTTTGCCTCCTCAACAATGGGTATCGTCAATGTCCGCGACTTGAGGACTATGTCCAATGGCTTTTCCATAATGGGTTCCATTGACTTCGTAGGCGATTCCGGCGGCTTGGTAGGCTTAACAGCTGACTGCGCCAGGAGATTGGCCGCATTTATGTTTGATGTAATGTCTGCCAAGGGAGAACCCTGCCTCTGAGATGTGGGTGGAGTGGTCTGTCGCAACTGCGATGCTGGTGCATCCAGTGATGTCGGTGGTAAGGGAGACGCAGGCGCTGGTGTCTCCTGAGGCGCTGATGTATCCTGAGGCGCTGATGTCTCCTGAGGTGCTGGTGTCTCCTGAGGTGCTGGTGTCTCCTGAGGTGCTGGTGTCTCTTGAGGCGTCGGCGTGGCTCGGGACTTTGCGTTGAGTCTTGATTTCGGAGTGGCTCGCGGTCTAGACGAAACCCGTTCCTCTACCGATGGTTGAATTTCCAACACACTCTGCGACCTTCTACTATTCCTAATTTTGGAGCTCTGTTCGATGCTGGCCAGGGAGCTTCGCGATGCCATGCTTCTCCGCTTTTGCGGCGTCACACTTCTCGTAGGAGGAGTGGTGTCTATGTGAGAAAGATTCGCTGAACCAAGCAGACTAGACTCGGCGGAGGATGTAGCTTCTGTCTTCTTAGACCGGCCACGGGTCCTCGTCGAAGTTGTTGTGACGTCCGCCTGGGATATCTCATCTTCGCCAAGTATGTCGCTGTTCTCAACTGTCTCGGATGGAGCCGGGGTCGGTGTTTTCTTTGGGCGTCCACGAACTCGAGTCGCAGCGGTGGGTGGTTGAGCAGATGCTCTGCGCGTAGTCCTGGTCTGCTTGATGGCCGGCGCGGATGGTTCAAACGGCGATTCCTCCTTGATGTCGCGCTTCTTATTGGACGTGATGGAGATTTCATCCTCGTCGTCGGACTCGGTAATGCGCCTCCTCTGGGCGACGCGTCGCGGTCGACCTGCGGCAGACGCCATGATGCTGAGGTGGGCTGTCGCTGACAAGCCCAGATGCGATGGATAAGATGCTGTCGCGTAATTCCCGATGCGCAGCAACAAGCACGGCGAGGGAAAGACAAATGGGTGATGTGATTGATCTTGGAGTGCTGATCCACAGCTCTCGCCGATCGCTGTTTCGATGGCTCAGGCTGCAATTGACCGCTAGAATTTCGATCCTGCTAGACCCCGCGCTCGCTGGCTTTGTTTGGAAATGTCCAAATGCGTGGTTTGTAAACAAGGGTACGTACCTTCCACCCCACCTCACCACCATCTTGTGGCTGTCTTTCCAGTGGCTTGAGCGCTACGGCTAGTTGGCGCCTTGAGCTTGGAAGATGCTGCACGTGACGTCGCGACAAGCATCAATCTTTCAGTTAGTCCACTGTAAGGCTAGTAACTACAGCACTGGGAGCTTCATTTTTGATAACACCCTTCCTTTTTTCTTCTCTCAAAGCCTATCCCCAGTCTCTAGTTCTGCCCCAATAGTCTGCAACAATGATTGAATACACCGACTACCCGAAAGTCTTTCCTCCGGGAGCTCAGATGCCCTACGACCGCAAGCGCATCCACGAAATCGAGGCGCGTCGGAAAGACTTGGGCGGGCAGCTCTTCATTGATCGTGTGTTGAAGGCACTGGGCATCACCAAGAGTCAGTTTCGACGCATTCATAGGGGCATTTGCCTTTGAAACTAACCACTCTCTATTCCAGGCAAGATATATCCTCCTAAGAACGACAATGGGGTCCGACAGCTGCACCAACAAATTTGCGAAAGCAACATGTCGATGCATCACAAGCTGTCTTTGATCTACTACGTGCTCCTGGACTTTGACACGGTTGATGGCCAAGCCTCTCTATCAGAGACTTTTGCTTCTGCTTCCAGCATGCCGCAGAAGTACGAGATATTCATGAAGGGGCTGTGGTATATGGACGGCCTCGAATTTTCGGTTTGTGGCAATCGATTCACGAAGCAAGGGTCTTGCTAACAGCTTGCCAGACGGCTCTGGAATATGTCGCCCATCCATCGCTTATCTCAGACTTTGCGGATGATATTATCATCGCACTTGTGCAGCATGCTTCAGACGGCGACTACGATCTTGCACTATCTTATTTCCACACCGTCCAGCCTGTCTTGAAGACCTCCAAAGCCCTCGAGCTCATCTTTGGCGCCATGGCCCAAACCAATGTTACCGAGGCGCTTCTTTATTCGAGAACATATCCTGAGCATACTCGCGAGCAGCTCTTTCGACAATTGATCGCAGAAACGCTCGGCAATAAGTCTGAACAGGCTGGTGAATTGGCTTTCCTGCCCTTTGACACCGTTGAAGAAGCGTGGTTTGAGGAGTACCTCTCAACAGGTGATGGAAGAAATCTCAAAAAGGCCAAGGATACCCTTCTTGTCCGGAAAATTGCCAGCGATCGGTTTGAGGAGATCCGAACACAAAGAACCAGCAGCCAATGGGGTCCTGTGCTTGAAGGCATCAAGTCAGGCATCGAGGGCCAACTGGAATAATGTCTGACTCGACGGAATATTTGGTTAATATATCTGAGTCTTTTTGCATAGCGATGGCGTTTTGTTGTCCTTTTTTTTCGGTTGGGTAGTAGTGGAAATGCATGTCACAATTCTCCAAAGGCAAGCAATACCTCAATGGAACAAGTACGGCTGGAATACTCCAAAAAGAGAAAGAAAAAAATGCATCAATTTTTGTCTATACCATATGATAATAATCTTTCCTCCCAAATCTTATTATTGCAGGCACACTTTACACAATTCTCTCCGTTCCTTTTACTGCGCCTTCTTACCAGCAGAGGCCGCCTTGACTTTGGCAAATACACTTGCGATTTCATTGACGCTCTGTCGGATGAGCAGCAAGGGAATGACAATCCAGAAGAAGTTGCAGAGGAAATAGTAAGCCCAGAAGTAGAATCGCTCAGGTCGGCAGTAGACAATGTCGAAGACGACCTCCTGGAAAGTGCAGATGGCATAGTACAAGACATCGCCATACAGCTGGCCCAGGCTGACGATGATCTGGAAAGGGTGGCGTAGCGGGTGGTCGGCGATGATGAAGTAGACGCAGAAGAAGGACATGGGACCCCAGAAAACAGCAGTGACGGTTTCCATGCAGACGGTGAAGGCGTCCTGGCTCATGTAGCGCGAATCCGACAGGGCGTATTCCTTCCACAGCTGGCCGAAGATGTCTGTCTTGCTGGCCATGTCAAAGGCATTGTAGGAGAAGTAACCTGCGCACGTGTTAGCAATTGACTCAATTAAAAAGGTATAATTGGGTTATATTATATGTGAAGTCGTTAAACTTGACAAGCTCGCTCACCTTCGAAAAAGAGATGGATGCAGCCGCAGAGGGCAAACCACATGGCAACAGCCATCTCACCACTGCCCATTGAGGGCCTCATCCGCTGAATGATGCCATACGTGATGAGGAAGATGACAGCACATCCCGCCGCAAAGATCGATACCAGGACGGGCGCCGAAATTGTGTTGGCGACGTAGGTTGGCAACTCAATGGCAAAGGGAGAGAAGGGGTGAAGCGGCAGATCTGCCATGACTTGCTCGACGGTGCTATTCATTGCGACTAGGATTAGACGGGCAGAAGGAGAGGAAACTTGCTGATGAAGAGGAAAAATAAGGAAAAGAGTGAGAAGAGGAAAGACAGATTTTAATCCCCACGAGTTTGCTTGTCTGTCTGTTTGTGAAGAGATTTTGTCTCTTTTATCTGTGCTTCCATCAACACCTGGCCAGCAAAGATTGGCTGGTGTTGGTGCCAGTGTTACGGCCCAGTATTACGAATACGGCTAGTTCTGTGTCTAGCAGCTATTAAAAGGGGGCGGTGACGAATCGACGCCCAAAATGGGGGGCTTTTGATGTGATTTGATTTCCCTTTCAATCAATTGCCGAATGGAGGAGCAGCATTGATGACGTCTCGTTCATTTCAAGACATGGCATATACAGCATCTTGCAGTTGTTATGTGGCACGGCTCACTAATACGAACGGCAGCAGCCGTACAGAGAAATTGGAGTGAGATTGATAGGATGGATGCGCGTAATTCGCAGCTTTATTTTGTGGGGTTAAAAGGGGAAGAAAAATCTAGATCTTGCGGCGGTTGGTTGGCCACTCGTTCCAATCGTTTTCGTTTAGATCTGGAGATTTATGCCATCATGAGTTAAGTCTAGGTTAGCAGCTCAGCCATTTACCTCACTAACATAGAATACATGTATTTATACAGAGTACACCACTAAAATGCATGTAACGCTGTTTTCTGTGTGTTGTGATAGCCTCAATCATATGCCATCTTCTCTTACTTGGCTGTTTATTTGGTCTTGATTCAACCACAAACACCAAGCGTCGTACTCGTACTCCGGCAGCTTCACCTGTTGCTGCGCCACGGCCGCGGCGCCCGCGACGTCCGTCTTGCGCGGAACCCGAAGGAGATTCGTAGTCCCTGTGCCAAGCAAACTGACGAATTCTTTCCAAATCCGCTTCTCCAAATGGAAGTTGTTTCGAAGACTCCACAAGGATAGTACTAATTGCATGCACTACAAATAGATGAGTCTGCGCCACTGTTGACGCAGCATGATGGGAGGACGGAGACAAGACCGGCCGGATAGATGCGCGGGATAGATGGTTATTTAAGGAGTGGCTATTCAGTATCCGGTCTCTCAAATTTCACGTCACCTAGGGTATTGATGATGACAGATGCTAGAGGAATATATTGATGGTAGCACAGAGCAGCGATACTAGCAGAGGAGATACTCTAGGAACTCTGTATCTAACAAGTACTGGGAATAAAAAAAATCTTTGTTTCCTGTCATTTACGGGAGATGGTCAACATAAACAGGATATGGGAAAGAGTAATTAAAATAAATAAATATATTATATGAAAAGAATCATTTCTGCCTCCGCCCGCCCACCAATCAATAAGTCATAAACCCTGGTATTCAAAACGACAAAAGAAAATCCAGCCCAAGCTCCTTGCCCATGTTTCGCTTCGTACTAGGCACATGTAGGTATAAACAGAGTCCTGGAACTCTAGCTTCCTGAAAATCATACAATTCTAGGTACTCTGCCCATGCATTTCATCGACAAAGATTTCATTATACCATTAATCCTGTTTCTCTTTTATCCATCCAATTAAGCATATCTCAGTGCGTTTTGTTGATGCTCTCCTTCACGGGTATCACCTGGTAGCTCAACAGGGGCGTAATAATTCCCCATTTCGTAAACTTGAGGAGGTACCCTTTTAACTTTGGGACCTTCTGCGACGTCGGAAACTTCGGTGTTCGCAAGTTCGCTACCCAGAGGCTCTTGAGCTTTTTTTGAGCGTCGATAGTAGTAGATGAAGGCAGAGAAAGCGAGCAGAAAGGCCACGCCGAGGCCAAGACCGACACCGAGCCCGACTTTGGCTCCGTTAGACAGTCCCGATGACGGATTTATCGCAGTACCATTATCCGCTGCGGAGGTTGTTGTTTGCTGGCTTGTTGAGGATGTTGTTCTGGTTGTAGCTGTGCTTGAGGATGATGTAGTGGATGCGGTGGTTGTCGAGGCAGGTAAATCGCTTGATTGGAAGTTGAGCTGGAACATGGGAGCGTACAAGACCATTTGGCGTGTCGAAGTTTCTACATCCACCACACCACTTGCGGTATCCGTCTGGGTGAATGTGACGACAGTGGGAAAAGTCTCAAAGCCAGAATCGGTAAGCTTGGTGCCATCGCAAAAGGCTGTTGGAATGGACGTTGAGGTTGCGGTTGCAATGCATGTGTTTCCATTGATGTTGGCGCATGTGAACCCCCTAGTTAATATTCGAGTTAGCCAACCTGCCAATTCGCTACATGGAGCTGAAAGCTAGAGTGAGGCGAATCCCCAAATCACTTGTTTATCCAGCGGGAAGATGCAGTAGTATATCAAATGTACGTCTTTTCAAACCAGGTTCTACTTACGGTGGACAACATCCCACGGCAGTCTCCGATGACACCAGAGTGAATTGAGTATCCCACTGCGGTCTCTGTCCATAAACCGCCGTACAAGCCGTCACGTATCCCGCAGGACACGCAATACCAGGAGAATAGAATCCCCAGCCCACAAAGGGCCATCCCGGAGACGAAATGCCTGGCTTGACTGGTGGCCAACATGCCGTGTTATCCTGCACTCGGCCATCGCTTATGGCATTGCACGACTGTCCTCTGAATCCTTGGTCGCATGTCGAGCATGGCGGCATGTAGATCGAGCAAGACTCGGGCATAGTCCATGTTGTGGTTAGAGGACCCAGCAAAGTGCCGGCCTGGTTTGTGAAGGCCATGGCGAGACGCCTGATGCAGAGGTTGGTAGCGGCAAGAAGCTAACAAGCTGCCAGTTCTCCAAATAAGAGGTCAAGAAAACACCATATCACGCAGCTCTTGTCGCAGATCAAAGTAGTAAATGTAACGGTGGACGGAAGCGCCAGCCCAGGTAATATACAGTACAGTAGCGTGGGACGTAGACAAGAAAGCCTTCCGAGGGCTCATTCACGTGTAGCTCATCTTAATGCCACGAGCGATGCCACATTACCGCTTCAAGCAGCACAAACCGGATTTCAATGGATTCCTTCAATTCTTACAAACAAAAAGATACCCCTGAGGCTGCATAAATGCCAATTAGCTCGCCGACCAAAAAACGCCAGGAGCTGAATCCTTCTCCTCGAATGCCTGCCGCTCAGGTCTCCCTCACTGGCCACTAACCATTCAGCCTGCATTATTCCGACGTGACGATCCAATAATCATCGAGTCACGTTGCCACAGTCTGTCTGGTTCTGAGACAGATGCCGTCGTGCAACCTGGCATCAGCCTATAAGATGCGGAAAGAAGTCGACACGACATCGTCCGGGGGGGTTGGCGAGAAGGATCGCACGCCTTCCCAAGGTTCCCATAGTTTGACTGACAGGTTGCAGGCCAAAGAGAAGATGCTAAGCTCATTCCCACCCACATGCGGCGCTTAAGAGCCTCTGTTGAGGGCAAGGGTATCCACCGGGAATCCTGGTTCGTGTCCCACCTAGCTGAGCAAGGATTCAATGAACAGGGGGGGATCATCTTGCTTTTTACTGTGCAGAGCAAAGGCAGGCAGGCATCTTGTCATGAAAATGATTAAGATTCAACAAGACAAATTTGAATAAGATGACAAGGCATTGCTATATACACAAGTACGCTATGTGCCCGTATAAGTTGGCCTCCCATCACCAACACGGGAGCTTCTTCACTCGGGATCCCTCTCAACAGCCTTGCCCATCCTACCCAAATCCGTGTAGCAACATGGCGGGTCGCTGACGCTAAAAAATGATTTAGTGTCTAGAGTAGCGTCTTCCTCTTCATCTACTTCTCTGCCTAGCGATTGACATCTGGCAAAGTCCATGATCCTGCCGAACAAGGCCACATCAAATGTCTTCGCTCAGCCCCCCAGCGGACCCGTCTCGGCAAACCTGATCAATCACTAACCCGATCCCTCCCTTCTCGCGCTTTCTCGCGCCTAGGAAGTCATGCCAAGACCTTTTGGGGGATTCCGTTCTTGCGGCTACTCGTACTGCCGTCGAGGAACATGTATCAACACAAATCATTTCTTATGCAATAATACATGTCCAGACCACCACGACTTTGCTCTTCGTAATTCAAAACCATGGTGCTGGATTAGATCGATGTTACAGAGGACAAGATGGATGCATAGATTGAATGCCACATGTCTTGTGCTGCTCCTATCATAGACATCCAGAATGTTTACTGCGGATATTTACTGCAGATGTTTAAGCGCCGTCCCAGCGCCAGCAATTATTTGTGTGCCCAGACATGTATACACCGTCAAGCATACGCGCTTTCATGGCTCTAGCCCTGAAATCTTTGACGACAAGGCGCTTTTGGCGCTATTAAAACACTCGTGCCCATAGTTTGCAGTAACGATGGTAGTATCAAGGAGCGATGCTGTTAAGTGTCTCCTTAGGCAGTCTGCCACATGTGCCTCTCTTTTCGCCCTATCCGTTATAATTCACACACACAGCAGCTTTTCGAACACTCTCCATATACAGTATCCACTAGACTAATACCGGCACCCACAAACTATGAACTTTACACAAATGCGTATGCCAGCATCCTACAGCAATTCCGTGGTCCTCAAAGCTGTTTCCCCTCCTCTTCGGGTGTTGTCGGCTTCCAGCAATAACGTTGGTCTTTTTGATTATATGTAAACAATCCTAGAGCATAAACATTTTCCATTGCTCCCGAATATAGCTTCGAGCACATCTCTCACCAGCTTGACACCAGATACAGTAGCCGCCGCGGCCGTGTAGTAAAACCGCAGTTTCGTCAAACCAGACAGCCACTTCCACTCTCCAAAGTCCTTGGGCTAAGCAGCATTCCAGCCGGGCCTTTCCTTCTTCTTATTTATCTCGGCTGTCAGCCCGGGTGGCTTAGGCTTCTGGAGCCCAGCTTTTTTCAGCACTCTCCAGACCATCATAGCTGATACGTTGCGGCCTTCTTTCCTTAGCTCTCCAGCCATAACAGTAAAGGTCTTTCACGGGCCACGGAGACCGCGTTTAACCTTTACAACTATAGCTCATTCAACTGCATCATCCGTTTTTTCGGCCTTCCAGACCTCGGCAAATCGGTTACAAGGGCATTTGTTATTTTCAACGGCCGGGCTGATGGGTCGAAGCCGGCTTTGATGGCCCGGCTGTAAATTCGATTGACCTGGCGTATCGACAAGCCTAGGACAGTTGATATCTCTAATGAAGACCAGTTTGTTGCAGCTTTCAGGGCTAAAACAGCACCTCTCATAGCCACATCAGTCTTGTCGTAGCTCATTGTTTTTGCTGTTTTTGCTGTATAAAATTGTAATTCCTATAGCTTCAAACGCCGGATGTTGACATAGATAGGTTTGGCTGCGTTGGGCACGTCTTTTTGCTACCTGAACGCGACATGTATCCAGCGCACTAGACCCAGTTGTGCTTAGTCCGGCCATTTCCTTCGGACAATTCTTTGGAGAGCCGCCTCTGGAAATAATGAAAGGTTGGGTATATATGATTTATAGGCATTTATGATTGTGATTAGAGGTACAATATATCACAAGCAAGGTAAGAACTGGCATCGTGCAAGATAGACAAGTATATTATATGTATTATTAAGACCTGCATACCAAGTGAATGATCTCGTCGCAAATCTAGCATAAGACCTCTCGACCTTACGGTCTAGAACTACGAGGTAGCTGTGCAATGGCCCTATGTGGACGAGCTTTACGCCAATTCACGCTCCGTGGATTGAAGAGACAAGTTGCAGCTACCACTTGGTAGAAACTTGGCATTGGTCGGCACCACTTGGTGTAAAATTCTCATCAATAAGATGTTCAGAGCATTGCGATACCTGATAAATCATCTGTTAGCACAATGCCAAAAATGCACGTTGCAACAAAAAGATGAAGAAAATGTGAATTGTCAGGGTTAAAGGTGCCTTGTCACAGGCGTTATCATCAGAGCATATGGCTAAGTTGACCGTCGTGATATTTGTACATCATGTAAATGAGAAAGGAGAATAGGCAAGACGGAATTGCTTACCAATAGCATCATATTCAGTCAGAGTACCACGAATTGGGGTAATACATCTTTCGAGCCAGTTAGCAACAGCCCAGCTCTTGCAAATACACAGCGTGATGTGAATGATTGCAGATCAGTTCCGAACATTTTGTCTTCGTCGCGTGAAGCTCAGACATATGCTTGTCATTGTTTATTCGAGCTCATCACGAGAAAGCTGGGTTGCAAAGGGAATATGCGGGCAAACTAACAAGATCACTTCGAGATGTTAGCCAAAGTCCACATGCTAGCTTCAGCAAAACAAGAATGAATGTTGGATCATGAAATCAGGGAATGCATGAATGGTAGGTTAGGTTGTTGTCCTCATCGGAAACCCGAATAGGACTCGTCATCTAAAATCATCACATGATGCTAGAAGGAGGCAGAAAACAAAACAAGCTTACCTTGATATGGATTAAACACGCAGCGTAGCACGTTTGGATGCATACATAGCACATCACTAGACACTGATATCAAGGAATTAGCTTTGATATCCAGCATCGGTTGATCCAACATGAAACATCGATGAGATAGAATCAGTGGGCGAGGTTTTCTAGGCCTGCCGCAAAATGGCGTGTCTTGCTCATTATAAAAATCGGAGCCCAGTGCCGTTTCATCATCTAACATCGGAGTGATGGAGGAGACTTTGCTATCAAGACGGCATACCTTGTCAAGTGAATCTGTTTATGCAAGTTAGCCAATGGCACCATGATTGCAGTCAACAAGAAAAGAGCATTGAAGAGGCAAATCAGTTATAGCCTAAGAATATCGTCAAAGGAGACCTCAGCCGGTAATTTCCAGCGTATATAGTTTGAAATTGATCATCATATTGCACAAGCAGAAAAAAAAGAAAATTATGACCTACCAAATATTGCAAATCGATGGCGCAAAGTCGCCGGCAAGATATTCAAGCTCGATACCACTTGGTATTCACATTCTATCCAGACAGTTAGCAAAAGCGCTCAAGTCGCCGAATGCAAGAGAAAAAAAATTTCAGCTGTCCGATAATGGTTCAGACTGACGTGCTAAACGGTGTTTTCACTCCAATTGGTCAAAGACTCTAGTTTGCGGATTTAGGGTATCATCAGGTAGGACTGAGGGCAACAAGCAAAAGCAGCGCACAAAACTTACATTGAGCTTTGCCATGGCAAATTTCTGCACATGGATGCAGAAGTGAATGGTGGAAAGAAAAAAAGAAAAAAGCTTCGGCAGAAATGTTTTCATAGCTTTTACAGGCGGGGCTGTGGGCCGGCTAGAATTTTTGCTTCTGTAAGCACGCACGTGATTCCGCGTCGCCTCGCGTTCAGAGCGTCGCAAAGCCGCGGCTGACGACGTGATTTCACAAGGTGTTGCTTAAGTTGTATGAAGCAGAGTGAAAAGAGTTTTAAAGCGTCTCCCCTCACATTTCATTTTAACAAAATACACTAATAACAATGCCTGAGATAGCTGAAGGAACGTATATTCTCCAGAATCCCAAAGAACTGTGTGGTTAACATGCTGTAGTTGCCCGTATTGTACACTTCCTCCGCCAGAGGCTGGTAGGAAAGACCATCGCCAATGCTGCGGCCATAGATGACAGCAGCGTATTTGGCAAGGTTGGAACCAGTGGAAAAGAGGTCGAAGAGGCTCTGAAAGGCAAAACGGTAAGACAAATCTTGTCACAAGCTTCGGATTCCGTGCCACGTCTGACTGTACCAGGTTGTCTCTGCGGGCTCTCAGGGAAAATACTTTTGGTATGTCGAAACAAGCTGTCATGATGACTACTATACCTTCTGAACTTTCATTAACCCCCAATAAAGGATAACTTTAGACAAACCACCTCATCTGGTAATGCATTTTGGCATGACGGGTGAGTAGACTCATGCAATGCTCCTCTTCAATTCACACCACTCATGTATAGCATACAGGCTGGGTACACATAAATGGCGAGAAGACGGCATATACAAATTACTACAAGAAGATGAAGGAGAGTGACATCGCGCAATGGCCTCCCAAGTTTTGGAAATTCCACATCAGCACAGACGATAAAGAACCCGTCGAAGTCGCATTTACCGATGCCCGGAGATTCGGCCGCGTGCGACTTGTCCACTGCCCCGGCGAGTCCATCCGAAAGCACTCCCCCCTTGTAGAGAATGGACCCGACCCTGTTGTTGACAAGGACATCTTCACGGAGGAATACCTCCGCGGCAAGATGAAGTCCCGCCATGTCCCCATCAAGGCCCTGCTGCTTGATCAAGCCATGATCAGCGGCATCGGAAACTGGGTCGCTGACGAGACACTATACCAAGCCAAGCTCCATCCGGAGCAGTATTCTGATACCTTTGATGACAAGGAAATCGCAAGGCTGCACGAGTCCATTCGTTACGTCTGCCAACTAGCCGTCGACAAGTTGGGTGATTCGGATGAGTTCCCTGATCATTGGCTTTTCAACCACCGATGGGGCAAGGGTGGTAAGGATCAAGCAACCAAACTTCCCAACGGAGAAAAGCTCGCTTTCATCACTGTCGGCGGACGGACCAGCTGCTATGCGCCAGGCGTGCAGAAGAAAACCGGCGCCGTTGTCGCCGGCGCAAAAGCGGAACCTGTGAAGAGCGAGTCGGGGAAGAGCAAGCCTGCAAAGGGCAAGGCAGCGAAGAGCGAGCCGAAAGCAGAAGAAGATGACGAAGTAGTCGAGGAGAAAAAATCCAAACGATCACGAAAGCAGGAAGCAGTAGTCAAGGAAGAGCCCGAAGAAGCCGATGATGCAGAACCACCTGCCAAGAAGAGACGGGGCAAGGCGGCGTCAGCGACAGAGAAGTCGAAGCCTTCTCCTGTGAAAAAAGAAGCGGTGGAGGAAGACCAGGGTCGTCGTCGGTCCAGTCGCTTGAGGAAGTAGATGCCCGAAGATGAGTGAGATAGTGCCCAAGGGTATGATGACGGGTTTATGGACGGGACTTTTTGCGTGTTTGAGATCTTGAGCGTAATACTAGTTTGTGTAGCTATCTAAGTGTCTGATATTTGAATGTATCTGAAATATCTTTTTGTGTTATGACCAACATCTCCCGATAATCCCTACGTGTGCTATTCGTAACCGTGCTTCCCATTTTACCACCCTGTACATCTCACTGCCCGGCTAAAAGTCCCGTGATGAAGAAAGAAAAACAAATTCTCAAGAGTAAATAATTGTGCAAACCAATATCATAATCGTGTGCGCCCCGAATTCTGCCGTGAAACTACCATCAAAGACAAATGTTTATCTCGGCTGCGTGAAACCACATGAAATCAACATCAGCTGATCTTGATGATATCGACAACATAATATCTCTCCTGAACACCAATAGATATGTGCCTTTCTGTACTGTACTGTACTGTTCATGATCAAATTTCAAGCGCTCTGGAGTATCGTTATATGCAGGCTTAAATGACGATGTGCCTAAGCGAAAAATGAAAAAGGAAAAAATAATAATGCAAAATATGCAGAGCTGACGTCGTAAGACTCGCCTGCTCCTTATATATGAAAGCATATACGAAGCTGTTGCTCGGACAGCTCTAGACGGCAGCACTAATGCTAAGGAGAGTTGTCAGGTCTCTATAATTCAGCCTGGAACCCTACAGCATAGTGATGCCCGTTCGAATCAGCCCACAAGGGGAGGATGGTGACGACATTTGTGAATCGGGTACCGTTTTTCTTGTAGTTGGTAACTTGGACGCGGACTTCTTGATTGGCGTTGACAGCACGTCGCATCATTGCAATAGGTTCGTCGACGTCTGAAGACAAGGCTCTGGCCGGGGCCTGTACATGAGGGGGGTATTGCAGAAACCGACAGTTTCTCCCCATAGTCTCCGAGGGTGAGTAGCCAGTCAGTTCATAGAAGCCAGGGGAGGCGTAGACGATGGGTGCATTAGGGAGGCTGAGATCGCATAATGTGAGCGACACAGAGCAGTCGAGAGGGCCGACGTCAATGCAAGGATTTGGTCGAGACACAACTCGCAGCTGGTTGTAAGCCAGTTAGAAAACAACACCAACTCTTGGCAATAACAAGGCAGTATATGGGATGTGCGAGGGGTTCTTCTTACCAGGATGCCCATTACGTCAATACCACTAGCGGAATAGATCCCGGGATATATGATTGGGTCTTGAAGCTGTATCCAAGCTGGGACAGTGGCGTTGTCGCTTCCTGCTTGAGCAGCAGGCTGGGATGGAAACTCGTACTGGTTGCATGAAGAGTTAATATCGGTTCCAGCCGCAGTGGCCCTAGCAAACGAGTCGAGAACGCACGTTGAGAGCATGGTCTTCCCATGGATTCAGCTGCAATGGCAATCCAGAAGACCCTGAAGACACCATGATTGGTGCCCCTTGCATTTGGTGTTGCTGTTCACGCCAACTGGGTGGCGGTTTGGAGGAGTCGCAAGGATGTGCGAGTCGATGGAATACAGCAATGGCAGGGATATCGAGAAAGCTACTGAAGATTGAAAAATGTCAAAGAGTATTGAGTAGGGAGAAGAGCTACTAAATAGCAACATCGTTCAAATACTATTTTAAGTTCAGGGATAGATATACGAAGTACAAGCATACAAAGTGGATTGGCAGGATATGCAGAAAGGGCAAAGAACACAAGACAAAAACGGCCACTCGGGATTATTGGGGCTCTATCCGAAGCTTGATACCGCTCTCTCCAGTCTGCTCCTTGCTGCTACTGGGCAGGACTTTGGATTTTGACAGACCAGGGAGGGGGGCCCGATTTTGATCCTGACGCAGCCATGGCGCAACTGAGTTGGCAAAAGCTAGCAGCCGGGCGGTGTTGAGGGAGCCTGCAGACGTGTGCAGGGGCAGCCTCCACAAAGCTGAAAATCATCGATACAGAGTACCGATCTGAGATCGTAGCTGCGGGAGGCTTTGGCCGTCATCGAGAGCGGCTGGTACTAGGCAGGGCAAGTCAATGTTAGCGCACTATCATCTGCGCCGAGAAACGCGCGCTCGATCTTGTTAGCGTCCAAGCCGAAGTCATCGAGCCGTGGAGCTCCCAACGGCTGCAGACGACTGTGAGAAGCTAGTTGATTGGTCCGATGGCCGCAGCTTGGGCTAAGATGGCGATCGGTGAAATGGCTGCCTTTTGACAAAAGGCGATCTGAGATCCCAGCCTCTGATGCTGGTCAATGCCACACGATGTTTGCCCACCGGCGGGGGATCACTTTAGGGCGGCAAGTTCCCTGCTGTCATGACGCTTCTTGTAGCATTTGGTCTGCAAGTCTTTGGTTCTAGACTCTTTACATGCGTCTGTCTTCAATGCGGGCGCAGGAATGCGGCGCTCAAAGTTGCGATTTGCCTCAACAATCGTATGTTAGCCCACAGTTGAGGTTTGTCCAGCCGTCATGGATCAAGAAGGGTTCGTCCCTTGAGAAGAAGGCTATTCTCTTGCCCGAAGAGCTTGATACATGCGTTGTTGGCTTGTGCAACTCGGCATCTAGTATTAGAACCGTATTCCGTAGATACTTCGTATACCTATCTGTGTATCGAGTCATTCACGGATCGCTTCCGACATCCCACAGGGGGGAATAAAGAACTAAGACCAGCCGCACACTTACGGTGAGGGTGGGAGGGAGCCCTGTGGTAGGTATCCCACCGGCAGTAAAGTGTGAGGCTGAAGGATTCCATTGAATTCCGCAGGCTCCTTGCAGCGGTGGCTGCGTCGGGTCTCAATGAGCCGTTGTAGCATCGAGATCCAAGTACCTGGTCTAGACAGGCTCAAGTTACCACCAGCCCAAATTGTTGCTCCATTCTGCAGTGTCTGTGTCCGGCTTGCATGGGTCCGACTGGCAGGAGAGCGTCGAGTTGTCGCCGTGGCGGACAAACAAATGCACCTGGCCGACATCAACTGAGACTGCCAAGGTAGCCAGGCTTATCCTGGCCCGCAGCATCTTGTGTTCAGCTGCTTTTCCACTTTCCCACCACAGTGACATGACTCTGCATGGCTTGCCAAAGCTATGCTCCATGGAGTATCGTACGCTGTAACTCATGCTGATGGCCCAGCTGATGGCCCAGCTGATGGCCCAAGTAATCTAGCAAGGGGTTTGGAATGCCTAGCTAGGCATCGTTTGCGAATCATCAGCACTGTTGATTGCTTCGTATAGATTTAGTCAGCCCATGCGGCGGTAAGTCAAAGGCGAGAGGGTGTGGTTGATGTTTTGTCCTGACCGACTGCCAAACCTTGGCTGCTCTGCAGATAGACGAATCAGCCTTTTTGGGTGCATCATCCCCATGTTTTGATTCTGCCTCTCGACGAGGTAGAGTTTTGCATAATCACGAAGATTGATGAAATTCGTGCGTATAAGCTTCTAGCATTCTGATATGAAGATTCCAGTAAAAAAAATCATCTTCGTACTAATAGGTCGTTGTAGAAGCAGGAGCGACTCGACTCTAGGTGGCTTAGGTAATTAAGTGCATTCGCTGCGGATCGCGTCTGTCGATCGCGTCTTCAAACCCCCACTACAGATGGATCTGAGAGCCGCATCCTGGTGGCAATTTCTCACCGAGATGCTCCTCTGATAAGCTGATATCTGAGATATTGTCAATTCCTCATCTGCCGTACCATGTCGCGCCGTCTCTTCAACCGCGGTGGCCGTGCTGCTGCAGCATCGACCAGCACCTCCACCACCACGACCGTTACAGCTCTTCCTGATTACGAGCCGCTTTCTTTCCCTCTGTCCGATACCGCTCGGCAAGAACTGATCGAGCTTTCAAACAATCGCGGCGCTGCGCCTTATGAGAGTCAGCTGAAGGACTCTATCCGTCATCTTGGCCTTAGCGTGAGCGATCTGAACGAGCGCCTACGCAGAGGCCAGGATCGACTCGCCGCAGTCCGTGAGCGCCGAGAAGAGAAGCACACGGCCAAGACAGCTGAGGAGGAGCGCCTAGAAAAGGAAATTCCCGAATTCGAAAAGGAGGTCGAGAGGCTAACACGAGAATCCGAACGTGCGCTCAGAGAGTCCATTGATCGAAGGGCCGAGCTGGAAGACGGGGCTGTTGCCTTGGAGGAGCTCAGCACGACCGCCACAACCAACACAATAGCTCAGACGCGAAGCGCTGCTGCTGCCCAAAGTCGACGACGACAGGCCAATGGAGCTGTCAGTGATGAGGAAGGCGCCGCTGATAGGGAAGATGAAGACGAAGAAGGGCCCGTGACTAGCATCGTCGACACGTTTCGTGAGCTCCGCGCCAAGAAGAGGGCCGAATACATCAGCCTTGACGTCCGTCAGCGGTACGCTCTCAACAATGATTATGCCGGCTTTAAGAAGCTATGGCACGAAGCTGCAGCAGGCGAAGATGGCCCTCCTTTGCCAGATGCCTCACGATGGTTCCTGTCCAATGGCGAGCCGGACATGACACCCCCTGGCCGTGGTGGGCAAAACGGCGCCCTAGACGATGATGACGACGACGATGTGGCTGTCTCGCGGGAAAATATTAGCATAAACTGTCCCTTGACTCTACTTCCAATGACGGAGCCGTACAAGAGTCGCAAGTGCCCGCATACTTTTGAAAAGTCTGCCATTTTGGAATACCTGGCTCCCCGAGGCGAACACCAGTGCCCCCAGACAGGATGTTCTCAGGTGAGGCCTTTCCACACTATTAATTTCTCTCTCCTTGGCACCGCACTGACATTGAAGAAAGATGTTTTCTCGATCCCGGTTTGATCATGAATTTTACTTGGACGAAGCCATGAAGCGAAGAATCCAGCGCTGGAAACAAGCGGAGCAAAACCTTCGTGATATAGATGACGAAGATGAAGATGAAGATGGAGACAATGAATCTCTCGTTTTGGACAGAGAGCAGCAAACAAGAGGAGGCGGTGCAAGAGGAGTCAAGAGGGAGGCGAGATAAAAAGAGCAAGTGGCCATGGGAGGATATTGATTTATGACACTCCTTTTGGCAGGAGTATGAAGATTATACAACGAGATACCCAGTAATAGATAAAATTTATGAAGTTCCATGGCTGAAAAGCTTCTCGGCATTTTCCAACCTCTGTCTAGAGCACTGAGATTATCCCCCTTCCATCGACTCTATCGACTATTGTACAGTGACTTTTGCGCCGTCCGTGTCCCATCGTGAACTTCGTTGCCCATCATAGGGGTATCGTATCTCCCAAAGCCATATTGATACAAGTATATTATTTTACAACCAGGTCCTCGCCATTTTTTTTTAATTCTCTATGCCTTGCGCACAGCAAAGAAATAGTTGCCCACCTTTTCGCTGCCCTTGACCTCTTTCCATCCCAGCCCAGGGACATAGACGACACCCATTACTCTTGCGCTGTCCCAGCCCTTGCCGGCGAGATATCCCCTCAGCTCTCCCTCATTGATGTATTTATTCCAGTCGTGCGTTCCAGGAGGCACAATGCGCAGGATGTCCTCAGCAACCAGGTTCGTCGTGAACCAGCTGACCCACGTCCGCGCAATGGTGCTCATGATAAGCCACCCGCCGGGCTTGACGAGCGGGCGCACGCGCTCCAGAAACGCTCCCGGATCGTCAATGTGCTCAATGACTTCGAAGAGCGTCACGATGTCGTAGCCTTGGCCCTCGGCAGGGACGTCGAGCTGCTCAACCGAGGACAGCCGGTACGACAGCTTCCCCGCCAGCGCAGGGTCCTTGCGGGCATGTGCTTTTGCGACGCTCAGGACAGACGGCGTGGGATCGATGGCGGTGACGTGCTTGGTGGACGGCAGGCGGGCGGCGCTCTCAGCGAAGATGCCGCCGCCGCAGCCGATGTCGAGATACGTGACGGAATTGGGGTCGTCGGAGGACTCGCGACAGGCGCGGATGAAGTCGTGGCGCAGCGGGTTCATGAGGTGCAGCATGCGCGACGACCCGTGAGGCTCCCACCACTCGGCGGCGAGGGCATTGAAGTGCGAGACCTCGTTGGGGTTGACCGACGAGGAGCTCGAGTGCCATCGCGATGGCGCCGTCGCAGCTGTACCAGGAACAGGAACAGAGACAGCAGCAGAAACAGCAGCAGAAACAACTTGCATTGGCAGCCGTGGACGACGCACCAGCCGGGAGAGGCCGCTTGCCACACCGGCCACAGCTCGGGACGGTGCGGCCATCTGAGGAGGCGGGAGAGGCAGCAAAGGAGGAGGGTTGAGGAAAAAAGCGAGGAGAGCAATGCCTCGGAGCCTCGGAGGATACGGAGGTGTGATGTCAACGTCTACGGGGGGATGCACAGAGGGTCCGGCTGACAAACAAGAGGCCCAACTCCGAATTCCCCCAATTCTGCAAATCTCCCAGGCTGAGGGGCAGCCGGCGTGCCGCGGGACTTTGTGGAGACTGGCAGCAGCGAGAAAAATCGGGCGTTACCCGCGCGGTTGGGTACTAATTGATTGCTGTTGCAGGAGGCATTATGTATTGGTAGGCTTTTGGCTGACAATTCATTGTTGAAGCTGTCTAGGGGAATGTGATGTGGTCTTTTATGCTATTGAATTAGTACCTACATTGAGGCGTTGATGATATAGGTGGGTTGTTCTGAAGAAAACCAGTGTACATGTATGTACATGAACCAGGGCGTCATCCACTGAGACATCCCTCTGCTTTTGACAATAGATGCGTCATCATATTGCTGACATCAATTGTATATTTTTCTTTCTGCTCTTCACCAACAATTAAAGCCAAGACAACCCTCATCTATCATTACATGCAGCATCTTTGTAATCAAGCTCAGCGTCAACGCAAAGCAAAAAAGCGTAGAAACACCGCAAAACCGCCCTAGCGCCTCCACGCCTCGGCTTACACATCATTACTCTGCTCTTACGAGCGGGAAAAGCTGACAAGCATCTGGTCGGAGCATGTGGATTAGTCCTGATGCCCGTCATCATAAGACCGGCTCAACGTTAGCGGAACCGGCGCACCGAGGTCGCAGCGTGTCCTGGTCGGAGCAATGAATACTTGTACTAAACCTGGGGGTTTATATCTGGCGGGAGCGCCAACTAGACGAAGGGTTTTCCATGTGATGATGTTCTGCTGTCTCTGATGATCCTATTGCTTCACGCATCTCCGACGACAATTGATCGCTTCTTGATTTGATCTTTCATCTCATGATACCCCGTTGCTGAAAACAAACACGCATACAAGCATAAAAAGAAAGCACACGCCTCGGATACTCTTTCAACCAATTTCGCGAACCAACTCCGCGCCCAGCCCTTGAGAGATTGACGCTTCGGCATCTCTGCCCCTCCATCCTCTGCCTCTCGGCCTTGCCGCAACAAACTCGGGTCGCCCAACTCCACGCCCTGCCACAACGCCAGCAGCCGCTATTTTCCTCTCTGTGCCTCAGCTCGGCGCCGCAACTGCCGGCCCGAGATCCAGTCCAGGGTACTCGGGGTTTTGTCCCGCCCAAAGCGACCGTTAGGCCGTGGAAGTCCATCGAACAAAAGCACTGGTGACTCCCCCAGTCTTTCGCATCGTCAATATTCCAGCCATCTTCTCTTTTTCGAACTTTCGACTCTCTCTCGCTCTCTCGGACAAGCGATCAATTCAAATTCGCAGAACCGATTACAGAACTGCTTCATTGAGGGCAGTGCAATAATCCCCCGAACCAACGCAAAGCGCAAACCACAGCCAGCCAGCGACATGCCTTCCTCCACCATAGACCAGAGTCAATTCGACTCCATCCCCGACTCCATTGAGGCCTTCCGTATGTTCTCGCTCTTTAGCCTTCTCTCTCTCTCTTCAGCTTTGGCCAATTGACTGACTCTTTCTCCTCCACCAACAGGCAGAGGCGAGTTCCTCGTCGTGCTCGACGACCCGTCCCGCGAAAACGAGGCCGACCTCATCATCGCCGCCGACGCCATCACCACCGAGCAAATGGCCTGGATGGTGCGGCACTCGTCAGGCCTCATCTGCGCGCCCATTACCCACGCCCGCGCGGCCGCCCTTGACCTGCCGCCCATGGTCCAGCACAGCCAGGATCCCCGCGGCACCGCCTACACAATCTCCGTCGATGCCGCCGACCCCTCCGTCACCACCGGCATCAGCGCCCACGACCGCGCCCTCGTGTGCCGTGTTCTCGCCGATCCCGCCTCAACCGCCGCCAGTCTGCGTCGTCCCGGCCACGTCTTGCCTCTGCGCGCTGCCCCTGGCGGAATCCGCGCCCGCAACGGCCACACCGAGGCCGCCACCGAGTTCTGCCGCCTTGCCGGCAAGGCTGAGGCCGGTGTCATCTGTGAGATTGTCGACGATGGAGAGGAGGTTCCCGGCCAGGCTGTGCGGAATGAACCTGGCATGCTGCGCGGCGAGGCTTGTATCGCCTTTGCCCGGAAATGGGGCCTCAAGGTCTGCACCATTGCTGACCTGGTAGCCTACGTCGAGAAGACGGAGGGCAAGCTCCCGGTCAACGGATCAAATTGAAGCAAGAACAGAGTTACGAGGGCATCTTGAATTAATATGAAAAAGAAACGAAAAAAAAAAGAGAAAGAGGGAAACGAGGAAACCAAGAATATCACGAACAGGAACGGGAAAAGGGCGGGAAAGTCCCCCTCCAAAAATAAAGCATATTCGTAATGGGCACTCATTCGATTTCCATGGCTAATATCTGAACGGCGCACAATGACAATGGCGGAAAGGGCTGGTTCGAAAAGAAAGAGGAAGAAAGAAAGAAAAAAGGCCGCAAACTCCTACTCTACTCCCACTGCTTGACCTGTATTCCAACCCACTTCATACATCCATCTACTCACCTAGTACCTTACCTCTCTGTATGGACGTCTGTCCAGACGGTTTCATCTGCGTTGGTTATGTTTTGGTTGCCATTAGAATTAGCTATTTATACGGCGTTGTTTACATACCACAATACATATGTATAGCCTATCCTGTATAACAAGAAAAAAAATTGAAGAGAAAAAGAAAGTCTTTGTTTCGCCACTACTGTGCTACACTTCTTTTGCAATCATCTCATTGCAAGGAATATCTATTCAATTAATTGTCCTTATCACTGCCGAACATGAAGCCTATCCTATCCATCGCTATGAGAATACATACACAAAAGCTCCCATGAATAATCCATTGGTCATTATCGCTTGTAGCACATATCAAGGGAAGCTGTCTGCAACTATGCCATAAAGTCCTCCTCAATGTTGCTTTGCCCGCCGCTCTTGGTCTGATTCAGCCCCAGGTTAAGTTCAGCTGCCTTCTCAAGGAGCTCATCGGTGCTGCTAGGGCCGCGGTCTGTCAATGGTGGCGCCGTGTTTGACCGTACTTGCACCTTGACCTCTCCTTGCACTCCGTCCAGCTTGATCGTCGACACCGTAGTGCCTCCTGGCGGTGGCCTTAGGTTCGGCTGTGGTGCCAGATTAACCAGCTCGCGGAAGAAGTTGTTGGCAGCCTCACAGCCGTCCAACAGCCATTTCAAGCAAATGGTAACTCGCTCCTTTGCGAATGGATTGTGGTCATCATATGCGCAGCAGTTGAGGAGAGGCACAATACCATTGTATTTCATCATTTGCATCTGCACCTGGGCATTTCCAGGAGTACTCTGTCCCGGCGGTGGCTGTAGCAGCGTTGCGATGATTGTAAATATCTGTCCCTTGATGCCAGACCATGGGAACTTGTGAGCCGGCTCTTGCAGAGGCGGCGGTGGTGGCGACGGAGATACACCCTCATCTGCAGTCGCATATGGTCGTTCGACCATCGGGTCGTTATTGGCACTATTGTTGGTGGCATTCGAGGTGCTCTCTGCTGCCGGAGCGCGTTTAGGCACTTCGACAAGTGGCTTCTTCGGCACTGCGGCCTCCAGGCTGCTGAGGATCGTGATAAGGTCATAGATAGCCTGCCACTCGATGAGATGAGGCCTCATATCCACCATTTCGGCCACAGTCGTGAGAAATTCCAGGTACTGGGACAGCCCGTCTTTAGCTCGTTCCATATCCCAGCTATCAACTGGAAACTCGGCTGGATCACGATTCTCCTCACGAATCTGAGCTTGCAAATGCATGAGAGCTGCGCACTCAGGGACAATGCGACTTCGGAAAAAGCTAAAGAAGAAGTGCACCAGTTTGAGATCCCTGGTCTGGTCCTTGGAATCCTGTGTTGTAGAACTGGCGGCTCGAGCTCGAAGCATGTGATTCACAAGGCGCAAGAGAACTGTTTGTGCTGGGGAGATGATGTCCTTGGGGATCCTCAGCGAGTTCCACGCATAGGGCACCAGAGCGCTGTGGTGAATAGCCTCGACAATCTGGGTTGTGACCTGGAAAATGAGGCTTTGCTCGTCCTTGTCCCACACAGCAATGAAAACGAGCAGCTCGCGGAGTAGACTCTTGCCGCAATCTAGTGCAAGAAACATTCTGCATCTTGTCTTTTGCAAATTCTCTCCCGCGCGTGTCAACCCGGATCCTGCGTGATCAAGTATACACGATTTGACTATCATGTGCAATGCTTCGATCTGTTTGGGATCAAGAATATTAGGCACCTCTGTCAGAAGACCAGTCAATGGACCATCTCCATACGATTCATCATCATCAACCTCTTCATCGTCCATCATGTCGTCCATATAATCATGGGGATAGTCGTGATCATGATGGTGGTGATGATGGTGGCAGTGGTGGTGGTGATGGTCGTCTTCATTATCGTGATGATGGTGGTGATGGTGGTCGCACTCTTCAATTTCATTGCCAGGCGCAGCATGGTCGTGGTCATGAACGTGGTCATGCTCATGCTCGTGTTCGTGATCATGGTGGTGGTGATGGCACTCATGGTCATCCTCGTGGTGATGGTGGTGACGGAGATAGCACTCGTGGCACTCGTGGCAGTGCTCATGGTCAGAGAGGTCCTCTTCGGCGCCCTCTGGAGGCGGCGAGTGGTCTGCCCGATAGGAATGAGCATATCGGTGAACCAAATTATTGCGGCAATGCTCTGTACGTGACTGCGCAAACTCCACAGACGGCATGCCGACGACCCAGTCCTCGTAATTCGGATCGCGCGCTCGGAGCCACCACGTATCAATCTCACGAGACACACGAGCGTACAGTCGGTCCTGTTGGTATTTGTCCGGCTCGTCCGGCTTCCATACCGGGTTGATCTTATCAGAGTTATCGTCTATCATCATGGAAGTGGGATCAAGTGTATCCGGAAGCCAGTTCCAGGCTAGTGGCCTTATAGGGGCCAAGTTTCCTGGGGGCTTGTCTGCATGATTTTCGGCGTAATCCCTGAGCAGCTTCCTCGCCGTGTCGCACATTTTCGAATTCCGATCTAGCCAGTGTTGAACTTGATGCTTGGCCGCATCTGGGCGGAATCCAGAACCATCTGTCATGATTTCCTCGGGTCCTGACAGCGCGCCGTCATCGTCAAACAGCACATCAAACCAAAATGACATCTTGTTTCGATCATGCTTGGCAGTCCAGTTGTGAACCTGCTGCAGCGAAGTCACAAGCAGCTTTTTATCTGAGAGAGGGAGATTAGCACGTGTCTATCTCCCCGGCATAGGGAGAGGCCAGCTTCACATACACAATTCAGTAATATCTGTGAGCTTCAATCTCTGAGCCTCGTCCAGTATCTCCCCGTCGTAGCCTTTACTCGTTACATTGACACAGAGAATAATTGTTTGGTAGACCATCTGGTCGAAATGCACTGCGGCGCAAATGTCCTGAGGAACCTCGGGCTCAGCATTAACCAAAAGATTGCGTGCAATGTGCATCAGCTTGATGAGCGTGCCCAAATCTTCCTTGACAGATACATGGTTGAGGACGATCAAGGCCGTGCTTTCTTGAGGGCTGACTCCCTTGTCGGGGTCGTTCAAGGCTGATAGAGGCCCCACTGATCGCGATGTCAAGCTTGGGATGGCAGCAGCAAAGATTCTTGTCAGCCATATCCATATTGCTACATTCCGTGCCAGGGCTTCTCTGTTTGATGCCATCGATGCAGGTTAGCGGCGTAGCATCTTGACATAGACTACGGGATCCTACCTGGCCTTCCTCAGCGTGTGGGTCTTCTCCAACGTCTTGGAGATCATCGAGTTCACCCTGGCCGTGGTTTGAGGGCCCATGGGAGGCGACTGTGTGAAATGGCCCTCCAGGCAGATGAGGGCGGCGGAGAAGCATCGCTCTTCGATGGTCTCTCCGGGGTTGTCGCCACCATTTTCGCTTGGCCGCGTTGCTACTACATCTTGCCCAAGAATGGTAGTATCATTGATATCAACCGTCTCCGCCATCCTCATCTCTGCGGTTGAAGCTGGGATCTCGAGGCAAGTGAAAGCGATGATGCGCGCGTGAGCAGCCTAGATATTGCTACCAGGTATAATTTTGGCCTGCAGTTTATGAAGTACTGAAATGGCCCGCAAAAAAAAAAAAGTTGCCGGCTTGGTAAGCATAAAACCCCGCTATATCGGGAATAGATGACGAGGCGATAAGAGGAGCTTTTCAGTGCATCTGTCTGCCCTTCAAGATGGACGTGTCGATGCTGGAGGAGAATGGACAGCTGGGCTGTTTTAGGCGGTTGTATCGGAGCTGAAAGCGTTTCCGTGTCAACCAGGTCGGTACCTAGCATCAGGTACCTATTTTACTTGCCATGAGACAAGTACAACGACAGAGGTTGGTGTCGTGTATACCTTAGCAGTACACTGGAAAATACCAACCGCGCAAGTACATGGTACCGCCAATTTCAGGTACAGCAGCCAGTTTTCCAGCAAGCATCTCCCCAATGTCGCCAATAGATTGAGCTTTCCTGTATTACAGAGTAGACAAAGGCTTCACCTCAAAATATCACATAAGCACACTAGACTCATAGGAACCTAATCCCATGATTGCGTGCTCTTTGTTTGAACCTCTTATCGACCCAGTACATAAGAAAATCCTGCCCCTCCATCACTATCGATAGAGGGGTAACAGAGCTCGGTAGCTTTTTTTTGCTCTTGACAATCTGCGGCCTTTCCAACATCATCATTGCTAATCTCATCTCTAAGCCTCTTGTTTTTCGTCTTTTTCGAGCATAGACATATCAAGTAAGTAAATTGTGTAGTGTTGTTATTTTCATTTGCAGGTGCATTAACTAATCTCTAACACCAGCCAGTAGTCACCATGGCCGACCTCCCTACCAGCTTCGATCGTATGTTGCGAGATCCCTGCTCATCTCCAGCTTCACAATCAACATGAATGCAGCTCTAACTTGAGTATATAGAGCCCGTCCACATTGCCGTCATCGGTGGCACCGGACTTGCACAGCTCGAGGGCTACGAGCCCGTTGCCGTTGTCAACCCCATCACGCCTTGGGGACCTCCCGCCTCGCCCATCTCTATCCTCTCCCACAACGGCGTCAACATTGCCTTCCTCGCCCGCCACGGCCTGCACCACCAGTTTGCACCTCACGAGGTTCCCAACCGTGCCAACATCGCTGCTCTCCGCCATCTCGGTGTCCGATGCGTCATTGCCTTCTCCGCCGTGGGCTCCCTTCAGGAGGAGATTAAGCCCATGGACTTTGTGATCCCTGACCAGGTCATTGATCGCACCAAGGGCATCAGGCCGTTTACTTTTTTTGAAGATGGAGTTGTAGGCCACGTTGGATTCGCGGACCCATTCGACAAGAAGCTGGCCGATATTGTCAAGACCTGTGCGGCGCATATGGAGGGAGACGGCGTGGTGCTCCATGACAAGGGCACCCTTATTTGCATGGGTTTGTCAATGCATTCGTTTGCAATCGATTCGAAATTTCCACTTGACTGACTTCTCTTTCATCACAGAGGGACCCCAATTCTCTACCCGCGCCGAATCCCACATGTACCGTTCATGGGGTGGCTCTGTCATCAACATGTCTGCTCTCCCCGAGGCCAAGCTTGCCCGTGAAGCTGAGCTCGCTTACCAGGTCATCTGCATGGCCACCGACTACGACTGCTGGCACTCGTATGAGGACGTCAACGTCGAGATGGTCATGAAGTACATGCATGCCAACAGCCAGAATGCCAAGCGACTTGTTGGCGGTGTTCTGGACCAACTCTCCAAGCTGGACCACAGCGATCTTGTCCTGGCCAAGCACTGGGAGGGTGCGTCTTCCGGCCCTGTCAAGTTCATGACCAAGCCTGCCGGTAGGAACCCTGAGGCCATGAAGAAGGTCGAGTACCTGTTCCCAGGCTTCTGGGAGAACTAGGCTGGATTCAAAAAAGGATACACATGGGGGCGTTTGGTAGGTGGAAAATACGGCGCAAACAAGATGCCGGTCCAAGTCAGGTGCGTTTCTGAGGTTCAACGGCTCATACAATTAGCTTTCATTTTTGCATATTGCCCTATATATATTTTTTATTCTATTTAGCTTTTTCTTTTATGATCTTCAGAAGAAGCCAGACAAAAGAGACTACGCGAGATTTTTTTTTTTGGCGATAGATCTTCAACAGATATAAGAAGTTTAGACAGTCTATGTAGAAGACAGATATATCAGATCAAACCCAGAGGGCTCAAAATTTCTCTCATCGTGTGCGCAATCGAACGACCGAGGGATGGTTGGTATGAAGAGGAATGAGCCATTTCCTCCTGATCCGTGGCATTACCCATCAATATCACGGCCGAATCAAAGGGGAGCACGATCAACTCGGACAGATAAATCTTACCCGCTCCCCATCTACACATAACCAAACCAGGGCACAATGACCAAGTATGACATGGCTGATCGTGTTCCTTCACAGACTAGTCCGAAGAATATGCCAAGTAATATCTTGCATACGAAATTCTTCAGCGGCATCGATTCAAACATGTAAGACGTCACAATCATGCGTTACCCCTTTTTGCAATGGCAGGTAGCATCACGATCCTGCCATTATTCATGACTCGGCGCTGTTAGTTCGATTTGTTAAACTCTGTCACTTTCGGTCATGCATAACAACTCAAAGGAGAGCTCTTGCGTCACCAACAGAGAAATGTGATAGCTAGGTCACCATTGTCAAGCAAAAGGAGGCACGCCAACGGCTGTCATTCTGCTTCCGATAAGGGCGCCATCCAAAAGGGCGTGTCGAGCAAGGTTCTGGCCTGCTTGACAGAAGCGCGCAGGGGAATGCAGCCACCACGTCGGCTTCAGCTGCTTATTAGTGCCGAGAGCAAAATCGCCGTGATGGGGTTTCATAGACTATGAGAATTGCATTCCACTTGTCAATTGTCTTCTTCTGGCGAATCCTTCCTCACAAATGGATCCACGGACTTTATTCGTGCATGAAGACGAACCCACGGCGTTCTTCGTTGGGCCAGGTCCGCAGCAGAAGCTGTCAGAATGTGACAATGCTGCATTGTACAGCCTGTCAAAATATATGGTGTTAGGGGCAGTGTCCAATAACGATGGACTGCATATCCTCTTCGCGTTCCTGCTGGCAACCCATTGTGCTAAGCGAGGTGGAAGACGGAACATACTCGTACTGCTCCGACGGAACGTACTCGCACTGCTCCGATGCAATATAGGTAGACCCCCCCCCCTCTTTGATGCACGGAGTACATGTTATACTTGTATTAGATGACTCTGTGATGGGGTTCATGCAAACACCATTAGTGCGCCAGTACGGCTCCTCCACCTGTCAATGCCTGGATGCATGAGACTCACAGAGAATGGAATGTGATGACGTGCTGTGGTTTGTCCATCTCCGCATATTAAGGGCTGCGGGCATCAGAGCCCTGACTGTCACTTGTGCCACGTTTTTCTCACGCATGCCGAATGAAGAAGTTAAAGCCTTTTTTTATATCCGCAGCAGCGGCATACTTGCAGATCTCAGGGGGCCGCATGTGCTATGGATCGCGAAGGGTAGAGGCCTGGGGTGCAAGTACGAATTAGTACTGAAGCTGTACTCGTATATCTCTGCGAGTTGTTCTGAGGAGAGACATGCATAAGCCTCTTGTGGTGCTCAAGGGGTGTACGAGATGCAAGCCCTAATACTAGCCATCGTTCGGTATACAAGTACGAAGGAGTAAGCGCCAAAGTCCGTACGGCCTGTCGGAATATGGCCGGCTTGCAGATATCCAAGCTATGATGACAGGCAGGCTGCATGTATGCCAATTTGCTCCAGATAGGACGGGGGTTAATACTTCAGCTGCAAGACTAAACCAGATCGAGATTGTGCTTTAAATAGAGGATATGGCGTAAAGCCAGCTCGGGGCTTTCCTTGTCGTTTTTCTACTTACGAGTACAGGGTTGCGTCGTGTGTCTCGATGAATAGCATCCGTGCCTTGAGATTATTCCCTCATCTTCGGCCTCTGTGGGCAGCAATGTAACTTGCTTGGCCACGTACCGTGTCGGCAGTGACAGCAGTGACAGTTTCAGCCCCCAATGGCAGGCAATTGAATTCCATCAGCGGACATGCTTTTCACTAAACAAATTTGAGCAAGGATGGCCAATTGTACTTGTACGTACAGAATCTTCCAAGCAGATAGTTCTAGAACGGGGGCACATTTGTTGCACCCCTGGGTTTCATTCGCATAATCATCCGTTAAACATGGATGTAGCGATGTCGGCCTAAAAACTTTGCGATAAGCAAGCACTACAAACCACTCCCAAGTGTGCATATTGTTTGTAGCCTCACTTCATCCTCGTCTTGGGCTTCGGTGAGCTGGATGATAGGCCGTTACATGACTGGCTCGAACCAAGAATATCGTTGACGAGAAGCCTCTGCTAGTCTACGAAGAGCTCCCCACTTCCTTCTCAAGAGTGCCTAGGCTGATTGTCACTCGTCAACAATGAGGACAATTCCAACGGCCAAGCATGACATGTCACTTTGTTGAGACAGCATGGGGCGGCTCAGCGACCGCGGCCCCTCTTCACAGGACAGACTTGGTGCGATTTGTGTGATGGCTACTTGGACAATGAATTCTCCAAGCCAGGAGCCAGGGTCCGGAAGGACGGGGCCCATAAAGACAGGGTATAAGGACTGCATGGAGAACCTCGAGGATATGGGTTTGGGAGCGGGAGCAGGGCAATCGAGTAAAGTAATTACATAAAATTCCTGTTAGAAACCCACAATTGTAATCTTCATCCGGAGAGCAGGATAAGCGGCAGTGAGGGGCTAACTCAGGCGCAACTCTTTTGCCAAAGGCCGCTGGGCGCATCCTCGCTTTGAAAGCATTTCTGCCTTGAGAGATTAGACCTGTCTGTCTTTGGTTAACATGACTTAGTGGCTTCTCAAAAGTTCTAAAAGAAAGGATCGTGCTGCAAAGTTGTGAAAGAGGAAAAGACGTAATTTAAAATCGGGAAGTGGGTGTCCGGAACGCTCCATACCTGATGATGAATAGATATGCAGATGCCATCTCACGAGGTACCCATTGGTGGACGAAAGGATTTGCTCACATTTCATTTCACACATTCAGGCGCTTCAAAGCACTCCATACCGTAGCATCTGTTGTCTTGTGCCCACTCTGGGATCGATTGTGGGCACGAACGGGGACGCTAACTTGAGGATGCACGACTAACTCTTCACGAAGTTGCATGGCTCTTATCCAGTTTCTGTCGTCCTGCTTTAACACTCAAGCAATGCCAAGTCCGGAGGAGGGAGGACACTCACGGCGAGAGACCCAAGCCCTATGTGACCCGAGCAAGGCTGGCAACAGCCGAGCTCCGTTTGCAACCAAATCAAGACATCTTGATGTCAGTCAGTCCAGTCTGCTTGCAACGCTCGTGGGGTAATTGTCGCCATTTAAGAAACCCCGCCGCTCGGGTCTTCCCGCACTTGTACACACTAGAGCTGGAGCAAAGAGGACGAAGAGCAGAAGCCATGCAAAAATTGGTGGCAGACTAGGGCTGGATGAAAGAGCCATTGCGTTTGGCGGGCGCTAGCAAATGGAGCCTATTGTGGCCGTTCCCTTTGATTATTGTTCACCAGTTCAAGAAAGGAGGGCTAACGAGGCCGAAGCTTCAGGGATATGAGAGAGAAACTTGCATTCCGCAACTCACAACGGCAGTTCTCGACGCCCTGGTTACTGCTAAGCGACACCTGTGCTACTTCGTGCCTCGTGCCTCGTACTTGGCGCCTGTATCGGCCGGCTATTCCAACAATAGATGTGGCATTGCTATTGTGTCGACGGGCCCACCATCAAGTGTACTCGTGCTCCGTACTTGAATGGTGAAAAAAGCTCTCTGCATAATCTGCTCTTTGGAAGAATGATTTGTGATGGCGCATATAACATTGCACCCATTCTTGGATCCTTGGCCCTCCTTCTCACACATGGATTTTCAGCCCCTACCGAGATTCATTCGGACGACTGCCCATGGGAGAGATGTGGCTCTGGAGATAGAAACTCCAAGTTCAGCGGGTCTCCTAAAAGGTGAAACCCCCGGCTTCACAATTTTTGGTCTCTCATCCTCGGTTGATAGGAAGATGAAAACGAGACGGCCTCCACTGCGGCTCGTACGATAAGTACGTACTTTTGGTCGACATGTCGCACATAGGTACTTGGATGCATGAAGAAGTGCACACCAGGTAGCCTACTAGTCATAGTACATACACGTAGCATTGCTACTAGGCAGTGCCATTTGACGCTTGCATGTCGTACTTCGTATTCCAGGGATACACACAAGTACTCGTAGGAAAGCTGTGAGTACCAGTTGGGCACGTCCAAGCAGCCCGAAAGTGCGAGGTGGGACGGTTGCCGGAAATTGAGCTTGGAAACAGACGCCAACCTTTGCTCATCAGCATCAGCGAGCGGCTGGCGATCCTGTTCGTTCCGTGTTCGGCCGTCAGATGCACATGCGGATCTGACGTGTCCTCGTCAACTCGCCTCGATATAGTTTGCTGACGAGCGCGCCGCGATGCAGCCGGCGTGGGTCAACAACGGCCAGGTTGTTACTCGTATGAAGCCGATCCAGGCATCTGCTTCTTGTCTATGTCGAGTTAGCTGCCGATCAAAGTGCTGGCGGGTGTTGCGCGGACAAAGTAGTTGGTCTGGAGCTGAGTGCCCGTGATGATAGAGGAAGGCCGTTACTAAATCCATTGATACCCCAACCGTAACTACCTTAGTATTAGTAGCTGAAGTGTTACAGGGGTACCTATAAACTACACAGTCAGGAAGTAAAATGTACCATGATTTCCAGGACGTGTATTCTCAACGGGCCGTACCGGTACAAATGCCCTGAGTTCTTGCTCGGCCTTCGCTTGGTACCTCTTGCCTACCAGCGGGCGCTCAGTCGCGTGTCAGTGGGGCCGCGGCTCGCTTTCCTGCCGTTCTTGAGAAAGCCAGGCACGAAGACGTCGATCTGTAGAAGGGGCTGGAAGGTACGTGGAGAAAAGGAAAGTTCCCGTACAAGCAATTCTTACCTACAGGTAGGTAGGTACTAGGTAGTTGGCACTTGCCGCCAACCTCTAGAGCCATGCTCCGTGCTGAGTGCAGGGCACGTGCAGCTGAAAGCTATGACAAGTCTCTTGTGCTATTCGAGCCAACTCCTGTTCTTCACCTTTAACCGGTCATCTACAGCATCTCGATCAAAGCAAG